CTCTGGGCCCGCATGATGCAGAAGACAGAGACCGGGATTGTTTCTCGGAGCACTTCTTCCCACACAGGGCCCTCTCCAGGTCAAATAGCTGAAAGCAGAGTGCAGTGGCCAGGGCCTGTAATATTTCACATATGCTTTTTGAGGAGCGCCAGGCGCTATCGATTTCTTTAATCTAAAGCCCGGGAACTAAAAGGAAAAGGGCCTATCAGGCAGCCTGCTTTTAATTACGAGGTCCATAAAGAGACGGAGATAGAAACCGATGTGATGGATGGTCTGCGAGATGCCATGATAGGAACCATGCCTCCGTCTGCTGAGGCTCAAGTTGGCCCGACACACCCAAGACTTCAGTCCGGCAACAATCAAGAAGAGGGGGGTCATTAGGAAGCAGAGGTATCAGGATTCAGCACTGAGGATTTGTCTTTGTGCCTTTTCATACTTTGGTGTTATTAAAGTATCATGGCATTATTAAGAGATCATCACAACACAGCGACATCAAAAAGCAGCTGTTGTTATTTACTGGACAAATGAGGGTTTGGGAAAGACTGAGATGACAGCAGCCAGGTCTGCAGCCAAAAGTAGTTCGAGTTTAAACCAGAATTTTTTTTTAAATTGGCCAAAAAATGCTAATTTAATATTACATGAACATTAATGTTTGGGTGATTGAGATGGGCAGTTCCAGTTTTGAAGGAAAAGGGAATATAAGAAGATGACAAGTTAGTCATCTTAGTTAAGAGAACAGTGAATTTCATGTGCAAGACTTCATTTTTATTTGCAATATTTAATTATAAGGAGCCACATTTCATTATAGGGTGCAACATTCTTCTTGTACTTCAACTGCATGTGTAATATTTTAATTTCACATGGGTCATCTCATTACCATGTGCCAAATTACTTCACTACTTCAGAAATAAAGCCAGCGTTACTTTTCTATTTTAGTCTTATTTTAGCTTTCTTACTTAAATTTTTAGCAACTTACATCTTTGTTGTTTGCTCACAAGCACTGCATTTATTCTCACGTTATGCAATTTTTCTGAGCAACATCATGCACAAGAGTTTCTTTCGGGACTAATAAGGTTCTATCTTATCTTTCAAAAACTGAAGAGAATGTCATGGAAACATGACATTTACAGATTGTTTCATGTATTAATGTGAGTCTCTTCAGTGGACCAGAAGCTTAAGTGGAGGCTTCGTGCATGTCGTGGTTTTAATCAACATTTTGTGATCTCTCTGCATTGTCACTTTTTGTATTTCCAAACTAAAAATGTCGCTAATGACAAAACCTGGGCCTCTTCATGTGATCAGAGGATTCGGTCGTCTATTAAAAGAGGCAACAGAGGAGGACATGGCAGCTGGAACATGCTGAATTTCCTCTAAATTGCTCAATATGCATGCGTAGTCGTCAGGCATCAACTGTTTTAAAAGGTCATCTGGTGATTCAGACACTTAGATTAGAAAAATAAGAGTCTATTCTCAGTTCACACGGAATGTAAAACTCACTTAGACACCTTCATTTTAGAAGTCCTCTCCACATCCTTGGTTTTAAGACAAATATGACACGCGAGGGCACACAAGGTGAAGCTATTTAGAACGCAGGCCTTGCAACTCGACCGTTCCCCTGCCTGTTTTATTTACTTAGGGTTTTTACTGGCTCAGAATGGCTTTTGGGGGGCGACTGTGCACAACAGCAATCAGTCTGTGTACAGTTTGTGTTACCTTATTTAACAGAAATCGATGCATTTCTCTGTTATTTCTGAGAATCTGATGAACAAAAATGTCTGTTACGGTCGATTAAATGAATGATTTCAAAGTTTAACACTGTTTGTGCATCCTGTGCAGGTGCTCTAAACTAATAATTTACCAGCTATAATTATGAAACATAATGTGTGTTTATGGAAGGTGATGCAGCTACAAGCACATTTTTAATCATAATGTGTAAAATGATGGTGTGACAACATGAAAGGGTTCGTGAAAGGCAATGAAAGAATTATTAGCTGAATTTGTGCGATATCCAAATCACAGGAGCTGCTTTTTTTTTTTGATCAGGGTAAAATGTGTCAAAACAAAGACGTCCTGGCCAAATCACATTCTCCAGACAGATGCTTGTGTGGTCGCGACTGCAGCAAAAATCACAATATCATCTTTAAATATTGTTTTTTTAAGTGGAAAAGAAACAAAAAATATCAACAAAAGTTACCATTCTGACTAAAACTGTGACTTGTGCTGTCAAAATAATTGCGATTTTTTTTTGTGCATAGTTTAGCCTTATGTGCACCTCCATTGCCTTTCAGTTAACTGTGTTGCTGTAAGTCCTTATAGCATCATTCTCAGCACAGAGAAAAACCTCTGAGCGGTTGTTACAGTCTATTTACGATTCTCACAGACTCCTCAGTGTGTTCTCCCAGGCCGAGACTAAAACTTTGAAATTTGAATCCCGGGTTGGATTTCATCCGTAGTGAAAGCAAAATATTTATCTCACATAAATCTAAATCCGTGTCCTTGACAGGCCCGATAGCGAAAGGCTTTGTCTCCTCAGAACTATGACAACATCTCAGTGCCTCAGAAATCGTCGGTGGATCTGACCAGCCGGCCTGTCAGCACCGAAAAGACACAAATCCATACTGTGTAGCAGTTTGAAGTCTCTACAAAGACAGACAGAGATTAGGCATGCTGGTGCCACAGGGGTCCGCGAGATCCACCAGCGTCTCCATCCTTCAACCCGACATCAAAGACAAACCAGTGCAACAGTTTGAATTATAGACCGCAAGTGTGCAGTCATGCCTCCGGTGGCACCCAGCTCCCAGCCCGATTAACCCCGGTGCCACCCCGAGGAGGAGGAGAAGCAGAGGATACAGCTCACAGCGCGGCTGGATAAATTACTATACCAACAACTGCACATCGGCAAAAGGACAAAAGGTCACTCGCGTCGTCAGGGAATGTGATGGCTCAATCCTTCAGCTGCAAGTGAAAGTTACAGCGGGTTTCACCTCTGCCGTATTTAAAATGATTTGATAGTGAAGTTAAACCAACCTCCAACCACCTGTTAATGCAGTATACTTACATAAACTGTCAGTAATCCTTAAAAAAAAGACAAACACATAACTTACTAAGGTTTATTTATTCACCTATAAGGCAGTGATATTAGTTTTTGATGTCCTGAGAGACAAATCGACCATTCATTGCCTCTTTCTGGCCTGTTGGTGCATGACCTCACTTTCCTCTACCGTCACTGCTCATGGAATATTTCCTTCAACCAAATGCCAGCGCTTACAATCGGGAAAGATTACGGCATATTATCAACAGATGGACAAAAGACAATTCAGACCGGCCGGTTATAGCTCAGATGGCACATGGGATTCATTCTGACAATGAATGCCGGTGTTGTCTGGAGAAGGTGACGGCGGTAAACAGAGCAAAAGAAAACAAAGAAACCACTGATTAACGATGCAGATGCAGAAAATAGCAGCTCTGGGAAGTGATACTGGCAAAAAAAAGAGGAAAAACAAATCAAGGCTACAAGTGCAATCGAAGGCATAAGAAATGCTCCCAAAGAAGCATAAAAAACACTCCGTATTCAGCATTCAATTTGCTGAAATGGTGACATAAAGATGGCATAAAAAGACTGATTTAGAAACAGAGAGATTGGCTTACAAAAAGGACAACGCTACGGGAAAGAAAAAAAAACTTGCCCAGATGCAGATGGAGGCCAAAACGAGATGGCAAGCAGCTGCTACAGCCAGCTGTCCGAGCCAGTTGTTCATAGCGGCTGGGAGGCCAGGATGGAGGGATTCAGAGACATTTAAGAGAGAGGAGGGAAGGAGGGGGGGTGTAGATCTAGCCAGCAGACGGTGATACGATGGTGATGAGGAGGGAGAAAAGTGGAAAAACCTTTGTGAAAAAGGTTAAAGAGGTTCAATGGGGAAGGAGATTTTAGAGTGTTGGCTCTCTTCAAGGTTACAGCTTCTTTTAAAACTGCCAAAAGTGAACAGATAACTGCTTTGGAGCTCCACGTCTTTATTGATGTGTGAGGAGGAAAAGCGACAAATCACAAAGGATCCACGGAACGAAAAATAACTGAGGCATTTTGTTTAACAGCACTTGAATGACTACTGCCCTTCAAACAATATAGTACACAAACCATTGATGTGCTGTGTATGGAACAACTCAGTGGTTCAAAGACCCAACATATTAATCATGTCTTGGTAGGACCTGATTTAATACATAAGTACCTTAGCGTTACAACAACAAATGTTTTATAAAGAACACATCATGCTCATATAAACTGCTGTATATAAAATCCTTCAGTACCTTCAGCACCTTCTTTACCTCCTTCCTTCAGCTGGCAATGCAGAGTCGTGGCTAGAATCATTTTAAGTTGCTCATGAGCAGCATTCAAGTGTGATTTTTTTAGTTTCATCACAGTTCTGAAAGGACCTTCAGTCATCAGTCGTATTACCACCATTATGATTGTAACATTCAGTGTTACACAATGCCATAGATCCAGATACGGCACACATTTTTATCTATATTTTAAGATTTTTGTTGGGGTTTCGTGTTAATGACGGCCATCAAAAGCCAGCAAGTAATGCAGAAGAAGTTCTTCTATTTTTTTCCAACAGTAAAACACACAGGACGTCCCAACAGGAAACCCTCATTACAATGTGGACTACAGGGCTGATTTGGGGATTAACAAGCATAAGAGTGACCCCTAGTGGCCTTTTCTGAGGGATACAAGCGTCTACAGGAGCATACAGAGCTGAAGTATGAAGAGACATGAAGAGCGAAAAGCATAGCTTCAGGCGATGCAAAGGATTGGCGCCGCTAATCTCTAAAAACCATCAGGAGAACACAGGTAACACACTTTAATTAGCTTTACACTCAAATATAGACAAGTTAATCTTGCGACAAATGATGCATGAAGCATCCTCGATGGCGGTGGGAGTGTGTTCTGCGTGTGTTGCATATTAGATTGGGATGGAAGCATGTGTGCTGCAGATACTTACTGGGATGATCTCTGTGTTTGTGTTTCCTTGTTTCTGTCAGCAATGAGATCAGCTGGTCTCCTCCACGAGAACTGTGATGAGAAAAATAAGAACGAATCACTTAAAGAATGTGAGCAAAAGACTTCATGATTCTCTCACATAACTTGGACTGGCATTTTTTGCATTTGTTTTGTATGTAGGGCCTTCATCAGTAGCAAAACAGCAAAAACCTTTCAAAATAAAACCCGCTACCTATTACGACCACCCAACAGACCAACCAGGAGAGTGATTTCATATTATGTCCAAAGTCCTGAAGTCGTAAGAAATCTGAAGCCTCTCTCTAAACTTGATCTACTCCCCAGTCAAAGTCTATCAATTAGAGTTTCATTAGCTCTAATTATGCTGTGCAGTGTTTCCTAACAGAACATCAAAAAAACCTTTGCAGTACGATTGCTAACAACACCACTTCCATTTTCCACTTGTGTTTCTAAACAAGCATTTGGCTCGAGAGCAGCCGGTCACGTTCATATGTCGCTGAGAAGCTATAAGAGGAGGATTACTTTGCTAATGCTCGTGAGAACACTTTCACAACAAACTAATGACATAGGGCTTAGTAACCAGTCTATATGCACACTGTATTCAAGATCTTTCTAAGTTTTTTTTTTTTTTTTGCATAAATAAGCAATTTCTCCTATTTCATAAAAAGAAAATGTTAATTTGTCTCACAATTAGGGTTCAGTGAAATGTTGATTTTTACTTGTTTGCGCTGTCAGAGGTACATATTACACCGTCTCTACCAGAAGCTTTAAAACCAACAGCCATGACAGAATATTTGTTTGGCTGATCTGAAGGATTCAGGAGGCCAGAAGAGACAGAGAAGGTTGTGAGTAAATAATAGTAGATGAAATGATGAGCATTACTATACTAAGTATTACACAAAAGAGGGGAATAGTGAGTCAAGGTATCAGTAGACTTTCAGGTATCTTGGATGGATTCAAGAACCAAAAAGTGAAGTCTAGTTGGCTTCTCCTAAAGCACTTAGCAGTGAGCCATTGTGTTCTTGAGAAACAGCAAAGACATCAAAAAAGTTCAATTAAATAGTAAGTAGAGCTGCAGCAAGAAATATCAGGTTAGCTGTCAAGCATCTAACCAGTCGTCAGCACCTGAACAAAAATACGAAAGCATGCTTCTGTTATGGTCACAACTGGTGAAGAATCCTCCACGACTGCACCAACCCAAGTCTAGTCGAGTGTGACTTTAAAGGACAATAATCATACGATGTCACCAATATACAGCCACTCCTTTGACTATAAAAGGCCTCCTTAAAATGCAGCTTTATTCAAATGACCCGATGAGAAGAAAAAGACAAAAACAGGCTGTTGACAGCTGGATAGTGATCCTGTCGGTTTGTAGTCAGACACCTCATTTATTCTCTAAGAAATCCCATCAGACAGCTCCGGGTGTCCAATAACATGATCCTGTCCCCAGAAACATCCCTGAACTTCACCAAGTACTTCAGAAAAAGAGGGACAACACTCAAAATGTAGCATCGAGACAATAACCTTAACTCTATCTATGCAGATGTGTAACACTAAAGACTTCAACACACTTGTGACTGACTTTAGATTTCTAATCAATGACCCCAGTTCTCCATCTGCCCGTTATAATTCCCAACATCGCGTGGCTGTTTCATGATGTTGTAGAGATGCTGTATGCTTGTTTCATGATGTTAAACAGAAAGGACAGGATTTAAGGCAATATTACATGCTGCTTTTATACTATTGTTGGGTACATTCGGATCAGTGCGAGCAATTTTCCTGAATAAAAGTTTTGAAATCTCTGCGTCCAGCTTCTTAAATGTGAATATTTTCTGCTTTCTTTCCTTCTCTATTACAGTAAAACCGAAAACCTTCAGCTTGTGGTCAAAACAAGACATCTGAGGGCCTCATCTTGTGCTTTAGAAAACAATGATGGGCATATTTCACCATTTTCTACTGTTTTGTAGATGAAGCAACTCAGCAGTGCATTTTAAAAATGAAATTAACTGTTAGCTATGTGTCTCATGAAGCTGGTACAGATAGATAAGTTAGAAGGGTAAGTGAAAATGTGCCAAGACGACAGCCTCAAATGTCTTGTTTTGTCCCAAATATAATCATTTTACTGTCATACAGGAGGAGGGATGTAAATCAGCACATTTAAGAAGGTGGAATCAGAGTTACCCAAAGTGATTAATTAATTATCAGAAAAGTTGGTGACTAATTTAATAGTTGCCAACTAATCAATGATTTGTTCCAGCTGTCTGCTAACACATTTCACATGAGTGCTGAACACAACAACAGTGTGGACCTGCAGCTCGTCCTCATACTGTGAATCAGACACGTTCAGGCGACCTAACTTGACTCCTTCCTGTGAACGTTGCACTGCTCATTCGGGCCAGTAAACATAGAAAATAGCTAAAAGTAACCACAAGCTCTCCTGGGTGTTACGTTCAGGGGGTCGGTGTTGAGTTTTTTTGCTGTTACTTCGAGGCTGTCGTTGTGTTTTCGTGTCCGTGAACGACCCACAGATGACGTTATCCTTATAGCTTCGGCCTTATGTCAAAATCACAGCTGACCCTATCGAGGAGCTAGCTTCACCGGAGCAAAACCTGAAGCCCCCCTCCTCTCACATCCAAGACAATCCCCCTCCTCACCCCCCGAGAGCTCCAAACTCTACAATATTAGCTTCTTTAAACCACCGAAACACCGCAGCGCTGAGGTTTTGTAGCCCCCCCCTCTCACCAAGCTAGCTAAGTTCACGTTAGCTGGCTGACGCTGCTAGCCAGCTAACCTCGCTGACCAAAACAGCTGGCTAAACAACAGCGGTTCGTCTGTGGCTTCTGCGCCGACCAGGCAGCACACTCACCGGGGGGAGAACTTACCAGGTGGCGAAGGGCGAAAGACGCGGAGAGCACTGACGGACGGAGAGAAAAGTATTCCCGGTGTTCCACTTTTAGTTTTTGCCGGATGCTGCTGTATCCACTATCCAAGCATCAAACCATGTTGGGTGGGCAGCTGCGCACTGAGGTCCTGTTTGCACTCTGGGAGTCTTTAGGAGGTGTATGGAGGAATGTAGGGAACTTCGAAGGGCACTAGGAGGGGACTGTAGTCACCTTCGCCTCCTATCTCCTAGTCGTCTGAGTAGTTTTTGCTATTATTATTTTTATTTTCATAGGTAAGTAGTTTTAGTATAATTTTGCACTTATATATTTAACCAAGACTTTCAATTACAGTTATTCTTATAGCACATTTAAAGCAACAGTTGTAGAGGAGAAATAAGACTTAAAAAGTTTAAATAGAAAGACTAAGACCCAACAATGTTATTTATGTTGTAAATTTACCTCAATCATTTAAATATTACGGTTAAAACGTTACAAAATGATGTACAATACAAATGTACCTGTATAAATATCATGGCTCTTTAAGAACAATTTCTATTTCCATGTCATTTTTATATGTCAATATAAAATGTACATAAAAATAATCCAAGTTTAGAGGGCAATTGAATCATATTAAACCGCAGTTTTGTTATTTTAAGACTAAATGTTGTAAAGTCACTTGCAAACTAGCTATTTATGCATAAGATTGTTTGCTACCATATTCTTAAAAATTCAGCTGCAACATAAATGTTAAATAACACATATTGAAATAATAATAAACTTTTTAAAAGTTTAATCATTGTCAACCAGTTTCTACAAAAGTTATAACTTTACTAAATGCAATCACTTAAATTCATGACTTGAAAATAACTCAGCGGGGACATTAGCTGACATTAGCAAAGTTTTCAAACTAGCAAGCTTGCTAATGTAGCATGACATTACTAGCTATATTATTATTAGCTTACCTTAGATTGTTAGCATTATTTAAAGATAATATATTTTCTCTGCTGGTTAGCTACAATGTTACTGTATTAGATGATGTTTTGATTATTGCAGATTAGTTTACCATTTAGGGACCAAAAACAGAAGTTCTAACTTTTATTGTCATTGAAGTTTAAATTTATGACATGAAAATAACTTAGCAGGGATGTTTAACCTACAGTAGAAAAGCATTCGAGCTAGCTAGCTAGTGCTACAGCATATAGCATAACGTTGTTAGCTTAGCTTAAAGTCAGCTAGTTAGATAATAATGCATTTTCATTGCTGGCTAGCTGTGTTAGATGGTGGCTTGATGGTGGCTTGATTATTGTCAATGATATTTAAATTCATGACATGAAAATAACTCAGCAGGGATGTTTAGCCAACATTAGCAAAGAATTCAAGTTAGCTAGCAAGTGCTACAGCAAGCTCACATAGCAAAACATGATTAGCTTAACACAAAGTTAGCCTTTCAGTCAGATAATACCTCAGAACCATATATTTTAATTTTCCCCCACCTGTAAATTGATTTTAATACTATTTAGAGCTTAGTAAAGCTTATCCATATCCCAATTCACCCTCTTATCAATTCTGGATATTAAGTTGACATTGAAATGTAAGACTCGACCAGTGCATTCTAAGAAATAAAATAAGTTGAAGACAGTGAGGAAAAATTCCCAACAAAGTTCATGTTTGTCTCACATCACTTAAACAGCCAGTTATCACACACTGAACCAACTGTCTGGACATCTTGTAGTAATACTACCTCCAATCAGATCAACCATTATGGTGATTTTATATCATTTCTATTGACAGAAAGTTGCTTGAACTCTGAAGCTTCTCTCTAACCTGATCTATTCCTCAGCCAAAGCCTGCCAAGAGTAATACCAAGGAGAGAATCGGCAAAACCGCAGTTCTCTCAGAAAGTACAAGCAGTTTAAATGGCTGTAGCATCCCTCTGCTGTTCAAAAAGAGCTTTACATGGCAGTACATCAGGGTCAGCACATAAATACCTTTCAGTTTTTTTTTCACCATCTCGATGCTTCGGCTTAAATGCAATTAAATTTGCTCCGACTGATGCCATGTTCAGATTGTGTTTCACAGCTGCAGCGGACTGCTAACAATGTCACGCAGGGTCAGATCATCAAATTGGATGCTGGAAGTTTAATTGAAATGATAAAAGAGGAGAGGACTACTACAGTGAATTCTTGTTCACAAGATTAAAACAGCTGGCACAAGTGTTGGTATGAGTACAGAACTATCACCCATAAACAGGACGGAGGATCTCGGCTCCTCTTAATAACACATGAGCTGATTGGTGAAATTTTGAGAGGGCATCTTTAAAATATTGATAGCATGCTACTTTTGCCATGCGTCTCTATTTTTCTGCATTTTCATCTTCATGGCTGATGTGTAGAATCAGGCTGGTACTGATGTATGATTCATGCATGAGGCTGATTCATCACTTATTCACTTTCATGAAGACGCATGCTGTTCTTGCCATCGCTATGGTGCAATATCATAAACTTCACTCATTTTAACTCAAAGAGCTGGAAAAAAACTTTTTTGATGCCAACTACCATAAACAAAAACTGAAGAACAAAGCGAGGTGCTGAAATCAGGCAGCAGCAGCCACTTCCCATGTGTTTTCGTATTATTATTAATCATATAAAAAAGCGAGATCAAGTTAAGTCAAATTAAATGAAAAACATAAAGGAAAAAATGTGCAGTTCATGCTATAAAATATTTGTGTATTTATGCACATGTAGTATGTTTAATCTCCCATTTGCACAATTCTATGAATGTAAGGAATACGCCTTAATAGGGAAAAAAAAGCAGCATTTTGACTCATCAAACCAGGAAAGTGTTGCTGCAGTTAATGCTGTTCCATGTAGGGGAGTCAGTGTCAGTGAATCAGGTCGTGAAAGTGAATATATCTGCTGTAATACATCATTTTCGAGTGACAACACCACAGACTCTTGTGGCTTTACAAGCACTTACGATAAAACAAATTACAACAATCATGTTTGGGGTTGTCTTTGGAAGAAATTCTGACTGAACTTTGAAGTTTTTTTTTTTTTTTTAACAAGCTTTACAATGCAAGATACTTATACATATAATGTCCACATCACATCAAGCTGTCAGCATTGTTTTTGAATACAGCACAAAAGTAAATAAATGGAACAAAATAAAATAAAAAATAGTAATAGTAAGTAAATAGTAACAATAGTGAACATCTCGGCAAAGTGGTGCCATAAATTCTTAACTATTTAGGAGTTTTTCCATTTTTTAAAATTTTGTTTGTTTTTCTTTTCCATCCTTTTTTCTCATTAATCACCTGTTCAACCCACGGACTAAGATCCTGTCAAATGCAAATATAACATCAGTGGCTCCCACCTAACTTTGAAATTTTTAAATGTGACATTTACTTCTGCTTTTCCAAGCAAATTGCCAAGATTTCAGGCTCATGTTGGTAGCAACCTCGTTTTGTTTTGGAGCATCCAGTGCCGTCATTTACAAATGTGTCATTTATTTTTCTACGGACAAATTGCTTTTTTTCCAAACTTGGAAGACAAGAAACAAAGAATTGTCCTGTTTGATGTTTGGTGAGCTCTCCTGACGAGTAAACAGCGTTTTATTTTCATCATGCAACACTTGTGATTCTCTAAATGGAGAATTTAGAGAACAAAGTGGTCACTGAGTGCTTGGTCAAATGGGGAAAACTCCAATTATCTACAGCTGATGGGCAAAAATCAGTTTGTTTTATGAATTTCACAGCAGTGGCACAACAAATTTAGCTTGACTTTAGTTTAAACTAAAACCTTTGTTGAGGCGAGTTTGAGCTTTTTATCCTCCGAGCTGCTGGAACAGCCCGACTCAGGACCTGAGAGCGGCTGAAGTGTAGAAACACCTCTGCAGCCTGGCTTTTGACCAAGTTTATTTTATTTTATTCATTTATCTTATTGTTTTTTGAATTCTCTTTAGTTTTATTTCAGTCTTGTCTTTTTGATCTATTTAAAGATTTTATGATTTTATTTACATATTTATGTAAATTCTTTTGAAAAATCAAGTCGCTTTTTTCCGTCTCTACTTGTTCTGTCTCATTATTGGCTTATTAGTCGTCTGTTAAACACCAAACTGTACACAAGGTGCTATAAAAATAAAGTTAGATTGATGGGTTGATTGATACTTTACATAAAAGACATGAAAAATACGCACACTTATTCAAATGTCAGCCATTTAGATCTTAAAAACAAAACGTAACCTCGCTTTGTTTCCACCTGACGTCTACACTGATTTAACTGTGAAAATACCTCACAGGTAACTTTAATGTATTCAGGTACAAAACAACACACAATGACAAGTGCAAAGTGACTTGTTTATTGTGTTATTTTTGGACAAAACTTGTCACATGGGGGCAGTATGACTTCCAGACTGTAGGTAAATTGTACAGATTCTGCAGAGCAGCGTTCACACTTCATTTACAGGATCTCTGGTTGTGTATCTTGAGTGAACGCTGCAGTGCATCACATATAGCTCAATGTAAATATGGCACCATAAGAACCTTTTATGAGCAACCGTGAGTTACCGATGCATTATTCATGACTGTTAAGTCATAGACAGCTGCTTTAACAGCATTAATATTCATCATAGTCCATTGTGCAAATGTTTCAAATTGCATCAGACTACTTAACACCTCCACTGTGGCAGATTAGGTTTAACTGTCTCGTTCAAAAGCACTTTGTTAAAAGAGAGCAGAGCACTTGTCACTGGCTTTGACTGCGCGTTAGAAGATTATCATCTGTGGGATTTTACCTGACGCACACCGAGCACCTCTGTTTGACAGTTAATTTCAAATTAAGCATTTTTTTTTTGGAGATTTGATTAGAAGCCGTAACAGTGAGTTAAAGAGTAAAACAGTGAAATGTATTAACAAAAATGTCAGCGCTGAGTGTCACTCGGCGTGCTTTTGTGGAGGATAATATGAAGGGTGTAATTGCGACGACTCTGCAGAAGCAAAGCAGGTGCAGGTTGAAATGAAGCAGAAACAGCACAGCAGAAAAAAATATTAATGGTTAACTTAAATGGGCTGTGTTTTTCAGTGGAAATGTCTAATGGATGCGCATGCTAAGTTAGCCACCTGGATCCATTTCCCCTCCAGAATTAAGCCTCTTTTAATTTCTCCTTATTGCTGACCTTCTTCCTCCTAAACCAGCTGAGCAAACAGCTCGGTCCTGTGCACATCTGAAACATTCAAAAATATGTAAATAGGTCTTAACGCTGCAAGATTTGTCACTTAATCTGAGCTTTGTTATTATAATAACACTGTATATGACTGTTTATGAGTCTGCATTAAGCCTGCGTGGGGTTGTCTGTGCATGAGTGATCAGTTTTTGGTAATTCAATTAAGTTTAAAAATGTATTCAGTATGTAAATGAGATAAGCTCCAAGATGGGGCCTCAGTGTTATGTAAAAATGCACCTTAAGTTTCATGTAATTTCAGGTTTTTCTGTGCGTTTTAGTGGATTTACATTTAATCAAACTGCCCCAAACACCACAGAGTTATCAGGAGTGAATCTGGACTTGGTTCTTGTGGTAAATTCCTATTTTTGGAATCCTGCATTATTAATATCCTTGAAATTAACATGAACAGCCTTTAAGCATTGATTTGCACCATAAATATTATGATGATAACTGAGGCAGGTTCATTCAATTTTGTGAAATCTGGGTCATGACATGTGCTGATGTGTTTTCACCAAACCTATCTAGCTGGATACTCGTCTAATCGTTCTCCTTGGTTTGACTACAACTTCATCCATTGACAGAGATTTCAGGGGGATGCCGGCGGTTGTGTTCTACCGACAGAATAACTGCTACAGCGCATGTCGTTTGGTTTTAAAGGCTTATTTCACCCAGACTACTTCTGTCCTGCAGTCTAGCTTGGTTGTTAAGAGTTGCATGACGATTACATTTACTAATTAGCTTAATTAGTTCCTTGTCAGGTGAAATAACAATGGTACGGCCTTTGGAGTCTTTACCAGATATCAGAAAGGTTGAACCGAGGCCGGCACAAGGATGACTCACTGTCATAAAATACTGTTAAAATACACACAAATGCTGACAGTGGTGTCCTGGTTTTCCCAAAATATGATGGAAAACTGTAAAATCTGAAGCCCAAAACCAAAAAACTGGCGTGAATTGGAAAAAGAAATGTTTAAAACAACGAGTTATGAAGCCCTGTTCATAGGACTGACTTTAGTTAGGCAGCTTAGGATATTATTGTTAACTTTACAGCGATAGATAAAGGCTTTTTACACATCAAATTTGATGCGTTATTATTTTTTTGTTCAATAAAAGGACTACATTGTGTCATGCATTCCAATCTATAACATTAAAACTTGCCATTACCTTTATCCCCTATGTGTTTTAGGGCGATATGCATTTTTAGATCTCAATTCTAGATCATGTAGATTAAAGACACACTGTTATTTATGAATCGTATCTATCTGCAACTTCAAGTACTGTCTTTCAAAAGAAGAAAATATTGTAATCTATAGGTAACTGCAGTTAATGTTGATTATAGTTATAACAATATATGAATACAGTGTTTTACTGGAAAGTCTTGTCAAACTGTAAATCTCACATTCTGCTGTAGAATAAGGTCCCAATAGATATGATGAGTACAAATCCAGTAACTACTGTAAAAAAATGAGTCTGATTTTTTTCTTGCGCATGTTTTAAATGAATAAAGTGTGCATGCTGTAGGTTTTAGATGTTGCATTTCTCTATTTCTGTACAGCTGTTAAATGGTGTATTTTTCCCCTCTACTTTATAGCTTTGATTTACTGCACTTGCTTTTTCTAAATCATTTTGTGTCCTTCTTTACATTTTTCTCCTTCAAATTCCTCCTGTGTGCAAACCGACTTGATAACAAAACAGATTCTGGCTGAATGAAATCTACTTGGAAGAGTTTTGGAAACAACTTGCACCACTTTATTTTCATTGCACTCTGGAATAACTTGGTGCCATTATCAGATTAAAATCTTGTCCCTGCTGGACCGGGGCCCCCAGTGGTTCAGGACCCTCAGACCGCCTCTGACCCGGACCCTGCACCGCTCAGCCCGGCAGCAGCAGCAGCAGCAGCAGCAGCTGTGGTCACATTAAAACCAGCATCGCCGTTTTGTGACAACTGTAGATCAGCGAGCCATCAGCTCCCCCTCGCTCCTGTTTCAGGGATTTGTAGTTTTTACAGTAGAGGACGCCGCCGCGTGTCGGAGGCCTCAGTGGCAGTAAAACTACAGTTCCCTCGGAGCTGCTCGGAGGTGTTAGTTGTCAATATGGCTGTTGTCAGACAGACAAAGCAGAGAGGCAAATAATTCGCCTCTGATTAGAAATCCTTGGAAAAGGGTCGGACAGGGCACTGTTATCAAACTGCTTTGTCGCTCGGCTGCAGTAAACGACACAGCGGCTCTTCGCTTGAGTTATAAAGTTAAATGGTTCAGTGGACGTTTTGAACCGAGGTAAGTCATGTACTTAGCTCTCTTCAACACTGAAAGTGATGTTATTAATATCAAACGCTAGCCAGCGACGGCGGCTAACGTCAGCTAGTATCGGCGCTGGCACGGCTAGCATGTTATGCTAATCATTCCACAACGCGACCGAAATAGCTCACGTTAAGTTGCTAGCCGTCCTCCCCGTGATGCCAGCGGGACTGTTGTCAGTGTAAAATCAGCAGCTGGGGGCGCAGAAAATGTTTTGAGATATTTTTTGTTTTGTTTGGTGCGTGTGTGTGAGTGTGTTAAAGGAGGCTGCGTGCGGGTTTTCATTTAACCGGGCATTGTCCGTCTGCCACAGAAACATTTGCTAACGTTAGCTTTTGGGCAAAGGGCGTGAAAGCTGGCATCACCAGCGGTTCGCCCGCAGCGGCAAAAGGAGCGACAGATTTTTTTTTGCGCTGGTTTGCACTGCGGGCCCCACAGTCAGCAAAACAAAAACACATGGAGGCAGAGGAGACACCGCGGACTGTGGTCAGTTTTGGGACGATTTCGAAAACTACACCGCGAACGAGGCGAGAGTTTGGTGGGGAACATCTGATGCATGCAGCCCGTGTTGAACGGTAGGGAAACCTCGGCTGTTTCTGGTCGCATGATGAGCAGACGGTTCGGCGAAGCTGTGATTTATTCCTGAACTTTGCTGAACTGATATGCAACCCGATAGGATTGTGCACAAAAGGAAGTTTGCATTGCCGTTTGTGCAAAGAGAGCCCCGTTCGAACTGCTCCGAGGCAGTAAAGAGCAGTGTTTCCTGCAAACTGTGTTTCCACCAGTTTAACCAGCTTCTTGAGCCGAAGTGAATAGTTAACTTAGTCAATGCTTCATCGGACTAGGTAATGATTTCAGATGCTCGGTTTTGTTTGCAACACGCAATGTGCCAACATCACTTAAACTACTGAAATACTTCAAATGCATCCAATTGCATGTTTAAAAAGCAGTGATGTTCTAGTTAAATGAAGCAGTCAGACAGTTGTAGTTTTAATTCACCTCTCTGGGATGTGACAGATCTTGCAGTGTAATTGTGCTTGGTAATGATTTACAGCCAGAGCAGTTTGCCTTATGAATTTATAATGATAACTTAAGGGGACTAGTTAATGTTCACCAGTGCTACAGAAGTAATGTATTTCAGTGCTGACCCAAAAGGACTTTTTTTTTTTCTTTCAATGTGCTTGAAATCCTTTTAAAGACCTCTAAAGGCTTATATGCACCGCACTCCTATTAGTTTTCCTTCATAATAACTTCAAAACACTGCATGCACTGTGGAGTCATTTAGTTTTTTTTTTCCTGTCCTCTGCACAGTAACACAGATGTAGAAAAATGCCAGTGACCCCTTTTAAACCATTTATCATATCAGCATAGGTCAGGCTGGCACAGAAGATGGAAAATCTGCCGCAGTCTGATTCCAGTTGCATTGATTTTGAGCACAGCAAATTGCTTATGAAAAACATACAGCGTGGGTGGTGTGCAGAACCGGGGATATATTGTAGCTCTTAAAGAACGACAGTCAGAATGTTAAGATAGCATCAGCTGTCAAGGTGACTCTGGCACTCTGCGCGTGTTGCCTGCTGGTTCCCAAAAATAGCTGATTTTTATGCCCTGCCCCTCCCTCCCTTTTTCTTTCACACCTCTATCTCTCGCTCTTGTCTTCCTTTTCTTATCTGCTGCCTCTTAATTTTCTACTTGCAGTTTTTTCTCCTTTCCCACCCTTTTCTTTCCACTTTATCCCTCTAACTCTCCTCCACTACCTTTTTTTTCTGCCTCACTCCTCCTTCCCCATCATTCTCATTTTTCTCCCCATCTGCAACTGCGTTCCTTTTCACTCTTTGCTACTTAATCCTCTCATTTCCTCTGTGCCGCCACCATCCCTTCATCTGTCTCATTTATGCCTGACTTTCCTCCTTGCTCCTCCTTTTCTCCCTCTTCCTTTTCTCCTCCAGATCTTTAACATCCACTTACTTTCCTAAGGATTCCTTCCTACTTTCCTTAACTTCACCCTGCATTTCCTGCCTCCTTTCCCCTCCTCTTATTCCTCCTCTGTTTCACAACCTGTCTGTCTTGTCTCTCATCCAGCAGCAGGATGTCTGAGTTCAGCGAGGAGCCGCGCTTCACTATTGAGCAGATAGATCTGCTGCAGCGGCTGCGTCGCACCGGCATGACCAAGCAGGAGATCCTGCATGCACTTGACACTCTGGACCGGCTGGACCGGGAGCACGGCGACAAGTTCGGCCGCCGAACCTCTTCCTCCTCCTCCTCCTCGTCCTCCTACGGAGTAGGCGGGGCGAACAGCTGCACCAACAACTCTGCCTCTAATACTACTACCACATCCTTCAACAATAACAACACTGCCTCGGCAACCACCACCTCTTCCGTATCATGCAACGGCAACAGCGGCGCCATCAACAGCGCCGAGGGGAGCACCGGCGACCACTCGGCCGCCGCCGCCTCTTCCACGACCTCCAAAATCTCTACAGCCACGCAGACACAGTTCAACAGCGGCGGGGGGCTCTCGCCATCACCTAGCAACAGCTACGACACCTCCCCACCTCCAGGGCCGCCGCCACCTTCTGCCATCCTGCCATCACCGGTGGCGCTGGTGGCGCTGTCACAGAACGGCCGTGACAGTCTAGCTGCTACGCCCAACGGAAAGCTGTCTCCTCCACGGTATCCGGTGAATAGCGCAGCAGCAGCGCGAGCGTTCGGGTTCGAGGCCACAGAAGAAGACCTGGACATAGACGACAAGGTGGAGGAGCTGATGAGGTCAGTAGTCACAGAGTTAAAGTGAGCTCTGAAACTTTGTTGGGTAACTCTTTACTTTGCAGTTTGTCCAACTTTAGTTGAGTGCTTGTAGAAGTGGGCAAGTAATTATCTAAGATTGTGGTTGTCTCATTATAGTGACTTATGCTGATTTCAAAGGCTTCATTCACTTGAATATAAGCTTAAAAGACTGTCTGACATGAATGGCGATTGAATGAAGCATAGCCACAGTAGTAATGATCTTTTCACAGAATATCCGCATAAAAACACAAAAAAACGCACTATAGGTGTTTCAAAAAGCAACCTTGAAGGCTATTTACTGTTATCTTCTGAGTTTTTCCGCCTTATGTTTTCATTTGAATAGCTTGAGCGTTACAATGGTCTTCAGCCTGGAATTAGGGGCATCGTCTTTATTGGCAGTAATGTTCGTAATGAAAAAGCAAGAAAGCGCTGTTTATGTCGGGGCTAATTAGATAGCACCAAATGGAAACTCAACTGAAGCTCCATTGTGCGCAGCTGCTGTTGGAACACATTCATGTTTCACACGCTGAGCTTTAGAGTTCATTCTTGACCTTGGAAACAGAAGTTTAGAGAACAATCTCACCACGAAGTCAGTTTGGCATCACATGATCTTCATCAGCAGATGGCATTTGCTCTGTCTCTCTTATGTTATTCCTAATTCTAATTGTTGATTTTATGTTTTCATTCTGTCTAAGAACTTTCATGGCTTCATGTTCCCGTTGGCTTTAGAAGTGAGGTTTAAGGTGCGTTTTTGACCTTGAAAGCAGCAGTTGGGGAATTATTTCCATTTGACAGCTGTGATGCAGCATTCAGTTCCATGTTGTGTCTCTCTGTAAAATAAATGTGCTTCTTTTATTTATTTATTTATTTTATTTAAAAGTTTTTTTTTAGGTCTGACACAGTCCAAGGTTAGTTTATCTGTGCTCAGGTGGTGTAAATTCATATGACAGCTGATGTTCATTAGACTGCTTGAAAACAGATTTGTGATTTTCAGTTTGAATATCGTCTCTTTCTCTTGCATTCAGTATTATTTTTAGGATGTGGGCTTGTGTGGAAAAGCTACATGTAGAAATGAACCGATCGTTGGTAGGACACATGCCAAACCATTATTATCTGTTCGCTTCTCCTGTTGCTGATTGACTAGAGGTGGTAGATTCTGTGTCACATCTTTCAGACAGGCATTTAGTCAGTTTTTAAAAAACAAAAAAAGGGGTCGTCACAGTTAAAGGTCAATATCTCTAGTTTATTGTGTTGACAGTTATAGTCCAGTCGCCCTTTTGTTGGACGTTTTGGCTGCAGCCATTTCCGTGTGATGTCTTTCTTGCCAGCGGCCAAGATTATGCATCAGGTGCTCATCTTGAACTGTGAGTTTGTTTGGGTTTGTGCCCAGGTGTAAGAGTACAAAAAAATCATTAGTTCCTCAGCAGTCTCCTTTCAATATGAAAAAACTGAAGAACAACCCAAAAAAGTTGAGCTGGTAGTTTTGATCTGCCAAATCTCCAGGCCTGATAGTTTCACTTGTTTCTGCTTATATTCAGATCTGTGCTTATTATGTTTGATTATGCATTCACCAATTAATACATTAACCAAGTTAGGTTCATCTGTTTAATTTGCTAGCCATCTCTGACCTGAACATGTAAGAACTAAGCTTTCTTTTCAAGGTTTCATGTATTTGGATGCTGTTTTAAGTGTCTCGCTCACATTTTACTCACTTTGTCCAGCTGCACATAAATGCAAAAGATGACAGAATGACCCAGAGCACAGCCACTTCCTTGTGTTTGCAGTCACTAAACAGGAATGTAATTTGAGCTCTGGGTTTAGGTCTCAAATTTGTCAGCACCACTTACATGCCTTTAGGTGTTTAAAGATGGTTCAAGATCCACTCATGCAGACCTCAAAGGGCTCCCATACTTTTACCTGTAGTTGTTGTGGTGGTCAAACTGTTGCTATAATATCTAATTTGCCTTTCATTTAAGCCTTAAGTATTTGTATTAGTACTGTAGCAAGTTTTAATAATATGTCATAAGCATTTCAGCAGTGGTGCTTTAATTAGATCTCATACACCAAAGTTGTTAAAGTTTAAACCTGCGACTTGTTGTCATCCTTAACCACCGGAAAGAAAAACAGTCCAAGTAGGCCAATTCCAGTGTTTTTCACCTTTACACCGGTTATGTAGCCCTAACACAAAGTTAAACTTTGACAAGGTGTAGTTTCTGCAAAACTGTAACTGTGAAGCGTTCACACGAACAGTAGTGATGAACAGTTCAACGTTTTTATACTGAAATCTCATTTTTCAACAATGCGATTAGCAAATTGTAAAGGATGCATGTTGGATATATGACATGTGACCACTAAATAATGATTAAAAAAAAAAAAACAAACACATGCAAGCTGACTTAAACTTTGAGGGGCAGTTAATGTTGCCCATTGATCAGCGGATACGACTGCGTTCACCCATTCCAGCTGTTCAACTGACATAAGCCCAGTCTAATTATTAAATTCTCTGGACCCCAAAAACCTGTCAGCAGGTTTAAAAATAAAGCCCACATTACACCATTTGAGAGAATCAGAAACTGTAAAAATAGAAAGAATTGTGTCCTGTGATGGGAAAACTGGAGAACCTAACCAACCCTAAGCTGAAATTTGTGATATTTCAGTGAATTCACTCTATTCGACACTACTCACTTAAAAAGAAAAAGTGTCTGCTCCAACCAGCCTCTGTAAAAATCTACAGATGCTGTGTTCCTTGGCACAACAATAAAGACATTAGTGACTTGGCTGCAACCAAGAGTCATGTGATGAAAATTCAGGGACTGAGTTTACACAGAGCACGTAAGGGTCAAGTATGGAAACAAATTAAAAATGCGAGCAGTGAAATGTCCATATTGTGGAGAGTCGCCTTTTGTGTTCATAATTTGTGGCATTCTAACTTTATTAGACTTCACAAAGGACATTTTTTAGGTTCCTTCTACTTCTAGTCATGGCTGTGCTGTTTCCATAGAGCTGCAGGAGTTTGTATTGAAGTGAAAAATGAGACCACAGTGAGTAAAAATGTGATGGAAGCCACAACCACCCAGAAACGACTTGGAGTTCAGAGGGTCCGTAGCCACACCTCGTACATATTCCTGCACATCTGACCCAGACTTTAAACCGTTGTGTGGTTTTACAAATTATTGCTGTCCTCCTCGTGTGACATTTAGTGGTATCTCATGTGGTAAAAATCTACTTTTAAATCTACGAGACAGTGAATCTTGAATTGTGAACCCTGACTGTAAAAAGAAAGTGGATCACAAATCAAGTGATGCCTGTCAGAAAAAATCCCCATTAGATATTTCCCTCAAATCATTCAGCCCAAACAGACACTAAGTGCCTCGATGCACGGGTACTAATTAACCATTAATGAATAGCAACTCATATTTAGAGTTATGCAGTCATTAGGTAGGTAATTAAAAAGACTAATAACAGTCAAACACCTAAATAAGAGACAGAAAAGGTTGGCAGGGACGCTTTCATTCCAGGAGCACCGAACTGGCTTTTTTTTAAGCACCAGAACACATGACAGTTGTGATTAGTACATTTGTCTTGTACACAATGTACCACATAAAGATGTTCGTCCTGTGACGGAGTATCAAAATAACAGACGGGCATAAAGGCGTTCTTGTTGAGCTTTATGCGTACAGTCAACAAAGACTTGGTCGCATAAAAGGGGAAGTATTCTGTGGGAGGCATTGGAAAAGCCTTCAGGGTTCAAGATGACATTTTCCAAGAGGGAAGGGAAGGAAGAAAAAAAAAAAACCAGGCTTTCCATCATGCACCTCTGGAAACATTACATGAAATTACATTAAGCAACATCCAATGACATTAGATTTGAAATCACATGCTCAAGTAGTTGCTGAGGCCCATTACTCTGACAGGTCCAGTGTTCTTAATCTATCACAGTCCACATGTTCGCCACCTCCGATCTTCTTCTTCTTCTTCTTCTTCTAAGCACTTTACACATTAGCTGTGGGCTCCTGCTGCCTTCCAGCTGCCCTGCACGAACAGTCAGAGTAAGAATAGGCATTTAGGGCTCAGGCTCTCTCCTCGGCGCTGCACTAGCTGTCCCGTTGCTCATTCACGCTGCCTCTGCATTAAATTACCCGTCCTCTTTAGACAGCCCGAGAAGTTAAGTAGTGTTCAAAAGCCCTCGTCCTCTCTCGCCTGTAGGACTCTCCAGCGTCTCGCTCGGCGGGGCTGCGGGGGCGCGACACGAGGCTTCAGCTTGTCAACAATCCCACGGTGCCCTTCCGATTTTCCTCACTTTAAAGTGCACATTTCCGTCTCTGCGGGGGTTCGGCCTTTTGAGTTGGCATCCAACACATCTCTCCCCCTCCTCCTCCTCCTCATCATCCCTCCTCCTCCTCCTCCTATTCCTCCTCCTCCTCACCCTCACCCCACTCTTCCTCAGTCTTGTACAGCAGCTTGTGCTACATTGATTCGCTGGTGTCGATACAAGCAGCGTTTTTTGAGCTCTAATTTTAGCTGCGCCGCAAGAGGCTGGTGTGGAGGATATTGATGCTGGATGTCAAGAGTCGTGACGCATTTTCATTTCAGAAATATGCCAACAGAGCGCTCAGGACTTTGATGCGTTCTCCATTTTGACTGTGCGAGCCTGGGATGCTGACTGGTTCAAAGGCTGCTGTGATTGTATGTGTGTTTTTTATTTTTTTTATTTGAGCACTAGTGCTGGTAAAGTTGGGTGGGGGTAGGCGCCCACTGGAAATGCTTTCACATGGAGCAAAAAAAAAAAAACTAACTGTATGGATAAATGCACCAAGCAGTTTACACATCTGACAAGTGTTCACAACCCGTACCAGAGGAGGAATCGGGCCAAGACAGTCCTAAGCGTGTTGGTGTGTGTGTGTGTATGTGCATTATTGTGTGTATATATATATAAGGGAGGGGATTGGGCTCGACGCCAGAAAGCAGGGTGGGTACACTGTGTGACTGCACATCCTCCATTCCTGCAAGTCTGTGCATGTTTTATGCTTTTTTTCCCTGCTGAGGAGTGAGATAGGGGAAACATTTCCGTTAGATACATTTTGGAAATATAGATTCTCTCGATTGTGGCTCAGTTCATACAGCCGTTGCCTTTTGTGTTGGTCTGAAACGCAACGCTGATTGCGCGGGAGCCGTATAAAAAGAACAATACATCGATAATGCTGTCAAAATGCAGCCCAGATTAAAAAAAAAGAAGAAGAAGAAAAAAAGGGAGCTGTGGTTTTGTAGTTTTCCCACGAATAGATGAAATACAGAAACACAGATTCGCTCATCTGACATGAAAAGAGGGACTCAGTTATTGTACAGCATACCAAATGAGCGGTCTGAAACGAGCACAGCGTCTGTGACAAAAGCATAAAACATGTATGTGTTTGCTGTTAATGCGGGGTAATCATACAGCAGCTTGCACCGAAGCTGAACATACGTAAATCCGTCTAAAAAGCACGAAAATAAAAGCTGTATTTTTTTTTTTCTTTCCATGCAGCAGTTCCGAATGCCTCTTATCTCCACTCCATATATTTTTATTTTCGCTTGCCAATTAGTTGTCACCACATCTCTCTAAATGTATACAAATGATGCATTTCTTGAATAAATTGCTGCCACTTCATTTCGGTTTCCGTAAAACACCAGCAGGCTTCTTTGTGTTTCGCTGCCGACAGTGTATTAAGTGGTATCGCTGTGTTCTCTGCGCTGTGTGTTTGCAGGAGGGACAGCAGTCTGGTGAAAGAAGAGATCAAAGCTTTCCTGGGGAACAGGAGGATTTCTCAAGCAGTGGTGGCACAAGTTACCGGTTAGTAGCAGACAAACTGACTCACTCCTGATGCCATCGATTTTTCTGTCACAAACATGCTGTCACTTTGTCGAGCACGTTTATCGATTTTATATGTATGTTTTTTTTTTACATTTACATAAAATCTGTGTTGCTGCTGACTCTTTTAGAAACCCTTTTTTTTTCTGTCCCTGGATATACGTCAGGCAATCACATCATGATTTACAAAGGCTGCCTTCTGAACACTGACGAAGCAGCTGATTTGATGTGCAGTTTCTCAGTCAAACCACTGCACTTCTATTGTCTGTCACAAGATAACAGCACAGCAGGCTCAAAATCACCTGAACTAAAAAAAAAACAAAAAAAACTGATAAAAACAAAAATAGGTGATGAAAACAAAAATCCCTTTTTGTTCACTGCCCTGATGCTCTCAGCTTCAGCAGTGAATGACTGTAAAGTTAGTGAATCTGCTGGTGGAGTGTTGTTTCTATTGTCAGCAGCCAGTAAGAAGAAGTGGTGCGATTGGATTGTATAACTAATCTTTATAGCTGATCAGGACACACCGTTTTTTTTATTACTCTGACCGTGTGACGCTCCCATATTTAAGATCTCAGATAATCAGCCAAGACATTAACCCTCTGAACTCCAAGCAGTTTCTGGGCATTTTATGCTCCTGCCACATTTTTATTCACGGTGGGCTCATTTTTAATCTAAATTTAAAGTCCTGCACCTCTATGGAAACAGCACAACCATGGCTAGATAGAGAGAACTCCAACATGTCTTTTGTACAGTATAAGGTTATAATGTCATAAATGTTGAATCTCTTTGATTATATCTTTTGCAAAAATTGGGGAAAAAAAGGTAAATGTAAGTATTTTAGATAGCTCACTAATGTACATTTAAAATTTGTTGCCACACTTGTCTGAATAGTTAAAGGACTGGCTTTGATAATTGGTGTAATTTTAACAAACCTTTCAAACCCGGTGGCGAGTTAACATGTGACAGTTGTTACCAATACTGGAAAAGTGGCTCTAGATATTATAGATATTGTTCTATAACATTTTTAATTTGTCTCTTTACTTGTCTCCTGTCTGCTCTGTGTAAACACAGCCTGCAGTTTATCCAAAAATTCCCTGAACTTTGGTCACATGACTGATGGTTGTAGCAGAGTAGTAGTATAATGGCTGCACATATTTTAAATGTGTTATTGCTTTTTTTAAACTTGAAAGCTTTTTTCCATACTTGTCTGAGTAGTTGAAAGACGTTAAAAATCTGCAGATTCTCTCTGTTTTGGCAGCTTAATGATTGATGGCTTTTATTTTATTTTTTTAAAGGTGACATGCCCTTCAAACTCACTGGTCTGTTCAGAGGGTGAAAATGTAAAATCTGTAGATAAAACCAGTGACTCAACATGTAGGAGTTCTAGTGTGGGTCGCTGGAGTGCACTTAACTTGACAGAGCTTGTGACGAATACACTTCTCTTCATCAAAATAAAATCAGGGTGCAAATACTGGTATCAACCTTCCCCAACCCCTCTCAGTGAACTGATAATATCAAGTTTAACCGGGAGCCACTAAAAAAAACAAGCATCCTGCTGTATTTCTGTTACCGCTGCTTGTGCACCAGACAAGTGATCGGAGAAGAAATAAATCCAGGAGAGAGAAAACCCTTTTTCCCCCTCTTTTATTCCCCTTGAATTCTTCCAAGGGCTGTATACAAGTTGTGGTGGAGCTTGATGCGAAACACTCTGTCGTAATTCAGCGTCTGGCTGCTTTCCAGGCATCAGCCAGAGCAGGATCTCCCATTGGCTGCTGCAGCACGGCTCCGACCTGAGCGAGCAGAAGAAGAGAGCCTTCTACCGCTGGTACACGCTGGAGAAAACCACACCAGGTACATCTGGCTTCATTACCCCACACACACACACACACCGCTCGCTTCTTTTTATATTTGTTTGGCGTTTTGCCCTTATTTGACAGTTGGCAGTCCAGAGAGGGAAAGGAAAGAAGGGCCCCACGGTTTGTTTGTGCGTTGAAGGGCTGTGGTTAAAAATGGTGGCAAAATTTGGAAGCGAATCAGAGTTTTTCCTGCTCCATGCAGTTTGTGCCAAGATTGGGCAACGAAACGAAATATTTAGGATGAACAGAGCAGTGCCAGAACGACTGTTTCAGTCACCACAGTCAGTACTATTTAACTTAATCTAATCTGTCTAATCTAATTTAATGCATAGATGTTGGAGCCTTGCACATGTGGTTTTCATTTGTGATTGTTTTCTTTTTTATTTGTCCTGCATTCAAATGTGCATTGTGTATGTGCTTTATGGTATGTACATGTGGCGACGAGGTACCTGGTGTGCAACATAAAGTTTCTCCGTGTTATTATGTGAGAAACCAGTTTCGTTTCATTGCTCATGTGAACGTCTGCTTGACCAAACGAAGAGAGTTTGAAGCTCTGTTGTAAAGCTAGCAGTAGAGTTTGCCTCACTAATTGCAGCAGGGAAAGAAAGTTAGCACAGTAGGATAACACTCCATTCCCCGCAGTTTGCTGTTGCACCGTTAATGAGATAAGTGGCGAGCATTTTGTGGTATATGTGCTGCTGGGATGCGATCTATATGATGCCGCCGTTCTATGTAGTATCCTAAATGTCAGCAAAAACACGAATTGGAGACGGAGGAGGATGATAAGACAGTAACAGCAGCTGTTTGTTCCTGCTAAATTTGAGTGCTGTTGTGGTCTAACAAATATCATTAATGTGCAGCTCCAACCAGAGGATATAAAGGAATGTGCTCTCCTGCCAACATAGCAGCACTCTGGGAAATCAGTCGTTTAGCAGTTTGTCCTCGGACCGAACAATAATAGTAATGATGAAAATATCACAGAAATATGGCCAAGTGTTATATACAAATTGCAGTAGCTGCAATTTAGAGATTGTATTCACTGGACTAAAAGGAACATGATGGTTTGGTAGATACTGCAGCAAAAATCGTCTTTTTAATTTACATTTTTTTCATTTGAAAAGACATGAAAAAACACAATCATTCTGACTGCAATTATGAGTCTTCTTGCAATTTCTGACAAAAATGTTCTTTTCAATTTTTTTTGTTCAGCTTTGGTTTGTCTGGTAAAATATGTTTTAGTTGTGTTAACTAAGACCACCAATGTTCCAACAAATACCATTCCTACTTGTCCTACTTAGTGTTTTTTAATCTTTCAAAACCATATAAACATCAGCAGCCTAGAACAGAAGCGTACGCAAAAATACAGCTCAGTCAGTAATGATTAATAATAACATAGTAATAATCCTGTATTAACATAGTAAAGCTAAAGAACTAACACTAATCGCACAAATTCATGTTCTAAAAACTGATACCAAGCTAGCTTTCTTAATAAATACTGTGCAAAAATCATGTGTGTTACTCATGTACAGCCTTCTAATGTGTTTTTTCTTTTTTTTGTTCTTCCTCCAAGTTCAAGTTGAGTCACTCAGTCTGTCCCAATAACCACAAGTAGCAAAGCTGTAAAGTGCTTTCTTGTGCAACATATTTCCTGTAATTATAAAGTCAGACAATCTCAAGAAATGAACGTACTGTACTGAAAATGAAACAATCTAATAATTGGCTGGTTTTGGCTGATGCATAGGCACCAACAGATGTCTGCGTATTTTAACTTGATGCTAATGGAATAACCAGTCGGATCAAGATGGTCTGTGTTACTTTAAGTGATAAGTTCTGCCATAATGACACAGTGTTGTAATTACAAGCAATATTTCTACACTGTGCAGGCTATTATATCAGTGTCAGTGTACAGTGGGACCAAGATTTTATTGTATTCGACAAGAAAATAAAGATAGTGGTATCCCTCTACACACAAAAATTGGCTCGATTTCAAATAATAAAACAACAAATCCACGATTTAGAACGAGCATGTAGACACACAAAAGGTGGCTTCAATGAAAACCATTATATTTCAATATCTAGTTTGCCTGTTTGCCCGCTTGCTGTACTTTTTGACAATTTCTAGATTTGAACAGCGTCTGTAGCTGTGATGAAAGTTTCTTCCACGTTTTAGCTTTTAGTTTATCCAACCTAGAGCATCAATGAGCTGACACTTTGCTCCACGGCATCCTTTAAGCGCTCCACGGGATGTTTTTTTCGGGGCTCTGGAGGTCCATCGTTAGACTTTGATTTTCTCCCAGGCAAAAATATTCAACAGACAGCATTTGGATTCTGAAATCTTTATGAAGCCGTTTCAATATATTTTTGGCAGATTTCGTTAGCTTTGCATCCAATAAATCAATAAAAAGCAAAAGTTCACCTGCACAGCTACGAGAATAAACCCAGATGCTCCCACCTGTACTTTACCCACAGTGCAGCCTTGAGTTCTTCACCGGGGTTTCTCCACACAAGATTTTTTGTTTCTTCAATTTAATGCCTTCAGTTAATAAAAACAGTGGAGAGAGACAAGAAATGTGGGGAGCAGCGGAATGACGTGCAGCAAATAGTCTCCAGCCGTGAATCGAACCAGCTGCTCAGGACGTTAGTGCTCATGTGGTATCAAGTAACCGCTCTATCATGTCACACCCACACTAACTTTTTATTGACTTTCATCTGGAAATGACACTATTCCTTTTTCTTTTTTTTTTCGCATGGCCTTTTGCAAATTTAATCTTAGCTGTCCTGTTCTTTTTATCTTCTGAATGGTTTCCGCCGTATCGCTCGCTCCCTCGGTGCCGTTTCAGATGGTCTGTGAACTTGCATTTAGCGATTCCGGTTGATCTCTGAAGCGTTACTCAAGTCTGTTTCTTGCCCGTTTTTCTTTATTTTACTCTCAATTAGCGTTATCCTGTGGATCAAATCCCAGTTTAACTAATATTTGATGAAATAACCTCATGAACCTCACAGAAGTCGGAAGAAAGTTTGACAGTCTGAGCTGAAGAAACTGCAGTACAGAAATGTTTAGAGGCATTATTTCCGCTATACAGTTTGCCACCAGAGATTACTGACAAGATGATTACTTCTGGTTGTAGTTCTGCTTATTATGCATCTTGATTACACATCTTTAAAAAAACCAACAAAGAACACATGGCACCCTGTGAAACCTGCTGCATGCCCTGTTGCCCTAAAAGAAAACTACTCTGTTGTTCTTTTTGTGGATGCAAAATGGTGGCAACAAGCGAGCCATGACTGGATAATTATGACACCAGACCACCAGAGAACTAAGGCGATGAAGCGTTTTAGATTCAGCGCCAGAGGTGGAAAAAGACTGATTGCTTACTTTTAAACATACAGCTGTCGTGCAGTAACACAATAATAGAACCGAATCCTGCAGGGAATTTGCAAAATAAGCTCCATAATCACTTACACGATGTAGTTTGGGATTTAGCTACATGTGTATTGTTCAGAATAGTTTAAGTTATTTGTCATTTGTTGACCTGCCTGTTGCTGTCTTATTTTCTATTTAGTTGTTGACTCGGTCAGAACCTGAGACTTGAATGTGCTTGATGTCGTCATGTCTTTAGTGAGTCAAGTCTCATTTTTGTGACGTAATTGCTGCAATATCTTTTTTTATTAAGTATTTCCTTTCCATAAGGTTGTTAGGCTTCTGAGATGTGGACGGAAAAATTGTCCAAGAACTCCAAACTCTGACCTCTTGTGTTTCCCAAAGTGCAGCCGTAGTGTTATCCTGTGATTTTTAAAAAATTCACGGGCTATATGTCTATATAGATACAAAAAACAACTTGGTTTGTCTTGATAAAGTAATATTCAAGGCTGTGAAGAGACACCTAAAGGCAAACCAATGACAAAAAGGGCCACACTGGACTGTAAATGGTTAAAAAAAAAAAAAACCCAGCCGGACAGATGCTTTCTCTGGATCCAGACTGTGCATGTGTACATACAGGCCTGTGCGCGCTGTATCAACCTATAGCCGGGCAGCAGACATCCCACGCCTCGTCCTCTGCGGCATGTTCCTCGGTGGAGCCCTGCCAACACCGTCAGCACTGGAAACTGCTCTATGCTATTTATGGCCAGACTGAGCCCGGCCCAGCTCAGCCCAGCCCCGCGCACACGCCTCCATCACTGCTGCAGAGAAAACTGATGCCCCATTCATACTGTTCTGATAACCTGGGCTGTGGCAGGGTTGACCCAGTTAGGCCTCGCTGACAATGTCCGCGTCAGATTATGTTATGATGCAGCACGTGAGCCTCCGTGCCCATAATGTATCCAGGCTTTAAGCTGTAATGCGGCTAGCTTTATGCGTCTGAGAGCAAATCAAACCTTTTGTGTGGTTTTCTTTTCTGCTGTGGTCATGACTTGAGACGAGGCAGCGCCGTCCTCGTCAGCACTATTCAGTCCAGTTTATAAACAGAATATATTGTGAGATTAGCAAAAGGCGCTGTACGTTCTCACATACATTTTCATGAGGCGGGGAAGGGCTTCTTGGCCGAGGTGGTGCTGTGCTCAGTTCATCTGTCAAAACAGCCACTAAACACATTATTACTACATTGTTCTTAGACTGCTACTGGCACAGTTTGTGCTTCCAAACCACAAGCACACCTGCAGACTGTGTGTTGCTGCTTATTGTGGCTTGACTCTTCCTGACAAGTAAACCATTTTCAGTTGGAACTTAAAGGTGGAGTCTGCAGTTCTGGAGAAAGATTGATTTTTAGCTACTTAGCATATTTAGACATTTAGCATGAAGCAGATTTACTGTCTCTGTCACTCCTACCTCCGTCCTCGTTCCTCTCCATTTCCCCTCTGTTTTTTACAACATGGCTCGAAATGATCCATTGTGTTCAGATCTGGATCAGTCCAAACCACATTGTTTGTGTTCTATTTATAGACAAAAGCTGTGTACACACCATGTAAACACCATGATGAGAAGTGTATGAAACACACAACACCAAGGCATTCAGACATGTGCCTTGTGAATATTTTGTACATTTAGAAAGTCTCTGAGTAATATCAGTTTCTTTTGTGAACAAAAGTGTACACACAGTTGTAAAGCCCATGTGTACATCATGGCAGTCTTGAGTTTTCAGTGACTCCTGTAACTCTTAATTTCGTATAATGGAATCATTGAAACCCATAAGATTTTGTCACAAAGAACAGTCATGCATTTGGGTTCTTTCATATATTTATTGTAGATGTTTTGGAAATATGATAAAAACTGCTGTGTATATTAGCATACATACATACTTGGTATATTACTAACGTAGCACTTGGTTATATCAGGTTAAATATCTCGTGGCCATTTTCACCTCAACTAGGCGCTTTTGGTAGCCATCCACAAGCTTCTGGCAAGTTTCATGGATCTATCTTTGAACACACTGAATTTGTGCAGTTAAATTAAATGTGTTGGCTTTCAGCCACAGACTTGTTTCTTTTTCATGGTCCACACTATTAATGGGTTTTCAGTCAAGACTGTTGAGCAGACCAGTCTAAAACCTTAATTTTAGCCTGATTTAGCCATTTCTGTACCACTTTTGATGAGCTTTTATGGTCATTGTGTTGTTCGAACACACAGCTGTTTTTAAGATCCAATCTTCTGGCTGATGATTTCAGGTTTTCCTGTAGAATGTGGAGATAATCCTCCTCCTTCATCATTTGCTTTGTGTAAAGCATCAGTTCCACTGGCACCAACACAGCCCAGAGCATAATACTGCCACCACCATGCCTGATAGTACATTTGGTGTTGTTGGGGTGAAAAGCTTCAGCCTCTCCGCTCCAAACATAATTCTGGTCTGTTTGGCCACATAGCTCCATTTTTATTTCATCTGACCACAGAACGTGCCTCCAGAAGGCCTTTTCTTTGTGAGTGTGATCAGCAGCAAACTTGAGTGGAGTTTTAAGGTGCTGTTTTATAGAGGAAGGGCTCCCTTCTTGCACAGCAAACTCAAGACTGCCATAATGTACTTGGTTTTTACAAGTTTCTGCAAACTGTTGTTCACAACTGTCTAGGAATTTGTGCGAAAGAGTCTGTGCAATCATTCTGTACAATATCAGTATTGTTGTTTGTTTTTACACTTCCCCCTTTGCGGCTCTAACACTGCAAGTTTCCCCACTGTGGAGTTAATAAAGGGTTATCTTATCTTATCTTAAAGCCGCATATTGCAAATTTAACAGAGATTCTGCTGCTCCAGGTGCCACTCTGAACATGCGACCGGCTCCGTTGCCTCTGGAGGAGATGGAGTGGAGGCAAACCCCGCCTCCCCTCACCACCGCCCCTGGAACCTTCAGGTTGCGTCGGGGAAGTCGCTTCACCTGGAGAAAAGAGTGTCTGGCTGTGATGGAGAGGTGAGGGCAGAAGAAAATATGGAACTTAGCAGAGGATTGTTTCATAACTTTTTATTTCCTCAAGGAGTAACGGAGACACTGCAGCCTGGACAACGAGGAAATAAAGCCTGTCATACACTCTCAATATTGGCTCGGTTGTACCGCATACATATCAAACAGCAGTAACTCACGATTGTTGACATCGTCCTTGTGTAGTGAAATTAATTTAATCAGTGTGACTCTTCCGCTATTTATAGCTACTTCAACGACAACCAGTATCCAGACGAGGCCAAAAGGGAGGAGATAGCAAACGCCTGCAATGCTGTAATTCAGAAACCAGGTAACAGCACAAAAAAACCAACAAGGACACCGTGTTATAAGAATAACCCTGACATTGTAAGCATTTTAAGTCCTATGGATGACACGATTCATGTATGAAGCTTCTGTATTCTAATATAATCCGTGCAACTTTGTGAAGAGCTCTTCACGTATAAGTGTTATGAAGCTGAAACAATTACTTCATCAGCTGGAAATGTATGTGCAACAATTTTATTTAAAAAAAACAAGTCACAGCTTGTGGGAACAGACGGGTGGCAAAAAACAAGCACAGTAAAATAAAACGATTAGAGCAAACGGAGGGGGGGGAAAGGTCGTTGTCGTGACAGTCGGTAATTAATCGTCATCATGCGATTTTCTTTCTTTCTTTTTTTGTTATTTCCAGGGAAGAAGCTGTCGGATCTGGAGAGGGTCACCTCCCTGAAAGTTTACAACTGGTTCGCCAACCGTCGCAAAGAGATCAAGAGAAGGGCTAACATTGGTAATGTGGCTTTGGGGTGGGACCACTAAAGTCCATTGAGACTGTTAGTTTCAGAACTCTGCATGTTTAATTACATTCCATTGAGCTAACAGCGTTTTTTTCATATTTAATAACAACAATTAGAACAATTTTCTTGTGCTTTTCTTGATGGCTCACTATTATTTGCATCATTCTAGCGGTGTAATTAGGTTGATAATTGTTAGTCACCAAATATCTGTTATGACCTCTGGCTAACTATCCTCATAACTGCTGTGGAATTAAACAAACCACACACCTCGATGAAAATTAGATTTTTAAAATAGAACCTCCATTACTTAGAAGCCAAAGGGCTCATTAGAGAAGACGAAGAAGAGACTCGGTGTAATTTGGTCAAAAACTTTGTTAATGTGTGGTCATTTGCATCCTCGGTGACAGGCCTTTCCAACCTGCTTCACGCCTCGGTGCCCACGATATTCTGTCAGACTCAAGGATGAACCGATTAGAATTTGGTAATTAAAAGTCAAAGGTTACTGTAACCTCACAAAAGAGTTTATTTTTTTCAAGAATTCATATGCTAATTATGACAAAGTTTCCCACAAACGTCTATTATACATAAATAAAATGTTAAAGCGATGACATTTTAGTTCTAAAAGGTCTGAGTTTAACTTCCCTGTCACATCATGTTCTGCAAAAACTCTTTTTTTTGTTGCCATTATTCAATATCATAACTCAGGAACAGAATCTCTGTGAGCACATTTCACATCTGGTGGGGTTCTGCTCCACCGGTGTTGTTGCATTGAGTCACTGGTAATTACATAAGATATTTTGATAATCTGATTTTTTCATGTAATTAAGCTGGTGTTTAGGATTGTTTGATTAAATATCCATACTACTCAGAGGAACAAAAGTTGGATGTTTTAGCCGCTTATCCTCAACTTAAATATGGAAATCATTAATCCAGTAGTCGTGTGTTTCAACCATTTAATTACTTTTAGTTATTTCCAGCATTTATCTATTCTTTCAACTATTTAGCCATTGATTTGCACAATTTTCAACAATTTTTCTACTTCTTCCAGCTTGATATTAAGTCTGGATTTTATTTAGCTAACCTCGTTTATGCTTTAAACCCTTTCCGCTGTATATCCATTAGTTTTAGCAAAAATAGTTCAACCACTTGTCCACTACTTAAAGCTGTTTGTTGCAACCATTAATCACTACTTTTAGCTCTTTAGATGTCTGTTTCAGCTAACTTACTTTCCCTATTTTAACCATATATCTACTCCTTGTAGGTATTTACACCACTTAGCTGTGACTTTTAGATAAATATTTCATTTATTTATTACATTTAACTACCTTTTCCAGCCATTTATACACTCTTTTAGCTATTTCAACTGTTTATTTCAGCTATTTATCATTACTCTTAACTAAATATGTCAGCCATAACATGGACCCATCCAATCTTTCCGATGTTCATTTTAACTACATGTCCATTACTTTTAACAGTTTCAGCCATTTAGCTACTACTTTTAGGTAAACATGTTCGCAATTTACCCATTATTTTAGCTCCCCCCCACGTATTTTAACACTTGGCTACTTTCAGCTAAATGATTAAACTATTTATCCATTGATAAATATGTGCCAATAATCTATTTCTGCCAGGTTTCCATTACTTTTAACTATTTCCAGCATTTAACTATTATTATTTTAGCTTTTTCAACCATTTAGCTAAAACCTTAAGCTAAAGATTTCAACCATTTCCTTAGCATCTTTAGCTAACTCTTTCAGCCATTTATCCATTCTTCTAGCTGTTTCATCCAAAAAGTTTCATTAAAAATATTTTGCATATCCATGACTTGGAGCTAAATATGTGGAACATTAATCCATTGCTTAATATCAGCTGTCTGTTTTAACCATTCACCACCGCTTTTAAGTTTTAGCATTCATGCGTTCCATTAGCTTTCTTTGTTAGCCGTTTAGCTACAACTGTTAGCCAAATATTTTACTTTAGTTTTATCTGTTACTTGTAGCTTTTTTAATAGCTTATGTCGCACTACTTACCCAAAATGTTGACAAATCAATAAATATTCCTCTAGCTCTAGCTATTTCTACCATTTATTCATAATGTTAAGCTTTTTCCCAGGTAACGGTTCAGTTCACTTGCAAGCTAGTTTTTGTGTAGTTTTACACAGTGGTCAGGTGTTTTAGCTGATCCAATAGGTCAGTATACATTTTTAGATCGAAGTTTTCTGAGCTGCTCTGCAACCACAAACCTCTGGCTTGGATTCACTGTGCTGGAGAATGTATTGATTCATCGTAAATCTAATGATCCATCCTCTTCCTCCAAGAAGCCACAATCCTGGAGAGTCATGGGATAGATGTCCAGAGTCCAGGGGGACACTCCAACAGCGATGACATCGATGGCAACGACTTCTCAGAGCAGGTAGAGAGCGATTCAGGATCCCTAAAGACACACAAATCAGATTAATGCGCCACGCCGTAATGTGAAGGAAGGAGAAAGCGGTCACTGCTTCTTACGTTACAGCTCCATGTTTTCTTTTTATGATATACTTTGCAAGATTTTAATTTCTCCCACAAGCATTTATATTTATTTCTTTGGATCAGCCTTTTACCCGTCTTTCATATCCATGTCCTCACCTTGGAGAAAGGCTCAGCAACTGTTAAATTCAACTCTGATCACACATTTTACATGTCGTCCATTTCAACCAAACAATGCGCCAGTTGCCTTTTGCTGCTTGTGTATTTTTTTCTGTCTGTATTTGTCGAAAGCTGTGTTAATAATTGAAATCGGCAGTGAGCCTCGTGGCCTCGCTGGCACATTACTGTCCACAAATTCGCATAGAAAGTGCGAGAATATTTGAACTGCTGTTTTCCTTCTGATTAATATACCCATCACTAAATATAGAAAGAACATAAAGTTCTGTGTTTTGCGAGGAATCGTACCTTAATTACCAAATTCTCCCTCTGTGCTTCTCTTGTTACCAATGGAAACAAAACTGAAGCAAGTAGAATTGCTTTGTATTATTAAGCCAACCTGCAGATGAAGAGTGTTTTTTTCTCTCTCTCTGGTTTAAGCTCTCTTGCTGTGCTCTTAATTGCACAGCATGCAAACGGGGAGTGATGAACACGTTTTTTTAAGCGCTGCTGTCAAACTGTAAAAGTAATTGTGCAGATTTTGAAGTATTTATCGAGCTACACGTGAGCTGACTGAGTAATCCTGTCCTTTTGAAACGCCTCCAGGCTTGTGACCTCCCCTATTTTGACAAGAGACCTCTCAGCCGACCATTTGGCCTTTATCGACTGGAGCCCACCTCACCGACACAGGTAACCCCCACACACAGACGAGCAGAAACGCGACACTGATTCTGTATGATCTGTGGATTAGATTGTGACCCTTGGAAGCCCAGCATTGGTTCATCAATTATGCTGCTGTATGTTTCCGCAAGAAGCTCCGCTCTGCTTTAGAATCCAAAAAGGAGACTCACAGTTAAATCAGATGGAGGTTAAAAGAGGCCGTTCCTCCTCCACCTCAATAATGCTCTGATTGCATTTCTTTAAATAGCTGTATACAGTAATCAAACGGCACGTCGCTCAAAACTTGATTAGACGCTCGGTGTCACTGCTCGCTGATTTTCTGGCTCCTGTCACCTCAATGTGGTCGAAAATCGTTTCTTTCTACAAACTTAAAACCCATGAAGAATTTACTGCAGGAGATCTAATGGAGGTTATTTACCGCTTTGAGCTGCGACGCCATCGTGTTGAACCTAAAATAGCTCGTTTTATCATACAGAGTTTTAGGCCACGATGATTGATTGTGAAACAGAGTTTCAACAGGATGTCTCCTTTGAGCTGTTGGGCTGCAGGAGTCTGTTAATCAGCTGACACTCTCAAACATGCATCTTGTCATGTAATTGTGAATAAAGCCCGTGGTCATCTAGTTTCAATCTGACAAGGTTAGACCTCGCAGCGTTTCTGTAACATTTTCAACACGGCACAAATCTCAATTAAAGCCGGGGTAGGCAGAAACCTGGAGCCTTTCTTTCTGTCCTAAGCTCCTACCAACAGACGAGCACGGACTCATGCATGTGCTTCATACACATGTGCAACAAAAGCTTTATTGTAAACATGAATATACATACGGAAGTGACTTATCCACAGCTGCAGCTATAAGGAACATTTAACTTACAGTGTAGGCAGTTGTTGCCAGTTTTCCACCATCCAGGCCCATCTGCATGTGTAGAGAAGCCAACAGGAACTCCCTGATCAGCAAAAGTCTAGTGTTTTTCTCAGATTACTCAAATGAAGTGAGTTTTTGCGCAATGATGCAAAAGAATGCTGCATACCCCAGATTTAAATGTCAAAAAAAGGCCCCATAAATAAAGGCAAATCTAAGTTACTAAAGATAGATGTCGTTTTTTTCAGTCTTGTTGGCAAATAAAAAGAAATCGTCCCCTGAAAGAAGCAGCTTTCCATTCTGACACTTTAATTATTCCTTAATGACATCACATACAGCCTGAGATTCTCACTTGTATAGTTTGTCGTCGTGCGTTTGTGCTGTTATGAAACACAATATAGGCCACAGAGTCCTTTGTTAAATAAATGATGAAGCTAATGAGAAACAGAATTGGTGGATTGACTGCACAGCGGCAGGATTGGCTCAGTAATCTCCATGTATGGAGTTATAAGGTATGGATGATCCCTGCAGTGTGATCATCTCAGTCTTTCCCACCAGAGTTCAGTCTGTCCTTCAGGTCTGACACCCACACATGTTGGATGTTAGTTCTTTCATGTTGGAGCCTGGATCATGTTTGCTTTCTCACATTTATGTTTTGTTTCTTCATGTGTATCATTGAGCCCTTACACAGAACTGGACGGCTGCTTCTCCCACTGCATAGTTTTAACTTTTTACAGGCGGTCGCAGCGTACAACCTTTCAGCCTGCCGTCCCTTGTCCATTTTATCATCGAGCTCGCATGAAAGATCCCTCCTGAAGGCATGGAGAACAGCAGACTCCAGCAGCAGGACCTGTAGCCAGCGTGCACAGTCCAAACAAAGCAGAGAAACACTTGTTTAAACATTGCTCTGTAGCGGAACTCCTACTCTAAAGCCGTGTCTACACAGAAGGTGTGAGCATATGGCCTTTGTGTAAAACACAAACTGTTGTGCCGTCAGTGTCGACAGTTGGTTTGATTAAAATAGGAGCGTTTCTGCTCCGTCAGACGGCCGCGAGATGGATGACTGAAGAGCCTCCTGTGCAGACTTGCAGTAAAACTCCACGGGGGCCTTTAACCCTCTGAGCCCTGGGCAGTTTCTTATTTATTCTCAACACGTTTTTACTCACCGTGGGCTAGTTTTTTATGCTGATATTAACTCCTGCACTTCTATGTAAAAATCACAGGAAGGAGAGCGAAATCAAACGTGGTTTTTGTGCAGCATAACAAATGTAAACTAATAATTGATCAGATTTATAAAGCGCTTTTCTAGACACTCAAAGACGCTTTACACTGTTAGTTATTCATTCACACGCATTCATTCTGGTGGTGGTAGATTGTAGCCACAGCTGCCCTGGGGCAGACTGACAGGGGTGTGGCTGCCATTCTGCCCTCTGACCACCACCTCAAACAATCCGTTCATACGCATTCACACCAGGCAAGGTGGGTGAAGTGTCAAGGACACAACGACCACGACACAGGTTACATCTAACCACCGATCATTGACCGACTCGCTCTACCACCTGAGCCACTAAAGTTGAATTTCTTTGTTTAATTATTTTACAAAAATTGAAAAAGCCTGCCATTGACATGTACAACAGTTTTCAAGTGCCCACAGGTGTTACTATTACTGGGGGAGATGGTGGCTCTGTGGATAGACATCTTACTGCTCACATTCGATTTGTGTCCAGACTTGTCTGAATAGTTCAAAGACTTAAAAAGTAGAACATTTGAAGATTTTTTTTTCTGTTTTTATAATTTCTGGCTCAGATAAAGGAGCTACTTTAAATACAATTTCAAAATAATAATTTATTTTTAAAAACGTAGCGTGCCTTTAAAACTCATTCGCGTCACAGAGGCTTAAAATGCGACTACTTACGTTCTGAATTTGTTTCATTACTTCTCTCCTACCTGCTTTGCGTGTACACAGCCTGCAGTTCAACCAACAAGTCCCTGAATTTTTATCAGCAGTGTCATTAATGGCTTTCTGGTTGCACCAAGGAGCTCAGAATTATTTTTTTTTTTACAGAATCTGGTTTGAGGAAAATGTTTCTTTTGACAGATATTTAAATAAAACATGTAGGTTTAAGTCATTTTTAAAAGTATCACAATTTCAAGCCTGGATTTGGTTATTTTTCCTGATCAAACGGCACCAGACGGATGAAAACCTGACACGTCTTTCAGTTTTTTTAATTTATGCTTTAGCTAAATGGTGTAATTTTGTGTTCACGGGAGTGAAGAGTGACTAAAGCCCCGGACATTTCACATTCTGCACCTTGATGCTGTGATAAACGAAGACTTTGAGACAACAGAGCATCATCCTTGTAACACTGAAACTACAGCGTGCAATGAAGTCTTTGGTCTTTTGTTCAGGCAGTCCAGTTTAACTTATTAAGGATAGACGTTTTGTTTTTTTTCTAGTTTTGTGAACAGAGGAGCTGCCAACCAAAGATCCTCCCAAAACTAATCCAACCAGCGCTCCCGTCTGATATTTAACATTTTCAAACACAGGAGTCTTGAAGCTCCATATAAAAGTCACAGACCAAATCCCGATGAGGTGAAGTCCTTCTAAACCTTCTTGTTTTTTCCCGTTGGCTCCAGGACGACAGCGCAGCACACAGCGAGCACCAGGACCCCATCTCTCTGGCCGTGGAGATGGCCGCCGTCAACCACACCATCCTGGCCCTGTCCAGAACCGGAGGGGTCCCCAACGACATCAAGACCGAGTCCCTGGAGGACGAATGAACTGCACAGGACCTGGAACGACCGGGGAGGGGGACGGGGGGAAGGAAGAGAGAGAACCGGAGTCGCGATGGGAAAAAAGGGAAGGAGGAGTTAGAAAGATGGTGGGCGGGGAGGCTATAAAAAAAACAACAAAAAAAAGAGACCAAAATGATGCTACTTAGTAAATCTGTCCCTCAGCCAGCCCCCTGCCAACGTCTCTCTCTCTCTCTACCTCCCCCCTCCTCCTCCTCCTCTCCCCTCCTCCCTCGTGGTCCATGTAAACAGTAATTACCCTCCTCCCCCCACCCTTCCACCACCCAACTCAATGTATTGACACAGCTGGAGGAAATGGGTCACTATAGGACCTCCTCTGTGGAAAGAAGAAAAAAAACGGGGGGCGACCCAGGCCTCTAACCTCCCCCAAATGGGTGTCTGGGACTCTCTCTCTGTCTTTCTCTCTCTCTCCTCTCACAGGATACCTCTTCTCTCCCCCTCTGCCTCCCCCCCTTACCTCCCCTCTTCCAGCCTGGTTGTCTGAGCCGATTCCTCAGTCTATCTCACCTCAACGTCAACCTCAGAAAAATAACGTGTACTGTATATATGATATATATATATGGTTCTTATGGTTCTCAGTCACACTCACCTCATGGTGCGCTACCTACCTACCTACCTACCTACCTACCTACTTACTTATCTTACCCCTCGAACTCACCTCCTCATCGTGCAATTCATCGGAAGAGCAGCCTCCAGCCGTCGTCTCGGGGAATAAAGCTTCCTCCCTCTCTGGCTTCGAGGCAGTCAGCAGGAATAATATCGGCAGACAAGAACTGTCCAGTCACTGTCTTTTACCCTCTATATTTATCATTCCTCCGTGGAATGGCTTTTTAGTTGTTGTTTCCCGACAGTAGAGCTGCTATTTTGGATTTAAAAAAACAACAAAATTTCTGCTGAAAACGAGAAGTCGCCTTAAATTCCAGACTTCAGCCAAAGCCGACGAGGATCTGAAAAATTAGTCGGTGCACAAAGAAACACTTTCAGCACACGTTAATAAGAAAATTCGGCTTCTATCCAACAGCAGCAGCACTGGTTTGAGTTCATCCACTCGCTCTTCCTCTTTGTCTTTCGGCCCAGTTTGTGACTGGATTAACAGTCGTTCTGCCTTTTTTGTATTTAGCTCCCTGGTGACACTATTGTTAAGTACTCGAGGCTGTGAGGATCAGTTTAGGATCAATGTGATAATCAAACTTTTTAAGCTATCTAATAAGGGGAATTGTGCTTTTTATTTCTTTTGTTGTTTGTTTTTTTTGTTGTTTTTTTCTTTTTAAATGTCATCCATGCCAAAGGAAAAGACGGCGCTAAGCTAAGACTGATCTGAGAAAGGTGTTAATCCAAAGCGATTTCAAAACGTAACTCCTTTGGCATACGTAGGGTTTTTGAAGCCTCTCGAGCCGGCGTGGGCTCGACACTACAGCAGGCCTGTGTCGCTAAAGATAATAGGTATTAGCAGCCAGATATGTTACGATAAAATACCCCTAAGCTATTTACTACTTCTGTGACGCTGCCTCTTTATAATAGCCTAAGTAATGTGCTTTTTTAAAAAAAATAAATATCTAATTAGACTAAATCCACACTGGAAATGGTTAAGATTATCAGAAGAGCTTTTGAGGCGTTTTGTTTTTTTTAATCATCTATGTAGCCTCAAAGGTAAAACCACCACCTTGAAGGGAATCAAAGACACTTAAAGTGGTGATGCTAGAAATGACTTTTCACTGTTTGTTTTTTGTTTTTTTGCCCGGAGTGGAACTTTTCCAAAACCATCTCTGGCTGACAGTCACTCTGCTCTAAGCCCGCCACACTATGGTCAAGTATTCAAGTTTTTATTGTTGACGGGTGTCGAGAAATTTGGGTGAAGAAATCAAAATTATGGTGTGAAATTTTTTGGGAAGGTGGGTAGAGTTACATGAGAAGATGGACGCCTCTCTTATTGGAACAAAGGGACAGACTTACCACATCCAGAATTCTCCCACAAGTTTTAATTCAAAATTCTTGAATGCCAAAGATGGCGGTCGGACGACACACGTCGTTCTTGTTCCCCCCAAAAAGTCTCAATCTTTGGAACAGGTGAATGTGTCGTTACACCTTGTAGAAGTATCACTTGTGGGGGAAAAAAAGCACCTTTTAAACCATATTTTGGGACAAAGTCACCAAACTTCCTAATCATTTTTTAAAAAAAAATCCGATGTAACTGGTGATTCAGTTGGAATGTGTTGTTCTGGCTCTCTGCAGAGTTTGTAGCCCAGAATAGGATCGCTGCTGAGCGGGAAGACTCGCCTACAAGGACTTTAGCATAGCCATGAGAAACACGAACTTTTCTTAAAGTTTTAAAAAATCCCGTCTAGCAGCACCTCTAAAGCTCCTGAATAAACCCTCTGAACCCTGAGCAGTTGTTCCTGCTTCTGTCCCATTTTTCCTGTGGGCTCATTTTTCTGTGGAAACAGCACAAGACCAGAAGTACAGAGAAGTGACTGTATTGTGCCATATGACACAGCAGTCATACCATAAATCATAAACAGATGCACCCACAAATGTTACCAGGACTGGAAAAATGGTGACTACATACGAATGATATGTCACTGTTTGCATTGTTGGTGTGTTTCACTTCTCGTCTCCTCTCTGCTCTGTGTGAACACAACCTGCAGTTCAACCGAGAGTCACTGAATATTTTATATTACTGTATGTTGCAGCTAAGGAGCACAGAATTGTTTTCCAGAATCTGGTAAAAGCGATTCGTTACCACACCTTTTAAACCTGCCTGTGAGTTTCAGGGTTCAGAGGGTCAACATGTGACATTCAGTCTGAGTTTATAAGTCATGAAAGAAAGTCCACAGCGGCCTCCTCTGCCTTCGTTATACCTCAACAGATGATGGAAATGTGTCACTTTGGGAGCTTTTGAGGTGCTTTCTGCTCAGCTAAAATTAGCATTAGGTAGCTTACAGCGCACAACACGTGAAATAGTGTTTTAAGCTACTGTTTTGTATAAAACGTACAAAATCCAGTTGGATAACTAATGAGCTGTAGCATCACAAGGTGGACGATTTAGTTTTTATCTGTCTTCAGTTCAAACCAAACTAGCAGATCTTCTCACTTTAACATGAGAGCAGGTGTTGATCTTCTCATTGAATTCTTGCCTTTTCCCAAAAAGTCAGACTGCTCCTTGTAAAGGAACCCCTGCCTTAGCGATGGTTTTGGAGAACTGGGACAATATTCTACAAAGCAGGATTAAACCAAACCAGAAATCTCATGTAGTTCCTCACGTCTGAAACAGTCCGACCTGGACGGCGGTGACGTACCTGTTACAAACACTCAAAGTGTTTTTTCTTTTTTTGTTATTTTTTACGTCCACTTCTAAAGCTGTTAACTTCTGGTTCCTGCTTGTATAATCGCTCCCAGTCCGGGGCTCTAGTCTAGTTAAAGCTCTATTTAAATCTACTGCTTCAGTATGTACGAAGCTGCGATACAGCGACTCAGAACTGGGACCTGTGTTTCGAAAAGAAAGGGTTGAAAGCTAAAAAAAACAAAAAAACAATATGTATTTATACTCATTTTTTTATGGTAATGTACAAAAAAAAAAAAAAGAATGACATATGTTTTGAAATGAACCATGCTTTATTGTTAAATTGTTTTAATTTCTCCTGACTTATTTTTCTATTATCATTTTAACTTTTTTTTTTTCTTGTCATCCCTTATTTGACTGAACAACAGTCCCCCCCTCTTCCTATTTGTATCCGAGGTCGTAAGCTATTTTATGAAAGACGAACGATATGATGCACCTTATGAAAATTATCGCTGTTGACTAAGCTTGAAACCTTCTCCCTCTCCCCCCCCCGAGCCTTTCGTTGAAATGGCAAACGTCCAGTGTACAATAATGGGGCTGGTGTGGAAAAATAAAACATTTCAGTTCAGCTGCTTCACACTATATCACATTAAATCAAAGCCCCAGTGTCTCTAAAACGACGCCACACCAAACTCCTGAGACAAATCTAGCTTTTTGTTCCCTCCAATGCCGATCTTCATACACTATAGCTTAGAAGAATAGTAAACTACAGTTGCATTATTTACGACTAAATACTGATTCTATTATAAAAAGTTCCTTCTTCTCCGACTGCTATTAGAAACCAATGTGTTTTGGATGATGTGGGTTTGTGAAATGTGTGGGCTAACTCGCTGTTGACACCCAAAACTGCTCCTTTAAGGCTCTGAAGTATCTCTAAAGGAGCACATAGCAACTTTACAAAGCGTATGTACGATAAAAACACTATTTGAAGTTAACAGGCAAACTGTTTTTCTATTTTAGGGATTTTTCTCTATGGAGTTTGGTGTGATGTTCCCGTACACAGAATATTGTACGTTAGAAAGATCAGACACGCGTGTGTGTGGGGGGGAAATAAGACTACAAAGAGTGCATTTAGAGATTATTCTCTCACTATAAGACACTTTTAAATGAACTGCCTTCGACTTTGAGAGATGCCATGGCCCAATTAGCAAGTTTTAATCCATTTTATGTGAGCTTGACAGAAATGGTAACGGGGCGGAAGAAAAATAAGAAACCCTCAGGCGCTCCCAGACGGAAGATTCTGAGCTTCTTCCAGGAAGAGAAAAAAAAAACCTGGAAACCGACTGAAACAGGCTTTTCCCTCAACCCGATGTCGTGTCGGTGGTTACTTTTTTCGAAGGGGCGTCCCTCTCGTGGTGTGTCAGGGTCAACATGTCTACATGTCCTTCCGTGTTTCCCCCCTAAACTCCCAAGTGAAACACCATCCACCTCATCCCAATATAGCTCAGAAAAAGAGGACTGAATGCTGTTGTATCAATCTCGAATCTAGTTATGTTCAAAATTACTGTATTGCCCATTTCAGAATTTAGTGCCTTTTTTGGACAGTAGACTGTTCTGTAATTAAGATGTAGTATATATACATTTTTTTGTACAGTTTCTTTGTTCATTTTTTTAACTTGTGTTTATTTTAGTATGATATATATAATGTACAAGAGAATAAAGCTATATCAATGACACGATTTCTGACATTTTTTTCCAATCTGCACCAGATATGAAATTTATTGAACATCATCAATATAAAAACTTGTTGCTTTTCATTAACATCACCTGTCTTCATCTTTTAATAAATAAGCATCCAAGAGATCAAAAAATGGTCGACTTAAATGCATATGTATAAAACACCTTAAAAATCAGCGCTACATGCGTTACAACAAACAGAATCCCTCACGTATCCTTACAGACAAATCAACAGCAGAATTTGACCATTCACTAGTGAAAACAAGTCACGTCCAATCCACACTTGCTTGGTAAGAAAAGAGACAAAGCTGATTTAAAACTTTTGCAAGATTTCAGTAGAATTTACCATAAAAGAGTGCAAGTTTGTCCAACAGTAGAAAAACACATTCAAGAGCCATGACAGGCCTCTTTAACAGCTGGTGAGCAGTTTGCCACCTACCAATAACAGAGCTAGGTGGTGTATCACTAAGGCACATTGGCTGAGTAGTAGTCATAGCATTTAAAAAGGCACACGAATAAAACGACAGCATTCGATCAAACTTTACAAATAGAAACTGACATTAAAGTCGATGTGTGGCGTCTGTCAAACTGTAGAAATGTGAGCGTGTAAAGATGTTGTCTAACCTTTGGAGTTTCATCCAGTGAACTTCAGCTACTTTTTCCAATAATTGACTTGCTTATGCAAATACACTAAAACTGTGCTGATTTTGAGGCAGTGCTTTGATTGTGATTTAATGTCACCGGAATAAATACATTTAAAAAATGACATTAATTACAGAGAAATGGTTATTAGCATTTACAAACCTAAAAAACATTCACAGTTTCTGATGAAACATTCAATATTTCTCTGTAGTTTTAAATTGCTAAGTACACTAGGTAGGAATGGAAACAGCTAACAGGGGACCATGAAGTGACTCATCCAAACTTACAGAGCATCATGTAGTAAACCTGCCCAAATTAAAACTGCTGTGCCTCCACTGTCTCTACGAGCTCACCCGATAATCCCATCAACCAGCTGTTGGGCATGATGATGGTTGACCGGCAGTTAGCGCTTTAGCAGACCTCCTAATTGTTCCATGATTTGCGGTTCTCTCCTCTAGCGCGGCCGGTTGATGCTCCACCAGCCTCACCTTTGGCCAGAGCTGTAAGAGCTGCCAGGTTTGGGCTGGAACCGGACAGGTTGGCACTACGGCGCTTCTGCTGCTGCTGCTGGCGGCGGCGTTTGGCACCTCCGCGGGTCACTCTGTCTGGTCTCACCAGCACCCCGTAGCCAGGGTTACAGTGGAAGTAGTGCTTCCCTCCCACCGAGCCGTCGTTCTTTCCTGGAGGAGGACCAATAAAGGTTTGTTTGACATTTTTAACTGGCAACATGAGCCTGGGTGATGCATCAGATGTAAACTGCAATGAAAATACAATGAAAATGCAAAGTTTGGTTGTGTGGAGAAATCCCTGTCATGCTCCCTCACTGGCTCTTTATTAGGGATACCCTAAGATTAAGATTTAAGATCAGGATCAGACATTTTAAGTGATTGATGTTGGCACAAACCCACTTCTTTGTATACATCTGTTGTCATATGGAAACATGAAAACAGCCCTAACAGCTGGCGTACGATGTTCCACCAGGTTGTAGATTGATATCTTCGTTTACCCAAGTGTAATGTCATACCTGTTCACTGACCTGACATCAATACGCCTCATTTAAGTCTTTATCACGGTGCTCCTTTATCAGCACAGCTCCCACAGTGTTCTCCTGCTTGATGCCTTCTCTGGTCACGAAGGTATGAAACAGTAAGAGGCTCCACGTGGTGGTGCGACTCTGTGCTACAGCCAATTTACAATACTTGAGGTGTGTATCATCTAGGAGGCGGACTGGGTGTCGGGTTGCTTGGAGCGACCAGTGTGGTCCTAACCCACCAGGAGGAACCTGGTCCAGCAGCTTTACCCTACTCCTTCAGGTTTTTAAAAATATCCTTCCTTTATCTTCATTTGTTTTTATTTACGAGGGTAATTTATTAATTTGTGGTTTACATTGTTATGCCAGTGCTAAAAGGATTACCTGTGTACCTTGCTAATAGGCTCAAGTAGTTACATCTAAAGTAAACCTTTTACTAATGTTCTCTAGAAAGAACAACTCATTTGAAATAATCAATAATCATTTACATGGACTAAAATTAAACATTTTGTTATTTTCAGCTGTATCACCCAGCCTATGGCAAAAAGTAAAGGATTAGCGAAAGGAATCAAGTCTCTAACTCACCTGCTGGTACCTCCAGTTCTACTCCCACCCAGGTACCTTCTGCAAAATCTGTGGGTCCCACATATCGCACTGTGCCACTCTTATTGGATCCCACAGTCACAAACTCCCCTTCTTTCAACCAATCAGGAAGGATGGCAGAAGCAGCAGCGTCTCCTTCTTCCGAGTCAGAGATGATCTCCAGGCTTTCCATTGGCACAGAGAGGTTGAGGCCAGCCCCGAGGCTGCTGGCCCGGCCCACCTGTCCAAGCATACCCTCCTCCTCACCCAGGATCCGCTGAAAGGACTTGAGGTCTGAAGACTTCACTTTCTGGATCTTGAAGGGGTTTGCCGCTGAGGATTTGGAAGCCTGAGTGTCGACCGCAGGAGGTGCAGGACCTGCATCAGCTTTGGCAGAAGTATCAGAAGGTGCTTTCTGTTGGGCCTCATCTGTGGCCAAAGATGAGGGCAGGGTGGAGGCACTGTTAGGGTCAGAGACTTCAGAAGTTGCTTGTTCCTTTGATGAAGCTTGAGGAGCAGATTCTTCAGGTGGTTCTGGAGCAGCAGGTGAAGCTTCAGAAGCTGTCTGATCTTGTTTTGGCTGCAGTGGGACAACTGATTCCAACTGACTTTCGCCTTCTTGGGCTGCTTGTGTTTCACTGTGAAGTGACGGATCACATTCTGTCTCATTCATAGCAGCCACCTCAAGATTTTCAGGCGAAGGAAACTCTGGTTTAGAAAGGTGTGTTTGTGGTGATTCTGCATGTTTGGTTTCATTTTCTTGTTCATCCACTGTATCTTTAAGTGTCTCTAATTTGTCTAATTGTTCTGATCCAACTTGACCAGTTGTCGTGTCTTGTTCTTGTTTGATCTGACCTGGTAATTCTGTTTCTGCAACTGAGTCAGGCTCTTCTACCTCCCTCAGCTGGACAGCTGGAGACAGATTTGGTTCTTGTTGAGTCAGATGTGAATCTGGCACAGGATCGTTTGGTTCTGATGGAGGCTGGTAAGTCGTTTCTGCAGGCGCCTGCTCATTCAAACCCAACAATGACTCCTGAGGCTCCAGTTCAGCATGAAAAGATTCAAGACCAGTGTCGCACTGTGAGGTGACAAAAAGCGGTAAGTCTTTTTGTGCCACTTTACTTTCCTCTTCCTCTTCATCTGGCACTGCGTCAAAGCCATCTGCTCTGCTGCTGCATGATGGTGGAAGGTCCCAGCTCAGAGTGTAAACCTCTGAAAGAGTTGCCGTTGATATGCTGGTCGACATGTATCCACTGGACGCTTCGCTCACCGGACTGGGTGTGGAGTCTTCTGTCTCTGGGATGATCGGGGGTGGAAGGGGCACAGAACTGGAGATCTCAGTTTGGATGTCGGGAGGAATTACTTCCTCAGTAGGAATCTGAAGGAAGACCATGGCAACAGTGGTGTTAGTGACCCCCAAATGCAGAAAAAGGTTCATCCATCCATTATCTATACACTTAATCCTCACTAGGGTCGCGGGGGGCTGGAGCCTATCCCAGTTGACTCACAGCAACAACCAAGCACACTCACATTCACACCTACGGACAATTTAGAATCACCAATTAACCTCAACATGTTTTTTCTGCACTTTCTGCCTTGATTTCACTTTTTAGATCAGGAGACTACATCCATCTATTATGTGCAGTCTATGGTCATGGCAGATGTATTTGATAGGTTAGCTAGTTCCATGGACCTGGTATTGTGCATGCTGGTCGGGCTGTTGCTGTTTCTATCCACATCCAGTGGACACAAAACTGCAGTAGCCTTTATCTAGATGCTAATTGGTTACCCCTCTTGTTGCCATCTTTGTGCATTTACTCATTTGTGAGCTGTGTTTATCTGTTGAGTCTGATGCTGATGAGAGCAGTGAGAGTGAATGAAAACAGTAAAATGATGACGAAAAACAAAACAACTAAAAGATGCTAAAAATCCAAGCAGAGCCGAGTGTTTAGAGATAATTATTTGTGGGTTCATTAGTACGAATGACTTGTTTGACTCTACAGGCTCAGTAAAAATAACATAATGCCACACATAACTGTGTCTCTAATTAAAGTGAGTTACTGGCTGGTCTGTTTAGAGATGCTGTTTTTCTTAGTTATTGCATAAGTATAACAAAAAGCCATAACCTTCATTGCTTTCAGACTACAATTTAAAATCCTCCTCCTGGTATACAAAGGCCTTAATGGCCTGGCTCCACAGTACATTTCAGGCAAGCTCTCAACGTACAATCCCAGCAGATCTCTCGGGTCACAAGGTGCCAATATTCTCCATATTCAGAGCATTTTCAAAATGCGGGGAGATAGCATCCAGCATTTATGCACCTGAAGAGTGGGACGCTTTGCTTGCTGATCTAAGACCTTTGACACCATATTCTTACAAAAACAACAACAACAAAAAAAATCAGTCAAGCACTCTTCTTCAGCCTTTACCTGGGCTTTAGGGTTGCTGCATATACACCGATCAGTCACAACATTAAAACTGAGGACAGGGGAAGTGTAGAAGATCGACTATCTGGTTACAATGCAGTGTTCTGCTGGGAAACCAGCTATTCATGTTGATGTTACTTTGACCACCCACCTAAACATATCTGCAAATCAACTATACCTCCCCATGGCAGCAGCTTCCCCCAGCAGGACAATGAACCCCACCACACTGCAGAACTATTCAGAAATGGCTCGAGGAACACAACCAAAAGCCCAAAGTGTTGACCCAATCTCCAAACTCCCAAAATTCTAATCTGATCAAACATCCATGGGATGCTCTAGAACAAGACCAATCCTTGGATGCCCTACCAAAGGGTCTGCTGCCAACTAACCCATGCTAGGACCCCCCAGAGGTCCCCCAATGGGTCAAAGTTATTTTATCTTACAGCCGATAGGTATTTACAGTATAAATGTAAGTGTATATATACATTTATGTATTTTGCCTTTTGCAACCTTTTGTTTGAAAGTCAAACAAAATTTAAATTGGATATACAGAAACATAGAGGCACAAAAACAAGTGTCCAATCTCTTTCCATAAACCAGAATCTACTATCCAACTCATAGTAAAGGACCGAAGAAATTACAATACAAGAAAAGATAATAATAAAGGCCTACCTGAGACAATAACAATTCTTTAATGTTACTCAGAATAATTTGGGCTCGAACTGTCTCACTTTTTGCACATTGCATCCTTGTTAGAAGCAGATCCAAACATATTGGAAGTGTTTGGGACTATGTGTGGAGGTTTTTGATGTAAAACGTATTTTAGGAAAACAAGACAAATCATTGCCGATATACTATCTAAGAAGCAGTAGTGTCAGGTAAAGAAGAATCCAAAGATGGTTTATGTTCCTCCTGGTATTCACAGACACCTACAACACCATTTGTGGTTGCTGAACTTACCGGCTGCTGATGTTTGCTCATGCCGTCTTCGACGCTGGCCGACTGCACCACAATGCGAGGCACATCCTGCAACAGTGAAGCAATTCGAAAGATGTCATAAGTTTGGATAAAACACTGAAAACATCTTAAAGCTGTTGATTAGCACGGGAAGGTTTTCAAGCAGATTTCCAGATGAAATCACGAGCAAGTCTGGTTGTCATTTCACTCAAACCTGCATATCGAGCGTTAATGTGAGCCTAAAGATTTCCAAATGTGTTCAGTATACACGGCATGAAGCGGTGATTAGCTGCTGTGGGGGGATTTAAAGCTCAGGCTTCAGCGTGACAGTGAGACAAAGCAGGAAAATCTATGATTCTAATGAGAAGACAGATACTATAGAATGAACATCATACTGTGCTGCTCCTCCGGCAGCTTTGAAGCAACTACAGTAACCAATTAGACCAGCTGACCGTCTGTTTCAGTTCATTATGGCGGCACAGACATGTTTTATAATTGCGTATAATCAGTTCACTATATTAATGTATTAAAAAGGAATCGAATGTTTCATTTATTCTAATAATCAGCAGTCAAGATGTTGACACGAGATGCAGAAGGTGCAATAAAAATATTTGTTTGTCACATCGTGCAGACAGTTAATCATGATAAACTGGTAAAACAATCAGGATAATTGCACCTTAATTATAATTGCACCCATAATCATTTATCCCTATTCAGTATTCAGTTACCTCTTTAACGCTCAATATGATCTGTCAGCTGATTAAATATTCAGTGATTTGCTTTTTCTCAACACTATCTTTTAAAGATAGCAAAAAAAAAAAAAACACATCATCTTATATCTTGAGATATTTAAAAGATAAATTAATAAATGACGGCGGTTGCTCGGCTGTGTGCTGAGCAGACGCAGTCATGGGATTTAATCAGGATGATTGTTTGACTCTCATGCATCTTTGATACCATATTCTGACTCAGTTGATCAAAGTTAAGCAGTTTGATTCGGGTCGCGTCGTGCTTTGGCTCCGAGCAGAGCGACAACGTACGTGGGCAACGGGTCTAACGTCAGAAAACAGGTCAAACACATGTATCCTGTTGCGCTCTGGCTCAGGACAGTAGACCTGCAAGTCAACACAACATGTCAAGGTGTGCAACGACTGCTGCTGCTTCTCCAAACGGCTAAATGTCGACACATACATGTTGTGTTTTCATGGTTCTTGAGGGCAAGTTCAGGCTACATCATAAGTCATCATAGGAGCACTGCTGGCCTTTCAAGTCCTGAATGCTGAATATTGAAATGAAAGTTCACCCTTCAAATCTGTGATATTTTTTAGTTTTAATAAATCTTATTGATAATCACTGTCTGATACAGGTTAGTCGTCTGTGTCATAAAGCTCTATTATAGCCCAAAAAAAGACAAACCACAACAGTAATCCTGTTAAAGTCAAGTCAGTTGAAAAGTGTGGCCCAGTAGTCAATACATGGTTCATTCATTTACAGTTATTCGGTTGACCTAAGCCAAATGTTGTCATTCAATAGACACACCACATCAAATTCTGGGTTTGAACTGTCGTGTTCATGGTTTTACAAATTTATGCCATCCTCCGTGTGTCACACAAACAATGACAGCCAACTAGATGTTGTTGTTCTTATACAGTGAACTTTGAACTAAAGCTTATATTACAAATCAAATCACAACATCTGCCAGAAATATCACAATTAGATATTTTCCCCTACTCAAACCCATATATATAGCTGGTGGGATTATCCTCTGGGGACCATGCATGTCTGAACCAAATGTCAATCAATTGAACAGTCGCTGAAGTGTTGTAAGTACTGATTCACCACTTGACTTTTCCGCTTTATGAACCAAGAAGCTAATGTGGCTGAAAATGAAACGTTATATATGTAACTATGGATGCACGATATTGGGTTTTTTGCAGATATTTGATATTTTGGCTGACTGCTGAGAATATCAGGTCTCGTCTGTGGTTGAAATACCTGAACTTGATGGCCAATTGGCAAGTGTAGCTATAAAATGCAATGCTTTTCAAAACGTGCACATTAACTGAGAATAAGCAAACTACTTCAGCCTTCGTATAATATTAATAAACTATACTTGTAGCAGGGCAGGTGTTATCTACCTGTTAGATATTTTATCTTAGTCTTTAACAGTCGATACTGATGAACATGCTGATATCATTACGCATCCATACTTGCAATCCATTTTCAGTGTATTCAAAAGAGCCAGTGGATGAATGAAGACGGTGCAGAAGTTGGAAATGACTGAGACAGACTTATTCATGGTTGGTTTTTGTATTTTCAGTTGTAAACAATAGTTTTATTCTTCCAAAGAAGCTTCTGAGAATAAATACCTGCAGCCTTAAGGTCTAGTAAGTCATTTTTTGTGTGTTTCTGGCTCACAGCAGTCAAGTTTAAGTCAAGTAAAATTTTTGTTACCGCGGTCTGAGTCCACATCTCTGATATGTACAACATTTAGACAGTTCAGATTTGCAGCCATGAGGTTTTTTTTCATGGCACCAACAGTAATATCCAGCCTGAACACAGACTCAAATATTCAAACTGCAATTTGTGTCGGTGGGATTTGTTTTGCGATCACGGCTACAAACACTTATCAAATTACACCTGAACAGCCTGCTAATATTTGCAACACTCGAGGCTTCTGTTTTCGTGTTGACCTTTGCAAACATCTGTGGCAGGTGGGGTGGAAAGAGCACTAATTAGGGCAATGGCCTCAAACAATGCGCCAACGAGGCCTGACGGGTTTCCATCCCCAGCCGACGCCGCGGCACGTGATTTCCCCTGATTAGCTTCCCCTCCGCAGCTCAAGGTCCTAATCAGTCAAATCAGATGCTGTAGTGTTTGGCTGCCACGAACAAGCTGCAGACTCCCGGGTCTCGATGGCACATGATTGGAGATCAGTGGATGAGGAGGTGACGACGGAGCGGGGGCGACGTGTCGGGGCGGCGAGCTTCACCCGCTCCTAATTAACCCTGTTCTGCACACAGTGTGCTGCTGTCTCAGTGGGGGCTGTTTGTAGAGTCGCTGCTGTGATCACAAATATTATGCAGCACGTCAATCACTCAGGAGGCTCCTGCGACGCCTGTACTGTATGTGCTGATAATTTCATTCTTAACTCAAGCAACCTGGTTTTGATTCAACAAACTTAATGTTGTGACAGTCAAGTTTTTTTTCTTAATACAAAGATTTCAATTTTCAGTGGAAGACTGAAGCATTTTAACAGGAGAGCAGACAATTTCAAAACACAACACTGAGGGGAACTGATGCTATTAATAACAATGGCTTCTTTTTTTATTAGCAGTAAAAACTTAGAGGAAGTTCTTAGTTAAATAACACTGTTTCCTTTAATTGAGCCGAGACGCTGCAGACAGAAATATTTTATTAATTGACTTATTCAAGTCAATACTGAGCTGGTTTCAAAGGGAATACTTCAAGAATTTGGTGCTACTCCTCCATAAAACTGGTAGATGCAGGACACAGATTTAAAAAAAGATCAGTCACAACGGATGCACCAGAGAATGTGACATCCTGACTACTTGTTCTTCATAAAATGTAAAGCAATTCTAAATTTCCCATATTGCAACTTATATGTTGTTATGCTGTACATATCATTTATATCATCATACGCCAGCAGGCTCAGGAACAGCTTCTTACTACATTTATCTGTCTTTAAATTGTTATCACAGCTCATTTATACTTTAACATATTGTGTTTACTCCATACTACATAGAATGCACTTTATGGCTTCTTTTGCATTTGTGCTTTGATGCTATATTGCATTTTGATGTCTTGATAAAAAGATTTTAAACATAAATGTAGCATTAATATAGCAGCGAATGGCTGTGTGTTGTGTAAAGACATATTGGATATTAAAGCATGCAAGTCCTTCCTTTTTAAACTGTCGGCCCACCTTGTGTTTAGAAACTGACTCAAAACGAGCTCCCACATTGCAAACGTAAAAGTGCAGTCTGGAGAATTCAGGATGTGCTAGAAAAAGCAAAGATTTTAAGTATTTTATTCATGTTTTTGACCTAATTTGTGTTGACAAATGACAAATGAAGAGTTAATTTGCAAAAACAGACAACTCCATTTTTTGTAGATTTTCAGAAAACTTATTGCTTTTGTTGTTTACTAGAGATGACATCAATCAAAGTGAAGTTGAGTGGATTTGACTCAGTAGAAATGACATGACAAAGATAGAGATAACTTCAGTTTGGTATTGTCTCAGGTCGACGATGGAAAAGTCGGTTTTCTGAAGGTTGGTGAAGATGGAGTTATCCTTTTTTTGCAATTGAACTCTTCAAACTATTGTCAGCTCCATTTGAGAGCTTCTACTGCTGTTTCGCAGCTCTCTTCTGCTTCTCCTTCTGTGGATGAACCAGGTGTGGAAACAAAAACAAATTGACCGGAGCCGAGCACAGCGAAGGAGAAAGTAAATATAAAATGGTACTAGAGTTGAGTAACTTGTCACGGCTACTCAATGTACTTTACAATGCTAGCGTGACCCAACGGTTACTGTTGGATTATGTTTTGTTGATTCTTGTGTACACAACTTCTGTGGTTGCAATTGAAATGCAAAGGAAGGGTGTAACCATGGTGGTGCTCTAATGACATCAAGTAAATGTGACTTTCACACACAGCACCTTAACAGATGTTGTGTTATACTGTCAATGCACGACGCCTTCTTATAGTTATACAACAGTCTTAAATCACTGAGTATTGTTGCTCACAAGTCGTAAAAGATATCTTTCTTATCTCTACCAATTTTTAACTCTACGCTTCCAGTTTGGTGTTCTGTTATGTGTATGTAGTCCAACAAAACAAACCTCCCTTCATGCTTTACTCACTGAATTCTTTTGTCTAAACGAAAATGTTTGTTGATTACAGCATGGTTTATTTGAAAAGAATTCTGTCTCAAAACCTTAAAACCACAAGATGTAAGGGCGACACAAAGCTACACTTTTTTTTTTCCATTCCTTGTTTATTTACTTGTGAAAAAGCACTCATCTTGAGCACTGAGGCATTTATATTCTTTATCTATTTATTATTTGTGTTTCCATCTACATAAGCTCTGTTTCCATGGTAACAGATGAAATAGGACTTGGCGCTGATGAGTTAGAGGGGACATTTAGATTCAGGTTGCAGCGATGCACGTAAACTTTAAATCCCTGATAAGGCGGCGAGCAGAATACGAGCCTAAATCCAGAACACGGCGAGCTGACTGAATGAGTGTACCTGCTGATGGACAGCTGTCTGGTCCCGACTATCTTCCTTCCCACCAGGAAGCAGCGACTTCAGCAGCTTGGGTACGGCCTTCACTGGAGGGAGATAAGATGCAGCAAAGCCTGAATGCACTGATGGAGAAAAGAAGAAGAAAAAGAAGAAGAAGTTGCAGGAGCAGAGATGGAGAAAACAAGGGCAGCAGAGGGGGGAAAAAAAGAGCATGAACTGATAAGGTTTTGGAGGCAGGGAGGAGGGAAACCGAGAAATGTGTTGGCAAAGAAGAAAACAAGTGCCAAATTGAGATTCACAGCTAAAGGATAGATATAGTTGGCCACCGGGTAAAGCATCAGAAACAGAGCTGATGACATTAAAGGCAGCAAAGGGAAAAGGAGGGGGGGGGATACTTCAAAGCCAGAGAAAGAATCCATTAGGAGATAAAGGTTTTATCAGTCGTACCTGTCTCGGGGTTCAGGTTCTGGGATATAGAGCTGGGCAGCGTTCGTCTGGATGGAGGAGGAGGAAACACGGAAAGGTCCTGATGACTCTCCCAGCCCTGCAGGGGAGGACACACATGTGGCTTACAGGAGCGTTTCAATAATATGTGACCTTTAGCAGCATCTATTGGTGACCTGAGGGAACTGCAAAAACTCTCATGGGCATTTGTTTTTGTACAGCAGCTGTTGAGGTTTTTCATCATTCATCTGTTACTTCTACCTATTTAATAACTTAAACATGAGATTGAGCTGGATTTTCCAACCATGTATCCACGATTTTGAGATTTTTCACAATTTACCCAATTCAATGTGTAGATATCCATATTTAAAACATCCCAATTTCATTTTTATTCAAAACTAGTGACGCTAATTAGTTACCCGTTTGCTGTCATGTTACAGCTTTGGATTTTGTCTGAGTGCATCATGATTGTATCTATTTTTTTCCTCCTTTAAAATGACTCCCCCTCCAGCTCTCAAGAGCAAAAGTTGCTTTTGTATGCAGGTGACGCAGCTGAATTGTGATGCTGCCTTTTCATGCTGTTCTGACCGTTTTACAGGCCTAGAAAGGTCAAACTCCCCAGTATTTTACATTAAAAGAAGTTTAAAGGGGGAAAAAAAGTCAGAGAAAATTACAGTAATTTGTCATATTTAACCTTTCTGCATTAGAATGCTTTATTGCCATTTATCTAATACTTATTTTTCCTGTTGCAAAATGTTTTAATATCTTTTATTTTGTATTTTATTATTTAATTTTGCTACTCTTCACATCCTCTGCTCTCCATTTAGGGTTTGTATTTGTGCTGTCTTGTTATCAGTCACTTTAAATACAACATTAACATGCATGAAAGATGTTACACAAATAGAATCTGATTGAGAATTTATTGCCAATTTACTTGTAATGTTTTGTTAATCACTGTAGCTTCAAAAGACACCATAATTCACCCAAACAAAAGTTCTGCATCACCGTTAACCAGCAGAAATCATCATTTCTAGAAGAGTACTTTATTCCTTTGAGTCATTTTATTCTGTATTATAGATCAAGACATGCAAATTAGTAAAAAGAAAAAGGCATAAACAGAAAGTACATGTGAAAAACAGGAGTGCATAAGAAATTTTATGTTGGTATAAATAAGATTAGCACATGTAACATGTATCTCACCTTAAAGTCACTGAGCCTATGAGTGGAGGAGTAGAGATCCAGACAGCTGCCTGACAGCTAGTTAACAGGTTAGAGGGTTGAGTGGTTAGGTGTTAGTTAGATGGGTTAAGAGACTGGTTAATAGTTAAGAAATGAGCTACAAAAACAAACAATGACTGAACCCCAGAATATAAACAGTTGCCTACATGTGGCCTGAAGTAATGTTAACCCAAACCTCCAGGGAAACAGTCTGAGAGCCTGTGTTTAAGAATGAGGGAAACGATGATCTGAAGTCTCATAAGTGCATTAATATCACAACCTGTTACACGCTATAACCTCAGTATGAGAAAAAAATAAATAAACCGAAGCAGCCCGTTAATGTGAAGAGCAGGATCATTAGAGTCCAACTTGAGGCCTCTTACCCGGTTGAAGTCTGGAGAGCTCAGGCAGCGTCTGGCGGCTTTTCCTCTGACTGCCAGCTGTTCTCTTACAGCTACCTCCTACACAAACACACACACACACACATACACAAACACGTTCTGTAAGCATTTCTAATTGTGCGATTTGTAGAAACACTGTCACTTCGTGTCTCTGTTTGGATGCTTTGTGTTACGCGGATTAATGATTAATTAGCTCTATCTGTTTCTTCTTTTGGCAGAACGGACAGGAAACGTGTTCCCATTCTGGCTCTGGATGAGTTTCCCAAATTGCACGAGGAGCGAAGACGACAATGAGGATTTAATTATGCTCATGCTCCAAAGAAACATCAATCAAAAGGGAAACAGTGAAATGAGTGACTGCTCAGACATTCAGGGGATGGCGAATGAGCCAAATGATGAATACTGCGGTGATTTATTGCGATTTTAAAGGAGAGACTCATATATCAGGTGTATTCTCTGACCTGTCTGAGTCTGTCCAGAGTGAGGACGTTCTCCACAGCCAGGATGCTGCGGAGGTATTTCTCTATGGCTGCCTCGCTGTCGGCTGATTGGTCGTCCTCGGCGCTGGCAGCCAGCCTGGCCAGCATCTCCCTGTCCTCTGGACCGTGGATATCCTACAGGGGGTTAAAATACAGAAGGTAGGAGACAGAACCTTAATTCACCCCCCTGGGGATTTATTATTATCCCACCTATCATATTACCACCTAACAAAATGTTTCGCATCCCTCACAAAATGTTGATGTCCATTAAAAAGGCTTTATCTTAAGTCTTTCTCAAGCTTCTACGGCAATCATAAAATAGCTACAGATAAAATCTATGAGCTGCACTGTAGCAGAAATGTAATTACAGCTAAATAAACAACAGATAAACTGATAATGAGCCTCTGACCAGTAAACTTCTTCTCAGATCTGTTAGCTGGAAAAAAAAAAACAACAAAAAAAACAATAGGACTCTGTTTGTCTGTTTATACCCCCCACAAGAAGTCAATATGTCCTCGCACCACAATGAAAGCTTCTTTTATTTCCCTTTCTATAAAAAACATAACACTCTATACTTACGCCTGGGATGTTAGAAACAATTTCAAAGGTGACTCCACAGCCGGGGATGGTGCTGCGCTGAGACATCCTCCTCAGCAGGCTTTGGGCAAAACCCTGCCAAACAAACATGCAATTGTTCCCTCAAATCAGCTCCCCTCCGAGTTAGTGGACACGTGACTATGAAAGGGAGAAAGCAAACATATTGTGTCGGCTCGCCCCCTACCCATCATGCCTCGGGGCCACCCACCTGTCTCCCGCTGACGTTGACACAAATGCGCTTCCTGAGGACCAGCTGCATGTGGGCCGGGTGGCTCAGCTGGATCACAGCGCGGACCGTCAGGTAGACCCTCTGGTCGGTGGACGTCACGCGACTCAGCTGGGAGCACTCGTGGACTGTCGAGTCCCAAGACGCCTCCACCTTCACCTGGATTGCATTCAAAAAGCAGGGGATAGTAAAACCTTAAGAAACCTCTTCATTCTGCACCAGTTTTAGCCTTTAATTGCTTTTCAACATTGAATTATGGCCTATTTCATTTGGCTTTTGGACAAGAATGTAGTAATTAATTAAAAATATAAAATATAAAACTAGTGACTGCATAAGTATTTACCTCACTGAAGTCAGTATTTGGTAGAAGTACTTGTGGCTGAGATTACAGCTTTAGGCAAGGTTTCAATCAGCCTTACACAGTCTGGACACTGAAATTTTACGCCTTTCTTCTTTGCAAAACTGTCAAGTTGCACAGCGATTTTGAGTAAACAGCCCTTTTCAAATCCAGGCACAAATTCTGAAACGGACTGAGGTCTTGGCTCTGACTCAGCCACGCCAGAACATTCACCTTGTTGTCTTTAAACTATTTCTGTGCAGTTTTGGGTCATTGTTTGGGTGGAAAACAAACGTCTTACCAAGTTGCGGTTGTCTTGCAGACTACATCAGGATATCTCTTTACTTTGCTGCATTCATTTTACCCTCAATCTTTACAAACTTCCAGGGCCTGCTGCCAAAAAGCAGCCTCACATTATGATGCTGCCACCACCATGCCTCACGTGTGACTGCCAAACACAGCGTCTAGTCTGATGGTCTTTTTTTTTTTTGTAAGCTCTTGTGAAAAAATCCAAACTAAATTGACCACGACTCAATGTTGGAAAGCAATAAAAGGGGACAATTCCAACGGGGCGAATACTTTTTATAGGCTCTGTAGCAGATCAGCTATTTGCAGTGACTCATTGGTTGGCAGTTGTTTAGACATTTTATCATATTATCTCCAAACTGGAATTAGCAAACTCCAGGGTGCAAATTTGTGACTTGTAGATAAAACTAGAGGACACAGTCTCCTACGGTTTCCTTACCTCTGGGTCGCAGTGTTTAACGATGTGAAGGTCAAAGAACTCGTCATCGTCTTCCCCGCTGAGCAGCGCATCCAGGCCCCCGGCCAGCGGGGCAGAAAGGTTGGACTGGAAATCATCAGCTTGTGGGAAAACAAACACAGAAAAGCCATTAGGTTCACTGGCTATTAAAAGAACAGAAGGGTTTTTGCCAAATTTCAGCCACAAAAGACAGTGAGAACAACATACCACTGAGATCCAGGAACAGGACGGGAATGTGTGTTTCCATTCCAGGTACAGGAACCCTGCAGAGAAACACTGATTAAACACCTAGTTCATGATACAGAGGGGGTGATAGCTCCCTCGACTCATTCTCAGTTAAATTAGATGCTGATTCAGTTACAAAATGGCTCATTTCTAGCAATGCTTCACAATTAACACCCAACTAAATGGATGTGATGAATAGAAGATAGTTGGGGATGAAATGTTAGATTAAATGTACTATTTCTGACTAGAGATGAAGAAAACAGAAGGTTACAGTTTAGTCAGATCAAACGTGAATTTTCACCTCAGTTTTCTAATAATAGTCTAACAGCCACTTCTTGCATTGAAATTTGAGATATGACGCAGTAAGATGTGGAATTGTGTTCAGTGTATGTAGGTACTAACAAAACTTATGTATAGACAGTGTTCAACATTATTAGCTAACAAACGATTAGTGGGAAAATAATGTGAATTTCAGTGGTATTTAAGTAATTTGTATAGTTAAATGAAATCACTGCAAAGCTATAAATACATCATAAGTACAGCAAATGCCTTCAAATTTTAGTGAAGAGTACATAAGCTCTACCAGCAACATGCATGAACTGTATGTACTATGCAGTAGTTTGTTCTATAACCATGTATATCTTCCAAACTAACTATATGTTTTGAACCCTTTTATCTACTAACTAAGCTGTCAGATAAATGTAGTACATATTTGTCTCTGAAGTGTGGAGGTGAGGACGAGGTATCCAGCGCTCCTGTTTTACCAATGCTGAATTTCCAACGGTTGGTTTTAACAGGGGGGTTCCAGAGTGTTCTCAAACTAAAGCCCCTTTCCCAGAAGATAGAATTAGAGAAACATAAACAGGAAATGCACTCAGAGCGTGCAGTCCTCCGCCAAGACCAACGCTGTATCTTGCAGCTTTGAAGAAAGTGATGGAAGCAAATCACCAAAAACATTTGTTGCTCTACCTCGCTTCAAAGTTTAGTTAAATTTGACCTTATCGTTTCTGCAACATGTTGCTAGGATCTGGATCCCCACCAAAATATAACCTTCTGAACCCTAAAACTCACCAGCAGGTTTGAAAGACATGTTTTCTTAAAATAATAACAACGAAAAAAGCCCTGATAAGAGCTGAAACCTGGAAAAACAAAAGAAGTTCTCACATTTTCAACTTTTCAATGGTGTTTGGATGCACTGACTGGAAAAAAAATTCTGCACAAATAAACCGTTTGCACCAGATATGGTAAAAAACAAAACAAAACTGTGAGCTTGAGAGAGAAATAAAATGTCCTCAATCAATAAAATAAACACAGCATGGTTTAAAAACAGTACACAGAGGAGCAAGTTGTTGGAAGAAACATTCAGCATGGTGAAATCTTTCTAGAGTTGATGTGCAGAGAAGCATGAAAACCACCAAGTTGTAAAGGTTGTAACACAAATAGGCCTGTCATATAGCTTAGTTATAGCATGTGGAGATTAAAAAGAAAAAAAAAAGTTTGTAAAATGAATAATCAGACTGGTTTCCAGCATAATAACTGTGTCATACTGCAAAACTTGCTATATTACAGGAAGTGATGCTTATGGGGGTTCAATGGGTTCTGTCGTTGCTCTTTCTCCACCTCTCCACTGAGATTCATGAAATTTGGCCTTGTAGTTTTTTGGACAATCAACAAACAAACACTGAAAACATATTCCACACACACCTCTCTACTGGCGCGCCAGGGATGCCGCTGCCGGCCGACGGCACCAGAACAGCGTTTCGTTCCTCTGTGAGGGTCAGACGACACTCCAGCAGCTGAGATTCTCTTTCAACATCGTCCTCTGACTTATCTACATGAGTTTACGTGGACAAACAAACACAAAAACTTCAGAAAAACAACTAATGGCAAAAAATTGTTTAGTCTCTGCTCTTAAAGATGGAGGGTTTTGCAGACAGGGAGCAGCATAAGACTTATGATAACTGTCATCCAACCCCTCATCAGTCATTAACAATGTAAGTGCTTTCCATTCATGCTGGAAGTGCTGACAACGAGTCTACATTTGCTCCATTGTGTCTCTATACTGACTCAAACTGTACATCACTGTCAGTTAGTGACAGATGAGTGAAGAAAAGCAGCTCTTGTGCTGCAAAAACGATACGCTGTCAAATACATCTTAATAAAAGGGAGAAAAATTAAGTCCTAGTTGAGCTTTCAAAGCAGAATGGCACAGACGTTGCTGTTACTCATCACTTGTGTTTCCACATCAGATTTGTGCTCAGAGTTCAGTATTTTTTTTATCAGGGTTGTACAGCTGTACCTGCTTTTGAAACTATCTTCTGCAGCTGTTGATCCAGATACTCTTGTCTCTGGGTGAGTGTGACCAACCACTGCTCCCTCATCCTCTCCAGGTCCACCTCCTGCAAACACAAACAATGGCAGGGATTCACACTTCATGTTAGCCAGACAGACGTAGCCCATTTTCTCTGTTACAAACAAACGGACACATCATGATGTTTTTGCTGATGATTTACTTACTTGATAGCTGTCCATTTCCTCATCCCCACCCTAAAGTTTAAACAGAGAGAGAAACAGTTAAATATGCACATTTGGGAAGAAAAAAAAAAATCTGCAATATGTGGAGTCTGAAGAAAGACAGCCTCACCCATGGTGGATCATTTTTGGAGGGGCGCATCTGTTGGACTTTTACGTCTCCGATAGACACAGAGAGGATGGAGGCTGTGATGAGGGGCATAGTGCCGGAGTCTGGCACCGATCGCACCTCCACCTGGACCCGACGAGACTGACCCTGCAGGTATAGATTTACATCACAGGATAGTTCTGGCAAGACTAGATAGAGATAATTCACTTCTTCATGTTTACTCCCAGTAGATATTGGAGTGGCAGCCAGCACAGTGCAGGGAAGGCTCCTGATTATGACAAATTAAAGCTGCAAAGCCCCAGAATGAACAGTGCTTGCATACTTGGAAAGTAACCTTTTAAACAGGGAAACAGAGTTTTCTGCACATTCTCAAGCGAAATGCAGCAGAAACTGGTGCTTCTCAGCTGGAGGACAGCAACATTTTCAGGGTTCAAAGAGGGCTGTAAGCACAACAGTCTTTCTTTATGCAAACACACGAATGTTTCAGTGCTATTGTTTCTTCATCAGAGTCAATGTCACATTCAAAGTGAGTCAAAGTGTGCTGCAGCCCCCTTTTGTACTCCTTACCTTCTAACTGTGCTCCTATCTATTTAAACCCACAAATAAACTGTGAAGATCTACAAAGATCCTTAATACCTGTCTGAGCTGGAATATTCCCCCCGTGCGGACGTCTTTAGCAGGCTGAACTTCTACAGGTGTAAACTCTCCCGCCTCATTCAGCTCCATCAGCTGCACCCACAGCTCCAGCCGACGGGTCACCTCGCTCCACCTGCAGAGAGAACGGACCACCGGGACAAGGCAGAATTAATTTTTGATTACATACAGTAAGGGTGTTGGAAAATGCTGGTACTGATAGCAATGATACACAGAAAATGATTTTCTATAAATACTGCAATGATATCACTATTGTAAATTCTTTGGACCACAATGACGTGCTGCTGTGACATCCTGAGGAGAACATTCAGGTGACCTGAACTCGGAAGTGATGGCATGTATGTACTCTAGCTGTCTAATCGCAGGACAGGTTTTTTTGGTGACAACAACACAAACGTCACTCTCCTTCTTCGGTACTCACTAGATTTGTCTCCTAGAAAGATTAAGCACTGATTATTGATGGCGCTTTGCAATGTTTACAGGGTGTGACTTCCAGGAGAGGTTACATGTGTCACATGAGCACTGGGAGCAGAGAGTCCATGGCTGCTTAAGGAGACTATTCTGATGAGGATGGCAGCCAAATATACATTAGGTACTGTTTTGGATTTTTTATAGGCACAGTCTCTGAATCTTCTGATTGCACCGTGTCTATTTTTTGAACAAGTTTTAATGGGTAAACATATCCATCTGCTCCACAGTTGTTGTTCTATGCGTCCTCCAGGCACGGATTCTGAGCATGTAGCACAATAACAACGGATAGAAATGAGTCTAAATTTACAATTAGTTGGCTGCCAAGGGTGCAGAGATAATGCAGCCTATTGTCATGTAATGCAATGAGCAACAGAGACAAAAGCTTCACTTCCTCCATCTACAGCTGAAGAATTCAAAAGAAAACAGTGTGTGGGATTCTTCTTTTTCAGTAGACTGCTCAGATTAAAAAAGAAACAACAAAACAGGAACTAATAAATACTAATAAATGCAAGCTCTTTGTAAAGTTTTCAGATTTGAAGCTGACAGCTGTGCCAATATTATGTAGCTCAAACAACATCTCTTAGAACAGAATGTACACCAGATTCATTTCTTGTACACGAGCTGCCAAAGGGCTACACTGTGAACCTTGGTGTACATTATACACTTCAAAGTCTAACACTTCAAAGAACTACCTGCTTAGAGAGTTTGGTAAAATGCCTCCAAATTGTGCTTCTGTATGAATTGAGCAAAAATACTTTTTTCATTATTAGTTTCATAACTCCTAGCTACTGCAAATGTTTTCGAACATGCTCTAAGGATTTTAGAATATCAGCACACTAAATATTTAATTTTTTTTGCTGGCAATCAGACAGTTAAACTCAGCCCTACATCACACAGATCCAGGCTGCTGGTTTACACCATCTGCTCTGTTTTTGATGTCCTCGTGTGAAAATGTTTCCCCCCCGAAATCTCCCTTTTCCCAATAATGCAGGCGCTGTCTGTGTGCTGCTTTTAAGGTGAAGTGTTTGCATCACTGGACCTCTCTCTGAGGGATCTGGTCTTGGCTTGAATCACTCCCAGGTCCCACAGTGCCAGGTTCCTGCGATGGTTGGCCTGTTTGTGGCCGTACACTTCAATGGCCACCGCCCCCTCAGCCAGAAACTCCACAAAGTCCTCTGATACTGGCACAGACAGCTCCTGAACAGACACGAGCACAGGGTGGAGAGTCACATTCTCTATTAGTGGTGACCGTCTCTCACTTGATGTTGTATCACCACCCTTGTTGTTGTTGTTTACCACAAAAACTATTTACCTTGGCGCTGTCAAACACCACAGTGCACTGAGGGTCTCTGGAGGCAGACGACGAGCTCGACGGCGCCACCTCTGGAGCTGTGAACACCGGCTCCTCCTGCCCCCAGAAGTGATACTGACAGAAGACGAAGTTGGACAAATGGCGAGGAAGACCGGTGGCCTGGAGGAGTTTCACCTGCGAGATATGAAAGGAAGAAATGCATCCAGTTACACAGAAATAAGCAAATACCACCATTTTAATTGCAGATTCAGCTGGTTTGAGCCACGGCATTCAACATTACAGAACATTTTAGAGTTGTTGCTGCTGAGACACCACTGAAACATAAACAGAAATGTAACCCTCTGAACCCTAACCTGTGCCGACAGGTTTGAATAGCATGTTATAAAAAAATAATAATCTGCAAAATTACACTATTTGTTAAAGTCCTAAACTGTAAAAACAGAAAGAATCAGTGAATTTTCAACTTGTAGATAGTTCTTGCAATAATCATGTGTGATGTCCAGTTCTGTCAAAAAAAATTATCAAATCTAAGCTAAAACTTGTGATACTTCATTAAAATCCCTTTTTTCTTCATGTCAACTTCAAAAATTTACCAAAAATGAACTCGTAAAAAATCATTACCTCCAACCAAATTCATATGTCTTCCAAATCATTCATGTCCATTTAAAAATTCGGCAAAAATAAAAGTGCTACCACGAACCAGATTCTTTAAAAAATCCGAAATTCTGCGCTCCTCAGCGCAACTAAGAAGACATGTTTGACAAAGCTACAACCAGCAGCCCCCTTATCAAAAATCCAAAGACATATGACAAAGCTGCTGGATGTGTTTATCACAGGGCTGATGGGATGGACACAACTTAAAAATGTAAAGACTAAAATCGTGTGCAGAATTGCTATTGTTTTTTAGTGTTGGATACAACTGTGGGCGTCATGCTGATCCCAGGTTTTCCCAATTTTAATAAACTAAAGATATTTAATTTTTTTTTTTTCTTAATTTTTAATGATTCATGGCTTTATAACTGTGTCATACTGCACAAAACACATTTCTGAGTTCTCTCTACTTCTAGTCATGGCTGTGCTGTTTCCATAGAGGTACACAGCTCTATATTGTAGTGAATGAAGTGAGCAAAATGGGAAGAGGACCAAAAAAAAATGCCCAGAAACTGTGGTTCCGAGAATGGATTGTAGTCTGTATCTCAGGACACAACGGTACTGATCACTGGCTGCAGCCAAACACCACGAAAACATGAACAGAAGTTGGAATAAAGCATTTTAATTGCCTGCTTCAGAAATGTGTTTGTGTGAGTCTGTAAAAGTAATACGGTCAGCTCTCCTTTAAAGTCAGCAAAGAGTGTCCTAAATATGTAAGAATTCATTGCAAAGATCTCCTGAGGATTTCATCATATCAAAAAAAAATACGCAAGCAAAAGGCAACCGGGATAGGAAGCTGACTCACAGTTAATTAAACTTATCATGTTTCACTTCACAGCGAGGTGAAGAAAATCAAGACAGAAACAACAATCTGACTGCCTGCAGGATCCGTTATTGATTTGGCACTATTTTCCCACCAGAAATACCTTCAGCTGAAGTTGTATTCGCGTTAATCGAACAGCGACTCCATGCAGGATCGTGATTTATGTGTCCCAGTGAGCGGGTATAATGACTCAGATTATCAGACGGGGGGGGGGTTTCCTGAATGTTTTCTTAGATTTGGCTCATTTAGAAAGAACAGACTTGTTAATGAAACTGAATTTTCTCACCACACAGTCCAGTTTTCGCTCCTGTGCGTCTCCGTCTGTGTTGCTCAGCTGAGTGTCGGTTTGTGCTGCACCTTCCTCCTCAGTGCTCTCGGTGCCTCTCCACACCTCCACATGCAGCCGACCCGCAACCTGACAAACACACAGAAACACGCGTATTGCTGTTAATCACTTTGGCAGGAAACCAGAATGTTATTCGTTTTTTTTTTTTTTAGTTTTATTTTACTCCTCAAATTCAGTGTTTCTTGGTCACTGAAGCTTCATGTCATAAAGTTGCTGATATGATTAGTTAATCTGACGTAATCTGAAAAATAGAATAGAATAGAATGGTTCTTTATTGTCACTGTGGAAGCAAAGTTAAAAAGACAGTGTTACAGTAGTGAAATATTATTGTAGCATCCTTTTGTGGCGGCAATACACAAGTTAAAAACAATAATGTGAAAGGAAGGATAAATATACATATATAAAGTGTAAAATATTCTACTACATGTAAGTGAGCAAGTCTTGCATGTAAAGTACAGAGGTACTAGCATGAAAATGTAGTTAAAGTATTAAAGTAAAAGCACCACGAGAGTTTTCTGAGAGCTCATCAGATGATTACTGCATGAGAAAGAAGGAAAAAAAAAAGTTCTGATACATAAATCTGTTTTCAGTTTTTGGATTTTTTTCCTCTAACTTTAGATTTTTGTTAAGATCATTTAAAAATGTATTGAAATGTGAGAAGTTTAGAGGGAAAAAAAAAAAAACACTATTTAATGTTACTGTTAACAATACGTAGACATCTGTTACGTGAGCCGACTACACTGCTTTTTGTAAGAAGCCAAAAAGAAACAGCTGGTTGTTAAACGTCTTTAACAAAGTGTTGTATTGTTAAAGTTTCTTTTATTCACCATTATGTCAAATCACCCTCAGTAACCAAGTAACTAAAGCTGTACATAAATATATTTATAGCAAAACTGTTAGCACCCAGCTGCCAGCAGATATGTACCTATATTATCATTCATTTGGAGTCTTTTTTCTGGTCACCTGACAAACTACAGTCCAGCATTCACTCTCCTTTTAGCTCTGTTTTGGTCTCCACCAACTCCTCGGAAAAATATCGCAAAATGTTCCACTATGTCCCAAACCTAATTTTCCCCTGAGGCCTAAGCACTAAATCTTAAAAAACATAACAGATGTCCATGAAGTAATAAAGGAGTATTAGGGCTCACTATAGTGAAGGGAGACGTTGCTGTAAAACAACACATTGCCATTTAAAAAAAAAGTGAATCTGGACTCAAGTTTCATTTGTAGTTTGATCAGCTGTTCTCTTAATGAGTCGTTTTTGTTGACATGAAAGTATTTTAGCAAACTACCAAGTCAGGAAGTTAAGCCTTTATAAACCACATTTAAAACAGCTGTTGAGCCAAAGTGCTTTCCAGTAATAAATATAATGATTGGTGTCCTAAATTCACAAGTTTAGATATTGCGGTTAGGACATATTCGTGCTAATTATGGTGTGATTTTACCTGAGTAATTTACATATGAAGGATTAAAACTCTACAAAGATGAGATAAACATTTCCTTACCTGGCTATAATATGTACTAGGGCAGTGTTTTTAATTAAAGAGATTAACATAATCAATATAATAACATAACTAAGACCCTGCGGCCTGTAAATCTTATGTTTGAGTGAAAACACAAACAACTCTTCAAAAGTGCAATAAACAACCACAACAACAAGCAGCCAGACGCTGACAAAGTCGATTTCTTCCCTTCACCACCTATGCTTGAAGTGTGTGTATTTTGTGAGGGGCAGAACAACTACATTTGAATATAATCACTCTGCAGACATACAGACTCACAGACAGTGCATAAATGACACAACTGTACACATAAAAAAAAACAAGCTCATCTGTGGCCTGCAGTGGGCTCCTACCTCTCCCTTCTGGTTGATGATGGGCACTGCATACTGCAGCTTGACGTCGTAGAACAAGCAGGCCAGGAAAACGTTGGCCACACCGATCAGACTGTGATTCTCCTGCTCGTCGAAGAACGGGTCGGCACGTTTGAAGTAGGACCGCATCACCTGGAAAAAACAAAACACAAAGAACAGAAAGAAAGGCAGTGAGAGCCATGAATTATTCATCTGTTTGACTGCAGGCTCCTACTGAACTCCTCTTGCAAATACACTTGAAGGTTATAAACTAAAAATCTTCTGATCCATCAACATTTTTTTGTGTTCTAATTTTTCCTCAACAAACGGCATCATGTTTGGTCATCTGTATATATACACACACACCTACATTTACACTGTTACATCCCTGCTATTAAACATTTGAGCATTTAATCAGCAGCAGATAAACCACAACAGATATCAACTGAATCTTTACATCTTAGCATTTTCTTTTCTTTTCCCCCCTTTTGTTTAATACAGTATCTGTCCATCTCCCCACTCACAGGATTATCTTCATCAAAGTCCTTCCACTCTTGGTAGAGCTCCTTCATGTCCACCAGCCTGTTCTCCATCTTCTCCAGAGCCCAGATCTGCTTCCCTTTACCTTTACGGCGGACCTGGATGGCCGGTTCGCTCAGCACCGCGTCACGCTGCAGCGACACCACACCAACAACACAACACTGTTGTTTATTTGCTGTCATGAAAAAATCACTTTAAAAAGCAAAGCATACGGTGTATATATATGTTTTTTTTTTTCAAATATATTTTTTTGGGCTTTTGCCTTTATGTAGAGCAGTGGAGAGAGACAGGAAAGGGGGGAGAAGAGTGAGGGAGAGACCTGCAGCAAAGGGTCGTGAGCGGGATTCGAACTCACAACCACTGCGTCGGGGACTGTAGCCCCTGTTCATGGGTCGCCCGCTCAACCAGGTGAGCTATACGGGCGCCCCAATATATATATGTTTTTAAAAATCCTACACTGAGAGCACAGCAGTTTGTTTAACTTTTCTTACAGACAACATTTGGTTTACAATAATTGAACAGGACAAGAACCAACTAGTAGAGATTTGAAACTGCACAATGTGGCTCATCAGCTCTGCATCTGCACATTTGATCTGTCAGTCAAACAGTCCCCAATCTTTCTGCTTTGACTGTATATTTCTGCTGGTGGTTCTGTTTGGAAGATTAGTTTTTACTAATTACAGACATTTCCTATAAAAACCAGTGTTACTACTGTATTATATGTACTATATAATACTCCATTTTTTTTGTAAATACTAGCAGTTTTTTGCACCTTTTTTGTAAATACCAATACCTTTGTTGCCACCTTATTGCTATTTTTCCAATCAGCACGGTTTGCATGTTAATTGCACGCTCTTCTGTACACTGTTTCTTTATCTACCTTGTATGTAACATGTGTAAGCTGCTGGATACCTTGAATTTGTCAAGGAGCTGAATAAAGTATCTATCTATCTATCTATCTATCTATCTATCTATCTATCTATCTATCTATCTATCTATCTATCTATCTATCTATGAACACTCAAACAGACTCCCCACCTTCCTGTTGGCATCCAAGTTGGCGGCAGGTATCTGCAGAGTCACCAGATACTCCGTCCTCTTGCTGAGCTCCTCTGCGATGAAACCGGCCTCCTGGGCCAACAGCTTGGCTCGAAGTATCTGCTCCCGAAGACGCCGCAGGCTGCGAGTCATCATCGCCTCTCTGCACCACGAAAAACACACAAGCACAAGTTCTACAGAGAGTTTCTGGACTAATCCGACCGATGGGAAACATGGTGTAGCTGAGCGCTACCTGTCCTCGCTCCAGCGCCGCACGCGTTTCTGGGAGCTGGGCGATGTGATGGCAGTGGCACCGACCGGGAGGCCTGATGGTTCCAGGAGGTGGGAGGGTTTCTCAGGGGTGAGTCGCTGGCGGAGCTGCTGCAGCTCGTGTTCGTACATCAGCCTCTGACGCTCCAGAGCACAGCGCTTCTCCTCCTCGTGCTGCCTCTCCAGAGTCTGCAACACTGACTGTAAGGGGTCTGGAGGAGGAGGGGAGGGATGGACGGACACATGAAGAAAGAGGAGAAGAAGAGTTAAAGTGTGTTTTAACAACTTAAAGTTATCGTAACAGCCAGGCCATGCCTTACACATTAAACCTTTGAACTCCAGGCAGTTTCTGGATGTTTTTTCGCTCCTGTTTTATTTTTACTTCTGCTTTAAAAAGTGCTGCACCTCTATGGAAACAGAACAACCATCACTACAAGTAGAAAGAACTCAACTGTCCTCTGTGCAGCATCACACAGAGAAAATAGTGTAAAAAATTTTAAAAAAAAGAAATGACAAAAGTTTAATTTTTTGGACTACTTTAGGTTACAAAAATTGAAAACATGTACAGCTTTTTTCTAAGTGCCTGCAGTTGTTATCAATACTAGAGAAACTGGTGGCTGTACATACTTTAGATATTTTACTAATTACATTTTTAGTTTGTTTCTACCTCCACCTCCTATCTACTCTGTGAAAACACAACATGCAGTTAAGGTGAAAAAGTCCCCGAATTTCTGTCACCTAACAGCTGGTTGAAGCAGAGTCAAACATGGCTTCTTAAATGCACCGATCAGCACAGAACTTTTAGTTTTTTAAGGCACCTGGTTAGTACAAACAGATACATTTTTTGGTATAATTTAAAAATCAGACAAGTGATTTGGACTATTTGGTCAGTTTTTCCACAGGTATTTTACTGCTTACATTTGAAATTTGTTTGCATGTTTGCCTCCTCTCTGCACTGTTTAAACATAACCTGCAGTTCAGATGAAAAATCCCAGAATTTTTGTCATGCGAATGTTGGTTGTAGCTGAGTCACTGAAGGCTTCATGGCTGCATAAAAACGTGCAGAATTTTGTGTTTTTTACAAAATCTGGGTAGAGAAGACTCTTTATTTTTTGGCTAATGTTTAAATGAGACACGTAGAATGAAGTAATTGTGATGAAAAAACAAGTTTTTAAGCTCAGACTTGGTTAAGTTTTTAAAAGATCTACTGATTCCTTCTTTTTTCACTGTTTCTGTCCATGATAAATGGTCTAATTTCAGTGATTATTTAAAGACAACATGTCTCTAAAATCCGCTGGAGGGTTTTATAGTCAGACTGTGTAGGAGCTGGTCAGTACATCGGGGGTGGATAGGTTTAAAAGAACTGTTCTTCCTAATATGCAAATTCTGCTTCATTGTTTAGTCATCCTAAATAAGCTGGAAGTGCTTCACAGTCCAATATTTACCTCATTATCTCCATTTTGGCAGGCAGAGTTTGCTAATAAAGCGCTGCACTTTTGACAGAAAGCAGAACACAGTGGAGAATATAGGACATTATACTGTAAATATTGAACCTGGGGAACCACTTTGGAATTATTTTAGGTCTAAATATTTGGATTATATCGTACAAGCTGTTTGGAGGAACCTGATGGACAACCTGTACTTTTGATAAAGCTGTAAGCCTGATTAACGCAACGGATAAAGTCTGTCTCTATTTTTCCTAAAGTCAAACATGTATTTAAAAATATGAATTGCTTCTAGCAATAAATAAAGCCTGCGAGGGCAAATCCTGATGCTTTCAAAATGAATAGATTTGGGGCTCAGAGCCACAGACATTGTGGGACAGTCAAAGAATACGGACATGAATTCACACATTATTGATTTTAGAATTTTAGTGTCCTTTTTTCTTTTTTTACAGCAGTTATCCTTAAATAATTTCTAAAAATAATGACAGAACTATTTGAGTTCTTTTGCTGTCCCTGTCTGCCATGATGTAGAGGGGTGGCGAGGATAGAAAAGCAAAAGTAAATTTACTCTGCTTACAGATTTCCAATATTTTTACATCATGCAAGCTAAAATTCAGTGATGGATGAAGTATTAAGGTCATTTTCTCAAGTTGAAGTGCCCATACAGCAGTGTGAAATACCCCATTACAAAGAAAAGTCCTGCATGAGGAGCCTACCTAAGTAAAAGTACACAAATATAAGCAGCAAAATGCAGTTAAAGTATTAAAGAAGAAGTCCTGGTTTGGCCCCTCTGACTGACATAGCATCATATAATCATTATTAAATTATTAATAGTGAAGCATTAGTGTGTCAGCAGCATGTTACTGTTGAAGCTGCTGCAGGTGGAGCTGGTTTGAACCACTTAAATAGAGTTTTATAAACACGGAGAGGAAATAGGAAAAAAGTTCTAATAGACAAATCTGTGCTGTTTTTCTATAATTCTTAATTTTTTTGTGAGATATTGGACTATTTGCATATTTACTTGAATAAAGTCTTGTGAGAAGTTTAGAGGAAAAAAAAAAATCACTATTTTGCCGTTAATCACTCAGACATCCGAAATGTGACGCTGACTACACACTGCTTCTAAAGAGAAGCCACTTGAACTACATATCGTGTTGTAACACACTGAAGCCCAAAACCTACCAGCATGTTTGGAAGTCATGTAGATTTATTTTTTTTAAATCACCAAAATTACACCATTGATCAAAGGCAGAAGCTGTTTTTAAACTTTTTAAAACATTCTATCATGCTTGACTGGTGATTCTGGTCTTAAGAATTAACTAAACATAAGTTTATAATCATGATATTTCATCAAAATCACTTTACTTTATAAGTCCCGTTTAAAGATTTGGCAAAAATAAACGGTTTGTACCAGATTCTGTAAATCACCAACAATTCTGCACTTCTCAACAAAACCATTAAACCACGAATGACTCGGCTGCAGCCAACCGTCACACAGCAAACATTCAGGGACTTTTTGGCTGAACTGCAGATAAGTGAGGCCACAGTGAGCAAAAGGTGATGGGGGCAAAAAAAAAAATCACAAACTACTTGAAGTCCAAATGGTTAAAAGCTTCAGTTTTGTAAATCCTTCATATTAAAAGTAACTAAAGCTGTCCGATTAATGTAGTGGAGCAAGAAGTAAAACATTTCCTTTTGAAATGCAGTGAAGCAGAAGTATTAAGTTGCACAAAATGGAAAAAATGAAGCAAAACACATCTAGTAATTGTACCTCAGTGCAGTGCGACAGTAAATGTACTTGGTGTCAAAATATGCCAACAATTCACATTTATTTAGCATTTTTGTACTGGCACTGTTTAAAATTTCACTAGTTTATAGAAGTAAAGTAAGCTTGTAAATTTAAGATGTAATTTGAATCTATGTATATTCTTACATGAGTCCACAACAACACAGAATTTCTCAATGTTTACACACCTTTTTGTAGTTTTTAGGAGCCGTTTAACCCTGAATTTATGTCCTTATAAGACAAGTGTTGACTAATGCTGAATAATGCACTGTCACTGTTTTTACCACATCTGCAAAACATGAGCACATTTAAATGCGGATGCTTTGATCTCAGAGCTTCATTTTTCATTCCGTCTGACATCTGGTTCTGACTCACCGTTGTTGCCCATGCCTTTCATCATGACCTCGGCCTGTGCGAACTCATAGCCGAAGCTCAGCTCGCTCGACACGTCGCTGGCCGCATCCAAATCCACCTCCAGCCGGTCGGTGCTCAAACACGTCTTCATCGTGGCGCCGCCCTCCTCGTCGTCGCCCCCCGCGTGGACCATATGCCTGGGTAGGTTGATCCTGAGCGGGCGCGTGGCCAGGTGGGCGATTGTGTGCGGGCGTAGGTGAGAAAGAGTGAGTGAGAGAAATAGGAAGTGTTGTTGAGTGAAAAATAGGAAGAGAAACAAGGAGGCGTTTGTTAGCGCATGTAAATAAATACCACCGAGGCACGGTGGTGTGGGAAATGAAACACTGTGGGTGCAGATTTGAGCACTTTGGACGTGGAACAGACCTGAAGAAGTGGTTGTTTCCCCACAGGATTCTGTCACCATGATGAAGCTGTACTGGGCTGGTGACTACAGCACCGTTTACACAAGTTCTGCAAACAGAAGATGTAAACAACACGAGATGACAACAGGAGTAGCAGAAAGAGTGACAGCATAAAGCCTTCTAGTTAGAAAAATAAACAAAAAAATAGGTCCTTGGTCGAAGTAACTCTTATTATTTCCTCGCAAATGTCAGTAATATGTAAGTAAACTGTGTACATGTACAGATTTTCTTTACATTTTGTCTTCTTGACAGCATAGTGAACTCCAACAGGTTTCTAGTGCTGTATGAATCCATAGGTCTGAATCTGAATTTTGCCCTCATTTACTAGGAACCTCAATAAATTTCTTCTTTGGACTAAAATATGGCGAAAAAAAACTGCCAAGTATGAAAAATTGGTATAAAATACTCGCTCAGATTATTAAGCTGCTTTACCTATTCTTAAATTTTGTATTTTCTTTGACCCTCAAAGCCAAAAAGCACCACCACGATTAAAAGTTGAATGTCATCTTTTTTCTTTCTAAATGCCACAATGACTGAATTTAACAGACACACCTGGAAAAAAAAAAAGAAAAAAAAAAGGGAGAGAATCTTCAGATTTTTAACTTTCCAACAGTCCTTGAACTACTCATCAGTGACATGTCATTGATCACTTGGTCTGATGTGTCACTGTAGGTTCGATGTGACAGAGTTCACTTTACAGGTAACCAGCATCATTTAAAACTGACTTTAAAACAAAGGATTGCTTCTTTGGCAACTTCAGCTCCTTTATCTCCACATTTGTTTCTGGCATCCTCACTGCAAAGAGCTAAGACACGAGCTAAGTGGCAATTACTAAGACACATGAGCATAATGAAACGCACCTATAGAGGGCTTCATCTTTATTTCTGCCAAATTTGAGGAACTGTGTGCATCGTGTAACTGAGATACCCGAGTTAAGGCCAAAAACATAAGGTCACACTGACTTCAGCGTTTGATCAATACCTTCTAAATAGTTCGTTGATGTGTCCAAGGGAACGATTGTGCCAAATTTAAAGAAATGTCCTTGAGGTGTTTCTGAGAAGAATATGTGAAGAGACAGACGAGCCGACAACCTGAAGATAGCTCCTGAAACACATTGCTGTGATGTGAACTGTTCGTAAAAATTGTTGTAAACGTGTCCAGAGACATATTTAAAGTATTTTGGACCACTTGGAGCTGTACAACAACGTGTGACAGCAACAGTGACATACTACAGTCACCATATAAAGCTTTTAAAAGCAAAGTTGTCAGTCAGATTTTAAGCAACACCAGCATTCATTTAGTTTCCATCATGATTTCAACTTCAATATTCACTTTTCTTTAACTCTTCTCTGGCAGCTAAATGCTGAATGCTCTGCTATGTTTGCCAGCTAATCGGTAACATTGTCAGCTTTCTTGCTGGAACTAGTTACCTGCTGTAGTTGGAAGCAAAGCTGATGAGACCTGTGAGACTGACCCCGTTATAAAGAGCAGCTGAAATCTAGTGGGTTTGCAACTACAAGCAGCTGCTTTCAATTTACCTCTTTTAATGTAGCACTATTGGCACAACTTTTAATGAAAAGTCTTTCAGATTTTCCAGTCCAGTTGTTGCGAAACACTGAATTATTTTTACTACCGAGTGTTAAGAGTCGTGAGAAAAACAATTCCTCGGCTCTAATTTGAATTAGCGGTGCCCTGAGCTGCTCTCTGTGGAGTCACAGGACTTCAGCGACATACCGAGCGTTGCGGTGAGGAGTGAGCATCACGCCGTTGTTCTCCATGATGTCGATGACACAGTGCTCGGCTTGGATGGCCATCCCGCACAGCTGGATGTCTTGTGAGTTGGCCGAGCCCACGCGGGTGTGATCCTGGACAGAGGGCGGTCACAAAACACAGGATTTACCAATTAAATGCAACGAGGACATGTGTTTGCTGCTGTGCTGATCAGGGTTTGTGTTCTGTACTTTCAGGTAGTAGACCAGCAGCTCGTTGAGGGCAGGATCAGCGTTCAGGTTGACCAGGAAGCACTTGTCTTCCACCACTCTGATGCCGGACGACTGCAGAGAAATGCCCAGACTCTCCAGCTGCTTCTGACGCTCCTACAGAGAGCACACATTTCATATTCAATATATGAATTGATTAGCCAATTATTTGTTCTCTAGCTGCTTGATGAAAGAAATGCAAAAAGAAGGCTGATAATACTGTGAAAATAACCTTCACACTGAATAAAACACTCTGAATTGAGTTAAAGTCAAACTAAATGAACATTTTGAATTTATCTGCCCAGACAGATTAAATGTGCGGTCTGCACTTGTGCAAGAAATCCACAAAAAAAGTTAATTAAGTTCTGTTTTTGTGAGTGTGTTACCTGTGCAATCGCCTCAGTCTTTCTGAGTTTGTCCTCCCAGGTGACCGTCATTTCTTGGATCAGTTTCTCAGACTCTTCTAGTCGCTCCTTCAGCTCAGGCGCCTTCATAGACTAAAAGAACAACAGTAGCTGCATTAAACTCCACAAATGTTACTGTGTCACCGATAATATTTGCAGGATAAAATAAGTAACGCGAACCTCAGCCTCTGTGAGCTGCTCCCTCAGTTTCTCCACCTCCTCTCGGAGCTCGCGGATGATCCTGGCGTTGGGGTCTTCGTTCACGACGGCGTGGTTCACGATGCTCTTGGCCCTGTCGGCGTAGCGCAGCGTGGAAAGCGTCTCGTCGTAGTTGTCGGCTGACGGGCTGATGGTGGCGACCATGGCGGTGCGGCTGTTTCCTCCGAGGCTGTCCTGCAGGTACAAACACAGCTTTGACCTCAGCACAAAACTCTACCATGGACACGAATAACATAGAAAATCCACTAATTTGGTTTAACCCGCTGAGCTTAAAGCAGTTACTTGGGTTTTTTGTTTTCTTCTGTAACATGTTTGCTAACTGTGGGTTGATTTTTCACTGCTGCCATATAAATAAAGAAAATATCGACATTTCAGAGGGGAATATTTGTACTTTCACTACATTTAGCTTTAGTTACTTTTAAGATGAAGATTTTAGACAAAGGGGAGTATAAGCTCCTGTCTTTTAATCTCTGTGAGCTCATTTTCACTGTAACATAAAATCCTGCACCTCTATAGAAACAGCATAACCATTGCTTGAGTTGAAAGAACTCAAACATGTACTCTGGACTTTACAAAAAAGTTTCAATGTCATAAAATACACATAAAAAGACCCAACAACTTGATTTTCTTTGATTATAACTATTTAACTTACAAAAAAAGTCAACTTTTTTTATTGACATAAAAACTTTTTTTTCCCTCCATGTGTACTAATATTGCAAAAAAAAAGGGGCAACATACTACATACTAACTATATTTGACTAATTATATATATTTTTTTCTGTTTCTGTGTAACGCAGCCTGCAGTCTGAAAAGTGCCTGAATTTCTGTCACATTACTGTTGGTTGCTGCTGGCTTAAACATGGTGCTTTAGTTGCACCAAGGAACGCAGATTCTTTTTTTTTTTTTACAAGAATCTGGTTGCAAACTTTTCGTTTTTTTGGTGATTTTAAAAAAAAAAAAGAGACATTTAAAGTGGTTTTGACGAAATGTTAAGAACTAGTATCACAAATGATTAGTTTGAGGACCGTCTGCTTGTGGAAAATCCTCCAATTCTTTGTTTTCAAAGTTCCTGGCTCCGATAAATGGTGTAATTAAAAAAAAAAAAAACATTTTTATTAAAAATAAAATGCACATTTAAAGAAAAAACAAATAAAATGCAAAGCTGCTAGTGGATTTTGGTGTTCAGAGGGTTAAAGAAAAATTACTAAACGTGAAAGGATCAATATTTCTGAGCTCAGTGAGTTTCAGGGAAATCTTGTGAGTTTAAAAAAAAAAAGAAAATCACTTTTAATGCTGTTAAAATGCTATCTGGAGCCAATTAAATTTAAAAACTGGAAGAAATTAAAGACTTAAAGCTGGCAAAAATAGCCTTTTTCCAACTGAGCAGAACTAATGAAAATAACCATCAAAATGAACAAAATAACAAAAAGCACACCAGAAAATTAACTAATCAAAGACTCAAACTTTTCTTCTGATTTAAAAAAAAAATCCATTTCGTGCTCATAGCCTGTTGTGCATTAAGGTGGATGTGCAGCTGAAGATGCAGGATGTCCTGCTCATCTGTTGTGAAATCTGTATTAACAAGGTTTGTTGTTTTTGTTTTTGTACCTTGAGCAGCCAGGTGAGCACAGAGTCTCTGTAGGGAACAAACTTGCTCTTGTTCTTTCCAGCTCCCTGGTCGGCCAAAGCCGAGATAACTAAGCCCAGAGTGCTGAGAGACCTGCAGCGAGGGACGGAGAAAAGGGAGGATCAATACGCCAACCTGAGACTGAAAATGCATCAACTTCTTAGGTTTCCAGCAAATGCATTCAAACACACACTGTCCAGAAAACAGAAACATGTCTGTGAAGATTCTCAGTCATCCAGGTTGTGGTTATTCTCATAGTGTGATCGTCACAACTGGACTTGCTTGAGTTCCTTGAAGACGTTTCACTTCTCATCCAAGAGGCTTCATCAGTTCTGACTGACTTGATGGGAGTTCCACATACTTATATCCTAAAGGAGCCATTAACACCTGAGTTTCGGTTTCGATTGGGGGTTTGTTGCTCCTCCCCTCGTTATATGTGTCGTTAGTGCTCCCCCTGACACAAAGGGGTTCGTTAGGGTCTTTAGTGGCTAGGTGTGGATGTAGTTTCATCTTCCTGGGGAGACATCTTAGGACTGAATTGTAAACAGGTGAGAGGTGATGCCTCAGACCTCCACCTCTGTTGAGGGATGGTCTTTCCAGTTTGACTTAGATTCAGTCCTAAGATCTCTCCCCAGGAAGATGAAACCACATTCATACCTAGCCACAAAAGACCTTAATGAACCCTATTGTGTCAGGGGGAGCACTAACGACCCACATAACGAGGGGGGAGGAGTAACAACCCCCAATTGAAACTGAAACTCAGGTGTTCATGGCTCCTTTAGGATATAAGTTTGTGGAACTCCCAACTAGTCAGTCAGACCTGATGAAGCCTCTTGGATGAGAGGTGAAACGTCTTCAAGGAACTCAAGCAAGTCCAGTTGTTACGATTAATCTACGAGAAAAACAGATAAATGTTTGACAGAAGACAAAAAGAGCCAGTAATCCTGCTCGGTCACATAGTTGAGAGCGTGTAGTTAAAAACTGGATCACTGAGGGTTGAGATGTCTTCACTTTCATGCTGTAGATGTATTTCCAGTTGACTCACTTGTTGATGTTGCTGCCTTCTTTCAGTCTTTCACCTGCTGCTCCGGTCTTCGCCGCTCGTTCGCTTCCAGCAAGATCCACCAGACTCAGCTTGCTCACCTTCTCTCCACTGGTCTAAACACGACAACACAGAAGAACACACATTTATCACATTAAAATCCTTGTTCTTTTACAGCCCTTGGTTTAAAAAAAAAAAAAAAAGGCCAGTTGCAATTTTAGAGAGTCACAGACAAGATTAATAGATGAACTTTACATTCCACAAAAACTGCAAAAAGGCCAAATAAAAGGCAAAACATCACCTGGTATTACAGGAATACACATAAACATGAATGGAGAGGATACATTAAAAAATAAAGTGAGACAAAATAGTTTCTGGTTGAACAGAGAGAGCTTAATATAGAAAGCAAAATAAAAAATAATGCAGAAAAATTGGTCAATTAATTGATCATCAGAATATGAACTTAAACCATCAGTTTATGCAAACTTGCATTTGTTTGCACTGATGATAAAATATGAGGATCAGCTGCTTTTCTTAGTTTTATATCACTGTCAATTAAACATCTTTGTACTGCCGTAAAACAAAACAAGCAATTTAAACAAGTCACCTCTGACAAAAGTTTTCTTAATATTTGCCCATTTTGCTAATTTTCCTGAACAGTAAAGCAAATAATTGGAAAAAACAATCAGTAGAGAATTACAAGGTAGTTTGAAGATGGGTTTATTATTTTAAAAAATGGGATTAGGATTCAGCTTGATGTCAGCAGAGTGATCTGAAGCAACAACAGGACTGGCTCTTACTCCAGACTGCATGTCCATGAGTGTGTGCGTGAGGATGATGTTGAACACAGCGTGGGATCGGCTGCTCTCTTCGTTCATGTTCGTCGCCGCCACTGTGCGAGATTTATTTCCCTCTGACATCAGAGACTCTATGTCCTGTTGAAAACAAACACACATCTTGTCTGTATCCATCCGTGTGATATATTGCTCTTTTCCCCCCTGGCAGCACAATGCAATAAAAAAGGAAAAAAAAATACAGCTTATAAGTGCAACGTCTGTGTTACCTTGTAGCTGGCCACAGCCAGCCGGGACAGACCGTCAACGTAAGGCCCCAGAACTTTGTGCTCTCTGACTCTCAGAGCTTGTCGACTTCTATAGAAAGAAGGAGACATTACAGTCCTACAGTTTTATTCCATTCAAACACATATATGAAAAACTTAATCATGTTTTTCTCTTCCTGAATAAACAATAAGGACGTGTCAAGAAACACCTTAAGGTAAAGGATCATTTTTGCTGCCTCTCTTTCTGACTAAGTAACGGTAATTTCCAGACTATAAGCTGCTACTTTTTTCTGCTGCAGCTTAAACAATGATGCAGCTAATTTATGGATTTTTACAAGTTTGCCTCGAGACAAAAGTGACATTGAGAGCGACAACGAAAGAGAGACTGAGGAAGTGTGTGACGACGTAATTCTGAGGCTTTTCAATTCCGACACTGAAGAAGACAACTTTAGTGGTTTTAGTGCGCAGGAGGAAGATGAAGATAGCGATCAGTGACTTTTCCTGGTAGGCTGCTGTATTTTTTGATTTTTTTTAACCAGTCGTGTTACAGGCACTGTTCAGAAAAAAGCATTTACGGTACGTATTTGTGTATGTTACAGACACGCTTTTAATTAAAAGTTAAAAAAATCTTTCGGTGTGAATATGTCATGTTACAACATGGACAACTGCGGCTTATAGACCAGTGCGGCCTATATATGTACAATTATTTTGTCTTTTTAAAGTTAGTGGGTGCGTCTTATATTCAGGTGCGCTCAATCGTCTGAAAATTACGGTCATTTATTTGGATGCGATTGAAAGCCATTTATTATTCCTACGTTAAGTGAGAGCAGAAGCATTGTAATTAAGAGCTATATAGGCAACATGTGCGAGCAGTAACTGTCATGAGTCATGGTGTCACAGGACGACACGCCATTAAAAGTGAATCCTTGTGTTAGGACACGTTTTTGTGACATGAACTGGAAACTGGAGCCGAGAGGAAAACATCCCATTCTTTGTCAGTGAGCAGCCAAAGATGATCCAACCTTCATGTGAAGGATCGTCATGGTGACAAGAGGATGGTCTGTGGCTACCAACGGGAGAAGAAACAGCAGTTGTTTTTTTTTGTTTTTTTACAGTGGAAGAGCTGCAGCTTCCAAAACTGGATGTGTCAGAGGGCTGAACTACAAAGCAAGTTCAACACACCCAGGATTCATGATCTGGCTTCACTAAAGCGAACAGCTGCTGTCTGAGCGTGTTCACATGAAAGAGGCGTGTTAGCAAGAGATGACCTAATCAGAAACATCGACAGGTACAAAGCCGCATATTTCTCCCGAGAATTACAAACTAAAATTACATTTCAAATCATCAAATTTTTAGAACAAGTTCTGCTCAACCATCTCTGATTAACTAGAAGTTTACATAGCAGAACATATCAATATTTATCGGTAAAATTTAGATCAAATACTTTCTGAAATAATTGCCTGTCAACCCATTTTCAGCACATTTTTTCCTACATTGAAATTTGTGGCTGTTTGAACAACAAAATCTCAGGAACAAAGATAAAAGCCTGAAAGTTTAACTGTTATTTCTCATGATTCAGAGTCAATTTAAAATTGGACAAGTTGATCCGATATTCTGTGATTATGGGTGGAATAAATATTTAAAAATCGACAAGTTGTACCAGAAAAACAAAAACATTACTGTAAGTGGGTCGACTGGCAATAAAATAAAAAAAAATCTCAGAAAATATTTGGTATATTAATCTAAAATTTCACAATTTAAAAAACTATTTTAGACATTCAATAAAAAAAAAAGTTTCAGAGAGGGTCGAGCAGACGAACACTGATGATTTATCAACATCACTGCTTCACATAAGGCACAATTTAAAGAAAGATTTACTTCTGTAAGAGATGCTTAGATGTAGGTTTCTTTGCTGACATTATTGTGTAGCGCAAAATTTCATGGAGAAATTACAGATGTAGTTCCTTTAAATATTAGATTAGATTGCACTTTTTTTTTTAACTCACTTGTTGCAGCAGTACAAATACAGGAAAGAGCACAAACAAAGTGACAGGAAGAAAAAGAGAACAAATAAACTAGAAATAGGAAGAGCTGAGTAATATAATACAATAGAGCTTTGCACACACACACTCTATACACTATAGATCCATGATGGATACTATGATTTAAAATAACAATAATAATAAAAAAATGCTCCGTGAATGGAAGATTTAAAAATACAACACTAGTTATTCACAAGAGATCACATAAAAATGCCCAAATGTAGTATTTGGTTAAAGACATTGTTCAGAGATATAGTAGTTTGGGGGAATTATGCTGTTTTTCTGTAGTCAGAAACTAAATGCTTTGGAGCAGATCTTTTTTATGTATTTTGTGCAAGCTGAAGTTATGTAAAACACTAAAATTAGGCTTTATTGGCTCAGTTGTTGAGTGTCTATGGGGCCAAATAACATAATCCTGATTACATAGGCATCCAAGAGTTGCCTAAGCAAGTAAACTAAGCTTTTCTGTCCACAATCTCAGACTTCATCCATGTGAGCACGTGCAACCCTGAAAAAAAATATTGCCGTGGAACTCCAGCATCTTCAAGAACTTATTTTAAACCAGAATGATGAATTACGTCCTGCTTTAATCAAAACAGAGTCTTAAAAACTGGAGGCTGCGGAGATGAAATACAGTACATGGCTCTCAGGTTTAGAGTCGACTAGACTAAACAGTTCTTACCCTTTGGGGTCGAGCAGGTCTCGAACCTTCTCGTTGTAAATCTCCATGTAGGAAACCTCCACGGTGAAGCTCTCTCCCTCTCTGGCCTCCTGCACCGTCCTGCCGAACAAGGAGCTGCAGAGTCGAGGGATCAGACCGGGCTGCTCTGCTGAGCCCATCATGGTGTACGACTTCCCAGAACCTGGAGACACAAATCCATTTATCACGCAGGAAAACACACAAGATAAATTAACCAAATGTCATGTTTTGAAGGTTCACTGTAGACGTGCATTTCATGGGTTGAAATCTTATTTTGTGACTAAGGAACGCATAAAGCACAATAAATAATCAACACATCTTCAGAAGCTGCTTACAAAGGTGTTAAGTAGATCAGTACAATTATAAATGTTAAACTAAAAATATATACATACATATATAAATATTGTTATTTTACTAATAATTTCTGTCATTTGAAATAGAAATGAGGTCATGCCCTTCATCATGCCCCTTGGTCCTGGAATCTGCTCCAGAAAACGTTTAAATTGTCTGACCTTGTTTCCTTGGGAGATTTTAAATGTTTGTCACAGTCTGTAAAAACAGAAGTCTGTTGCTGCTTTATTTGAGTTGTCGTGTACTGTATGTATTTCCTGTATTTATGCTTTGTTGTGTGTTATATTTTTTGTGTTGTATTGTTGCAACTCTTGTTGCTGCCCTTTTGGCCAGGGCTTTCTTGTAAGAGATGTTAATCTCAATGGGAATCACCTGGTTAAATAAAGGTGACATAAAATTAAATGAAAATAATAAAAATAAATGAGGCACATATAACTTCTGTGGCAAACACACATTAGGCTCCCCCACTTAGGTCATGAGGTTAACTAATTTGTTGTAACTTTTACTTTTTCTCTCTTGGTCTTTCCTGGCTATCTCTGTTGGTGTGGGTGGGGTTGTTTTTTCTGTTTATCTTGGATCTGTGTTTGCTTCTTAGAACTCTGCATGTTCTTGTTTAATTGTTTAAAAAAAAAAAAAAAACTGGGCTGAAAAGACAGGACAAATACTGTAATTCTAGCTTTTGGAACTGTTACCTGTCTGTCCATAGGCAAAGATGCAGGCGTTGTATCCCATGAAGGCGTTGTCCAGCAGACTTTCTCCAAGGCACTGGAACACCACATCCTGACCTGCACACAAATCACAAACCCATCCTTTATCTATACGCCGCTTAATCCTCACGAGGGTCACGGGGGGCTGGAGTCTATCCCAGCTGACTTAGGGTGAAGGGAGGGGACACCCCGGACAGGTCACCAGTCTATCACAGGGCTACACTTAGAGACAGACAACCAAGCACACTCACATTCACACCTACGGACAATTTAGAATCACCAATTAACCTCAACATGTTTTTGGACTTTGTGGGAGGAAGCTGGAGAACCCGGAGAGAACCCACGCTGCACGGTGAGAACATGTAAACTCCACGCAGAAAGATCCCGGGCATCCTCACGCGAACCGGTGACCTTCTTGCTGCGAGGTAACAGTGCTAACCACCGAATACACATCTGAAATCATAAACTAATATTTCAATATAACTTAGTCACAAAGCTGAAGGGAAGAGATGCTAGACAGGGAAAAAAAAAGAAAGAAAACAGAAACACAAAAACACTTTTCTGTGGTGTTTTCACTGATAAGCTCATGACTAACGGTTCTCATCTTTACAAGACAAGACAGGCAGCCCAGAACAGACCTGGTGGGCATTTTATTCAGATTTAATACATCTGACACCGGCTGATGAATCATTAAAGGCCCTCACACTGGTGAGACGCGTGGGTGTTGCTCTGCCCCGCTGTAACAAATCTAGAGGTAAACAATGTGTAACTCTCCATCCCGCCCCCTCAGCAGACCCTTTCTTCAACTCCAGAAATAGTTCAGAATATCAGGAAACATTCTGTCAGGAGATAAGTTCAAGAAATGACTCACCAGCCAGCGAGGCTAAAAACAGAACGCACCAAATCAAGCACAAGCACAGTGACAGGGTGAAAGTGTACGAACCCGCAAACTTGTCTTTTTGGGATTCATCCATAGACCAGAAGCAGTAGTCGTAGGCAAAAACCTGAAAGGAAACACATAAGATACGCAAAATAAACACAAATATGTCCAGAGATATTACTGGGATGGGCATGAAATTGACAGAATGTTTAATGTAAGTTTGATTTAATCCTCACCTTTGGCTGAGTCCTGGAGGCAAAAGAGACAAGAAATGACAAAATCACAGTTAATATTTGATATTTAAACCTCTACAGTCTCATATTTAGAAGTTTAAAAACAACACCTTCATGCTTTAAAGAGGCTGAGATGTAACTTTGCACCACTTGCTCATGACGCAGAAAGCCCAAAGGTTTGTTAAGCATGAAATCCTGGAAGTCTTTGTTTTTGCGACCGTCATCGATACACCGCAGTTACAAGGCAGAAAGGCTCAACTATGGAGTTTCCTGTTTGTTTTGCTCACAATGTGTCTTTTAGCAAATAAAAGAAACACCATTTGGACATATTAAGAAGTTAAAAATGACAATCACAGTGCACCAGCAGAGACTAAAGGATTAAACCAACACAAGAACACGTGTTAATATTCATCACGTGGCAGCGCAAACACTATTTATTCATCTGACATTTTGCTTCAGCACTTTTCGAGATTCGGAACAAAGCAAGAAGAAATATTTGTAGGGACAGCAGAGAGGGAAGGTCACACTGAAGCCTTTTTAATATTCACTGAGACCTGATTCAGCAAAACTGCCACCTCACTTCAACACATAAACACCTGGATGGCGTCCAGGTCAAAGCTGCTGAAGACAGGGAGAGTTTGACTTCTTTATTTCTTATTTCCCACACCAATCATTTTTCCGAAGGCTCTATCCCCTGACCCTTTAGTCACAAGAAACCGTTTTTCTTCTTTCTTTATGCTTCTTTTACAGTCTTTTTTTTCCCCACTGCTTTTGAATAATTAATGTTGTTATAAAGTCTGGTCTAAGCTGCCTGAACTGTAATTAAACTTGTCTGCACTTTAATTCACTTAAGGTTATTGAATTTATTTTCTATTTTACTGCACACTCTATCTCTTAGATGCTTTCATTTTTCTCATCTCTTGTATTATTTTTTTGCTGCTTTAGTCAATCAGTTTTAACTGCTCTCTAAGTCCTCTGTGATCTCTATTCAACTTGTCTGTGATGTTTTACGTTTATCTAATAAACTCAATGCACATATTTTATCGTTGATTAACATTTTTCTGTACACTACAATAAACATGGAGTCACATATTTCCGCTGAATAAAGAACAAATGCTTTCAAACGAATTTGAATACCAACCGAATTAACCCGATGAGCCCTATTCTATTTTAATTTCACTATCTTCCCTTTTAAAATTCTTATCTTGGTCATTACAGTAGCTATCCATACATGCTGTACCTTGTCTTGGCTATTCAGATCTTCAGTCAGTTGCTATGATATTACTTGCAGACTTTTTATATCAGTCATTGTATGAAGGAAAAAAAAAAGTAACATGAGCTGAGACATCTTTTCATAATTTTGCAGGAGAGATTGTTTGGAATCAGGCAATACGGGTTGCCATGGTGATGGTGGCACGCATAGATGCAGCAGCCACTCCCGGAGACAACGAAAGTGAACGTGTCTTGTCTATCCCAGACGTAAACAAAGGAGGAGGAAGAGAGCCGGGATCCATGCTAAAGGCTAACCCCTCCAGACCAGCAGGACTGTCCTCCTACTCTCCAATGTCCGCTCCCCCCACAACAAGCTGGATGAGCTATGTTTGCTGAGAGAAACCCACAGAGAGTGGAGGGACTGCTGTGTGTTTGCTTTAACAGAAACATGGCTCCATGACAGCATCCCAGATGGCCATATAGCTGGAGGAGACGACATTATTCTGGGCGGACAGACAGGCAGCTAGCTCTGGGCAGCATCTGTGGCTTCATAATCGTCACACCATCGTGTGTCTTTGTGTCCCCGAAGACCTTGATTTGAATACCAGAGCCATAGCGTTGGGATACTGTATGACGTAGACATTGAGGAAACAGAATGAAAAAATGCCACATTATTCACTTAAGTGTTCATGATACAGCAACCTACAAGCAGAAGTGGCAAACCAGGGAAACGATTGATGGGCTCTAAGGGTTAAACAGAACGTAAGTTTAAATAAGACGTTATAACTTTTAGAAATTAAAGTTTAGTTTACCTTGCTTCCTTAAAAATATTACATCCTAAACTTGCTCTTGTCTCCTTCCTTACAAATCGTGCTTGCTAACCTTGCAGTCGCTATCAAATTGACTCCAATTAATCTGAGGGTAGCTTATGACAAGCTGGGGCTTCTCTGATTGGCCAAATGATGTAAACACATCACCTTTCTATCAGCGCTTGATCTGACAGGTCAAATGCTGATTGCATGAAGTGTATGAAAAGAACTTTTAGGTGGTCATTTGCGATGTGTTTACTGCATATGTTCACAACACACTAACAATGAAAATATGATTTATTGGCCAGTACAAGCTGACATCAGGCTTGAAACCTGGAAAAATGAGTTCCTAGCTACCAAACAGACCTGCTGAGTACATGCCCGAGGCTGAAGATGGCAACACACAAAAAAAACAAAACAAAACCAATTTGATTATTTACGACATTAATATACAACTTATAAAGGCTTATATATGAAGTCATACTGTGCGGCTTGTACAGATATGCTGAGCAAGCTTAGTTGACTTTGATTCTGCATCAAGATGGAAAGAGTAAAAGATTCAAACGACCCAAGAAAAGGGCTCAGCAACAGTGACCCCAAAAGTAGACTAATGGGGGAAAACACTGGTGAATGGGGTCGAAACCACAACTTAAAAACACCTTATGTGGCATTTCTTGGTGGAAGGTCAAAAAGCTTCGGCAATATTGACATGAGACTTAAACTAAAAGGTCAATGTCTCAGTTATTTTGCTTGCACATTTTTTCTACATAATACAGCTGCTCAGAGTGTACTTTACGAGGCTGCTTGGCACATGCAGGGGCCCGTTGGCATGTCGGTGCCCAGCGATCAATCATCTCATAATCCGTCCACGCTTAGCTAAAAGACTAACCGTCACTGTGACGGGAAGGTGTTGCTCATATTGGCACGTTTCTCTGGATGAGCCCTGACTCATTGAAATGTAAAAGTAACATGTCAGCGCTGCGACCTTCTGTCCCTTAAAAAGATACTCGACGTTCAGTAATTGTTCTGTGGCAGCTGAGAAAAGTGCAAGGAAACAACTTTTCAGCAAAGAAAAGCCGAGTTAGCAAATGAGCGTGAGAGGAGTCCAGGTCAAAGTCAGTGGAGCAGGAAGGGAGGGTTTCAAGAACATGGAGTCAAAGGTGTTTTAATCATAGTGAAGCTTAAAAATCTGTCAAGGTGACTAATCCTCTTTGGCTCCTTGTGAATCAAGTGGAGAATGTGACCTTGAGCAGCGCTAAGAGCCTCAGAGCCTCCCAGTGTCCGTGAGACGCCGGCCCAGCCTAAATCTCTGCATTCTTACCGGATCGCTTTAAAACACGGCCGCTGTGTTCGCGGCGGCCGGCGTGGCGTCACATGCGTCGCTCGCCAAACACATCGGCGCATTCCAGCAAGTGAATGTCAAATTTAATTATCAAACATGTTTCTGTGCTCCAGCAGCTCAGTTCTGCTGCTGCCCATCAGCAGTGCAGGCAAATTTAACAAGAAGGCTCCGTTTAATGAAAGTTGTTCTTTAGGCAGCTATAATCAATATTTCTATAGAAGTAGTGTATCACGTGAATTATTTATACGTTAAAAGGGCCACCGATAGTGCTGAACTCAGATGTTTTTCACTGAACTTGCAGCTCCCCTCAGCTCCAATAAGCCAACTTAAGTGCACTTTTGCTGCTTTTGTTCATTGTCCGGCAGCTGCTTTAACAAAAAATGCAGATCAGGAATTGGTGAAAAAAGATTATTTCAGATGCAAACAAATACTACTGTTGCTCCATATCCACTGGATGTGTAAATAAGCGATTGATTGCTTGCAAGGTTGCGAAAAAAAAAAAAAATCTGAATCTGTCAGCAGCTGGGATCCTCCAACCTTCGTCACTATAGACCAAAGGAGGGTCTGTGGCTACCATCAAGACAAGAAGCAACAGTTTTCACAGTGGAAGAGCAAAAGTCTCTACAACTAAATAAGGCCAGCAGTGAATCAGGAGGATCCTTGTTGGGTTTTTGACGTTCACAGAATTTTGCGCCCTGAATTATCGAACTGTTAATGCTGAGTTCTACCACAACGCTGTGAGACACCTAAAGACCTGAACTCTCAAGCATTGGTGCTCTTACTGCACCACCACTGGCTTTTTGGCTTTGACAATGCACTTGTTGCTCCCCATCCACTGTACTTGCCAAATTTAGCTCTCTGCAACTTCTTCCTCTTCCCAAAAAATGAAGTTCAATTTGAAGAGTCACCACTGACACACTTTAGGAGATTCAGCGCCCATCGCAGATGATGCTTCCTGTTGGCGCTTCTAGTGTGACAGCAAAAGAAAGGACACTACTTTGAATCAGACGGTGGCCAAAATTAAATCAGGTACTTTATTTTATTTTTGCTTTTATAGGCACAGACTCAAAACTTTTTTTTGTCTCTCTGTTTTCTGCTCTCTTCTCTATGAAGTGTAAGTCTCTCGATATGAATTATTTTTTTCAAAGCTGTACTTTGGCTTCAGTGTGATGCTAGTTAAGTGTACAGCAGTCTTCACATTTCCCCTTGACCTCTAAGGGGAAGCTGACTAAACCAGGCTATTCACAAATCCTACATAACAAAGGCAGGCTGACTTTGGTGCAAATACAAATTTGATACAAACTGCACTCAGCATCAACACCAGCCAGCTTACAAATTTGGCACGAATGCACCGATCTGGAAGCATTTGAAAATAAAACACTTTTTGGCATCTATTAGGGTTTGGAACCTCCTAAAAAAATGTGTGTGTGTGTGTGTGTGAGAAACTGTGGCAGCATGGTTTGGATATGTCAGGATGAAATAAATCATCCTTAGACGTACGTAGTCTCCAAGGAAGCCTCATTTAAAATGCAGCACCGTACGCAACTCAAAACACAGACTTCACTCAGGCAGAAATATCAATTTGGGGGTTAAAAAAAGGCTGCAAATTTAGTCATGGCCACACACATTCGGGAGCTGTAATGAAACAAGGCCTCCCTATGCGAGACTTGGCTGCTTCATGAAAGAGAAACATTAAGTCCTGTCGACTCTTGGGCTGGCGAGGACATTCCTGAGATAACTGGCAAAGTCGTGCAGCTCCAAGGAGTCACTAAAGGAGAAGGAGGAGGAGCAGGATTGAACAGAAGGTCCATAGCCAGTGACATACACAACGGAACCTGCTCCAGATTTTAGTGGTTTACAATAACTTGTGGGCGGATAAGTCAGGATATAAAACAAGCAAAAATAGATCTTAAAACTTGCTTTTTTTAAAAAATCAAATGCAATATATAAATCTTCTGCTCAAAGCATGTGAAAACAGGATTCATGAAACTGTAGTTTTAGTGACTATTAGTGTGCTATAAAAGCAGCAACAGGACTTCAATAATCTCCAGCATCTCGAGGGTCCCTGCTGTAGCCTTGTAGCACTACTGCAACACATTAACACCCCCTGAGGGCCGCACAGCATTCAGTTAAACCTGTCAGGCAGTGGGCTGACTAAGCACAACTTTAACAAGAGCGGCTGGTCACTGAGTTCTTCAAAAACAACTCATATTTTGCTCATAACACATTACGGTCGACTGGGTGAACTAATCAAGAGCGCCTTTATGCTTTCCAGTTTAAAATACATAGCTGCTAAATTTAAAAAAATCAGTTCAGCTCTTTCGCTTGTGTTTGACCTTTGAGTTGCTCTGGGACTGTGGAAGTGCTTGTCTGCGCTGCACTGAGCCTGTAAAACCTGTTCACATCGAGCCCCAAAGGGGAAACTGCTGAAGGCTGCTGAAGCATGTCGGGGCAGAGGAAACACGCAGATACATCCACACACACAAAAATGCATAGAATCACTATGAAATATCAGATTCTTCTCTCTCTACAAAGACAGGGATTCATACTTTGGTGTCTGCAGGGGATTGCCCTGAGGCATATTTACAGAAAAAGGTAACCTGAGCATTGGCCGAGACCTCAAGGGAAAATCTACCTGCACAGCTCTGACTCATTACTTGGATGGCTGCAAGGAGGAGAGAGGAGGACCGGACTGCTTTGTCAACAGCAAACATGAGGAGACACATAACACATGCCTGGGGGGTTTAATTCAGCACAATCAGTTCACACTTTGCACCCACAACATCTACAAAACAAAATAGTTTTGTAATCCTTCCATACTGATGAGAGCACGAGTTGTACGTTAAATTCTGCACGATAAATCTAAATCCTGACACTCCTTTGTTCTTTTTTTTTGTTTTTTTATGCATGGCTGACTATCTGTGCAGGACTGAGCTGGAACAGACACACCCATTGTAAAGTGAGCAACAGTGCAGAAGGAGGAGGAAGAAAGTGGAAGAAATACAAGGAGGACGGGTGGGGTGAGGGTTAGATCCGAGGCTCTTCCAAGCAGCTGGGTGTTAACCGGACAGGCTGGTTAGAGTCTATATGAACTCATCTTTCCCTAATCCTGAGGGAATCAAAGTGGCGGAGCTATGATACTGTACTAAATACTGTAGGTGTGCAAATATAAATGAGGCAAACCACTGCATAGGACTGGATTACCTTTAGGGAAGAGGTATCTTATATTTGACAACCTGATACACTACGAAAGCTGCAAGTGTGCACTGGAGAAAGCTACTGCTAACTGTGGAAAGAACAGGGATAAATATTATTACTATCTGCTGGTGTTGTTTGTTCGTCGCTTCTCCGTCTGAACCTTAAAGCATCTTTGAGTGTCTCGGAAAGTGCAATACAGTCGTGACTCGATAATCTGACCCTTAACAATCCGAAAACCTTGCTATCCAACAGGGTTTTTGGAAAAACCCATGGATTCCAACTCTGACATTTTATGTCCCAAATAAGGATGACAGCGTATTATCTGAGTTAACAATCCAACAGATTGCCTACCTTCAGACTGCAGGACTTCATGCTCAATTCAGATTTTTTTGCGAGTTTGTTCACATTTCCAGTTAAATGCGACTTGTATGTGATCTGCTGTGTGAACTTCATACGACCCAGAACTGTCCCGCATGTGCAGAAGAGGACACAACGACATCACACGCAGCGAGCATGCTCAGTGTTTACGGAAGTAAACATGGATGGTGGCAGAAACAGAAGTGTGACTGCTCCTAAACTGGCATCAGCAGCCATGTACTGCCTGTGTGTTCCGGCCACTTCCACCCCGGACCGCACCGAATATACGGATATTCATCATTAATTGGGCCTGAATATCCAGAGACCAGAAAGTGCTATTGGGACCAGCCCTACTAGTTATTATAACAACTACGAACAATAATTAACAACAAATGACCCTTCCAGCATCAAGCCCTCCTTGTATCTCGACCTCTGTCTTGACAATCCGAGGCCTTGCTATCCGACATAAAAGAAGGTTTTACATTTAGTGTCTAATTATCGAGTCATGACTGTATATGTATTATGTATTATTATTATAAATAGTCATTAAAATAACGTAGAGATGAGCGTTTCCAGGTTCTGTAGGAAGGTGTGAATAGCTGTGGGTGGTTTTGCCCTCATAGAGAAGTCTCAAGTCTTGGTATGAACTCAGCTACACTCCCTTGCTGACGTCCACGTGGACAGCGATGGACACTACAAACTGTAGTTTTATCTGTTATACTACCTTCTAGTCCACGAAGATGATTCAATTCATACACATGCAGAAACTGGTTTTAACTATTAACTAAAGCTGGTGTGAGGTTAGGAAGGGCGTGAGGTAAAGTTTGTCGTCTCTCAATGTCCGCACACGGTCCGTTAAACATGCAGGCCAGAGTGGCAACTACGCTGCAAGGACCGTAGTGAGCATGCTCAGTAATGTGGATATGTGGAATACGCAGCTCTACTGTGCATGTATGTAATAAAATCCAGGTGGACTCCAGTGGACTAGAAAATAGCAAATGGTGCAACAACTACGAAGCTGCGGTGTCCATGTAATTAAGGCTTAACAAGTATTAAGCCAAGACCAACAACTCCCTAAAAAGCTGCGAATCCTAAATCTTGTTTAAATCTCGTTTTGTGTGTTGAACAAGTCATTAATTAGTCACTGCTGTAAGTTCTTTTTTTGTTTTTTTTGGCTAATTTAAAGTCACCTCATTCAATTCAAACAGACACTTCTGCTATAATCACCTAAACATTATTTCATGATTAAGAGACAAAGCCAGATGTGTCTATCCACTGTGGATACGATTTACTGTGCATGTATGGAACGTAGTCCAGTCAGACTCCAGCGGACTAGAAATAAAGTATAATGACAGAAACTATGAGGCTGAGGTGTGCAGAGAATAACCAAGGCTAAACAAATCCCAAATCAAGTCTAACAACTCTCTAATACACATCCATGATTCTTAAGTCATCAGATTCATGACTCCTCATCATGTCACACAGACAGACACTTCTGCTATAATCACCCAAACAACATTTCACAATTAAAAGACAAACCCAAACAAATTATGTGTCTGAATTCACCGTGAACAGACAAGTTTGGCCACTCGACAGGCATCTTGGTGAAGCCCTGGGTAATTATTCCAGGCTAACAAGCCCAGACTCCTGTCTAAAAAACTGATGCGAGAGTCACAACTGCAATTTCAATGGTCACCAGGACGTAAAAACCTGAATGAATCAAATCAGCAGTCAAAAGTCTGAAAGAATCTGCTTAAAGAGTTTGGTGAATTTGCCTAAAACACGCTTTAAGATGTGTGTTTTAAAACATATTTCTACTACATGTAAGCACATTTTCTCTCCAGTGAGCTCGCATCAGTCCAACAACACCACCACTGGCTGGACGTCTCCCAGGTTTGCAGCTTTCTGGTTGGAGGTGTAGAACATGTGTCATATAACTGTCGCCTTTGGTGTCGTGTTATTCTCCGACAGGTTTCTATCTCCGTCATAATGCCTCTGAAAGCACTAGAGGCAGGCTAGAAATAAAAGTAAACTGTAACATGACCAAAAGGTAAATGTTTTTGCCTCACACTGATAAGAACGTGATAAACCAGTGTGTGAAACTTGTTGCACTGTGCAGCTTACCGGGGGTCTCCTTTGTTCGCGTTGGTTACGGATGAATACAAAACTGTCTGGTTTCCCTCCATCTCCACCACACATTTTGTTTTTAGGTCTTTTTCTGCATCAAAAAGAAGAAGAAACATACTACTGTTAATGATAAAGTGAAAATAAATGTCATTTTTGGGCTTAAACATATAAAACGTAGAGCAAAATCTCTCTTAAACCATCATAATGTGCTGTTTTAATAGTTTAAAAGGCACTGCTGCTCATAACTTTCTTTAGTCGCTGACAGCTTTCACTGTAGAATAACAGGTGGCTTCCAGTGTGTGTTTGTGTGTGCGCCACTTCCTCGTGATCGTAATACAAACAGTCCAACATGGAGAGGCAGGAAATGGCTTTATTGATGATGATTCATCCAGGACCTGCCTGTGCAAACATTAGCACCAGTTTACTACTCCCTGAGCAGACAGTAAGGAAAAGCAGGGTCACACCTTTGCTTCCTCATTCCACCACCTACAGTCGAAGGTTTTAGAGGCGGAGACGACGCTGAAACATTCAGGCCGGAGTACGACACGTGATTTCTGATGTAAGATTTTTTTGTAGCTCAATACGTAAATTTGCAACGCATATTCAAAGTTTGATTGGAAAGTGATATATGAAATTCAAGGTCCAGGGATGACGCTGCTGTTTCGCAACACAACAGTCTGTCAGTTGACACTTGCTCAGCTGCTCTCAGAGGTATTTAGGCCAGTGACAGTGCATTAAACAGGCAACTCTACATGCGTTACAGTCCATTCCCTGTCAGGATGTGAGCTCACTGTCCCCTCCATAATTTTCCATGTTCACTACGACAGCACCTCCTCTTAAAACTTTTCCAAAAAGGGGTAAAATAGACCTTTTCAGAGGACTAAGGGGAAAAACTAACTCTGTTAAACACAGGAATGAAGCTGCGTCACTGTTTGTCAGAAACTACAAACTGGACTTGGCCTCACATTATTAGAAGAGAGCAAAAACAAACTGTGTTTTCATATAATTGTCAAGCAAATTTGATTTTTAAATTTTATAATGTTGCAGTTGTTGTAGTCAATTAGGCATTTCAGAGCGCACAAACTAGGCTTCATAGTGTCATCACAAGGTGGTGGTGCGTTACACATGGCTGTAATAAAGAAAGTTTAAAAAGCCAGGAACAAAACCAGTTGTTTGCTAACTGTTAAAAAAAAAAAAAGAAGAAATAAACAAAACTTCGGCAATTTAAAAGATAAAAATGTAGAGAAGTCTTCTGGAATTGTCTTCAAGTAGCAAAATTGTGGTTATTTTATCACATCAGCTGATATTGTCCATGTTTTTTTGCAGTCTAGAGATACAGACAATGAAAGATCCTGAAACCAGTGATCATTCATGCGAGCTGAATGTTCGCTATGTTGGAGCTTTTTTCAAAAAGGTCTTTCTGCTTTCCAAGAAGTGCATGAACATTTGAAACTGTCCGAAAGTACATTAAGCAAGCGCTACAACGTCTTTGTAAACTGGAAAAGTTCTTTCAAAGTTTTTATGTTTTTTTCTTTCATGCAATATTATTATTATTATGGGAACAGAGTTACAAACTGACAGTGATTTGGTGTCTTCCAGAGTTGATTATTACATCTGGAGGTGAGCACAGATGTTGAGAAAGCCTTGTTAGACGTAGGGGTCAGCCAATTAGTGTCCTGGCTAATTTTTGTATCTGGTATTAGCATTTTTTTTTTTTTTACAGTAGCCACAAGCAGTGTCGCACCAACAGCACCATGCGATTAAAATCATAAATAAGAGCCCATCGACACGAAAGGAGAAGTGCTCTCTTAATTAAACAGGCAGAAACAAAAGACTGAAAAAAAATAGTAAAATAATATTCAGTCTATACACATTCTTTTAAAATAATTATATTTTTGCTGACTGAAATACAGTAGTCTTGTGATAGACTGGTGACCTGTCAGGGTGTCCCCTGCCTTCACCCTAAGTCAGCTGGGATAGACTCCAGTCCCCCTATGACCCTAGTGAGGATTAAGTATAGAAAATAGATAGATGGATGGATACGTGAAATACAATAAAAAAATTTTAAAAAAAAGGTAAAATGTATGGTCAAAAGAACAAATTACTATTTGTAGAATTACAGATTTTGAATGTGGACACATGGCCTGTTTACACGCATTAACATGCAACTTATTACTTTATACCATTTTTCAATCCTTAAATACATATAATTTCTGTCAAATAACGGCAACTATCTGTAAAATACTTTTTTTCAATTTTAACTGCAGTATTGTTTTTTTTTGTTTTTTTTAAATGATTTCATTTTCATTTAACACAACAGCAAAATGCGGTCAAATATCTTTTTTAATTTTTAAAAAAAAAAACGTATTTACAATTTTTCAATCCTTAATATAAACAACGTGCCTTTCAAATAACAGCAAATACTTATAAAATAATGCTATGGTTTTATTTATTTATTTATTTGTTTATTTATTTATTTATTTATGCTGATGATTCAAATACAGCATAAGTAAAATTACAGATTCTTGGTGTGAACATTATAATATGGCCCACCTAAAATGTAATTTATGAGGTTTTTCTGTGATTTTATAAGTTCTTCTCACCTCTAAAATATCAGTAAAATATTCAAAACTTGACAATTATTTATTCACAGAGTAGCAGCTGCATGGACCAACTTTAAACGCAGTCTGGCCTTGTTTTGCTCACATGTCACTCACCTCTCCTGTTCATGGGTCTCACCCGAACAGCGACCTTGACGTTGGAGTCGCTGAGGCTGTTTTCATCCATGGTGCCACCTGACCTGCGGTGAATGAATGAATGTGAACAAATGAAACCAGTTCAAGTCAACCGGACCACCGCTTACATAGAACTACACCTGAACACATCTTCTGCCTCTTGTTCTCTTGTTTACCTTCACGAACCTGAGTCCCAATAACTTTAAGAAACTTCTACAGAGAGTCAACAAACTATGTTACACAACGAACCGTCAACTGACCGTGTGAACGAGTGAGTCTGTGTCCGGCTCCTCGAAGCTCTCAGCAGCTAGCCGGGACGCTAACGAGCGCTGATAACGACAGCAAACAAACGGAGAGTCGCGGGGTCAAATTTGTTCACGGTGACCGCTCATAAACGCACCGGGCCCGGTAACAGAGCCCCCTGAGACCGTGGTGTCGGTTCGGAGGAGCAGAAAGTCTCCTGGCAGTCCGCACTTCGTCCCTCCGGCTCCTCCACCTGTTGCATTTCCTGAAAGTTCCCGCAGAGATCAGTCCGACATGTCAACTGGCAGCTAAAGGGATTTACTGTGAGATTTACGGAGGAGCTCCGAGTTCCTCAGCTGCCTGGGTACACGGACTGGAGGACGGCGGAGGGGGACAGCGCCGCCCCGCGGAGACACCGGAAGTACAGCTCTGCGCTGTTCATATATCCGAAGAAAAGCGGTAATTTAACGGAATATATCCTTTTATTTTATAGATTTTTTTTTTATAACTCTATTTTTTAAATACACAAAAATGTTCTATAAAAATACACAATACTACTACTACTACTACTACTACTACTACTACTACCACTACTATTACTACTACTACTAATAATAATAACAACATAAAAATCTGTAACTATAAATAACCTATGCACTTGCTTTCTAAAAAATTGATTTTTTTGTTTTTGGACGAAACTCTTGAATTAAATTTCTCAGAATTTTTTTTTTACTCTATTTTAAAATACACAAACATTTTTCAAAAGTACAAAATATTAACAATAATAATAAATTATAATGAAATAACATTTACTGTGAATACACATTAAATGTACTTTCTTTAAGATTTTAATTTTTTTTTGAATAAAGTACTTTGAAACTGTTAAATGGAAGAATTTCCCCTTTTTTCTTACTTTTTTTTAAACTCTATTATTGAAATACACTAACATTTCAATAAAAGTACAAATTAGTAATAAATAATAATAGGAGAATAGCTTTAAAAACCTGAGTATAGAAACTGTATTTTAATAAGCCTTGGCATTGCCAGTCAAACTATTAAAAAAAAAAAAAACTAATATACATATATTATTTATATTACTGTTATTACATTTTACTATATCAATATTATGGTATATTGTGGTTAATTTCATTTATTACACAAGTAAATGTTCCTAATTAAACATTAAAAGGCCAAACAAATACACATGGTCTCATGTTAAAGGTTAGCAAAAGAATTTTAATATAGAAAATTAAAATATTTTAATTTTCTGTTTAATAGTAACTTGGGTGAGTGACCCTTTAAACAGTCCAGAAGAAGAGATGCAGGTGCTGAGGAGGAGAAAAAGTTCACTCATGAAGTGCCGTAACACAGTATACCAAATAAATAACTAAGAATAATTAAATCAAATATGAAATAAAACTATTTAAAACCTAATGAGAAGTTATATGACTACAGCAACTCACGATTAAAAAAAAGCGACATTTTACGACATTTTCTGTTGCTGTACGACAGAAGCCGTGTTTTGCCGCAACGTGGAGTTGTTTACTATTCCTCGTAGCCTTCTGGAGTTAAAACATAGATGTAGACGTTTTAACATACATCCACTTGTTTGAAATCGGACCGTTTGCCAAAAGGAAGAAATGGGGAAGCCAAAGAAAAAGAGTGAGTGTGTGACAAAGTGTTTAAAATGTTTTAAACGGCTTTGAAAGTGTCCCGGAGGCTAATGCTAACTGCGAGTCTCGTTACATGATTACATGACAGCGTTGTAACTCTGTGAAGAAGAACGAAGTGATTTTTCTAAATGTAGTAGCGAGTCGTTCCTATTTTGAAAACACTACAGGCTAAAATCCAAATTTACATAATACCGTTGGATTTTATAAACCGAACTGTTGTTTAATATGTTATCTAGCTAGCATTTACCTGAAGCTTTGGCAACCGCACCTGTTGTGCCAAAACTGGTGCCATCCTGGTGTCTCTACATCGTTTTACCTGCTCAGATTATAGCCAGTGTAGCTGTTTTTAACCAGTTGAAATAGCTTATAGCATATAATGCAGTTTCCTCATGACAAGAACAGATTGCATCTCCTACGTTGTGACTGAAATGTGACTTCATTTTATTCAGGAGGATTATAATTTGAAGAGCATAGCACAAGGGATGATTGAAACAAAGATAAATTATGTATTTTATGCTGTTCACCCATCCAGAAATCATGTTGAAAGACAATCTAAACAGGGATTTTAGGCATACCAGTTACACACAGCTGAATAAATACTATAGTAATTGCCTATAACATCACAAGTTTCAAGCCAGATTGTGCCATACACGCCAATCATTATTTGGTCACCATTAGTCACACTTTTATTTTTACCACAGGCATAATGTTTGGACATTATAGATACAGTTTGATCCACATAAAAGAAGCTGTAGATGTTTGTAAACACACAATCTTTTTTTATTTTTTTGCACATTATCACTTCATGGCAGGACAGTGGTGTTACAGGTCTACTAGTTTCTATGTTAATGGGCGACTGTCACAGGCTAACATAAAGACTAGTATATCTGAAACATTTCCAGCTTTTTGAAACAACAATCTCATCATACTGACCTTTGCTCTTTGCCAGGTGACCTCAGCCGAGCTGAGCTGATGATGATGACCATTGCTGATGTCATCAAGCAGCTGGTTGAAGCCCATGAGGAAGGCAAAGACATCAATCTGAACAAGTAAGTCATCCTCAGTGCAACCACACATTTGGAAGACCATTCTAACATTTAATAGGTAGGTTGGATATGAATTGCAGATATCCATCCTTTAGTTTTCCTAATCAAAATCAACATTTTTATATCAATATTATGCTTCTTTCAAGGACAAATGGTGTCAGTTTTACCATTCATGTGTATGGGGAGTTGACACTGTAGAGATCTGTAACTAGATATAAGTAGTTGTAATTCCGGTTGCTTAAATCTTTAGGTATATTCAGACTAGTCATAATTGTTGTTTAAGATATCTTTAATTCCACTCAATTCAACACGTCTACATTGTGTTTTCTAAATATCTTAAATTCAGTTTAAACTAGTAAAAATATAATTACAGATATCTTGAATTAGAATTTTGACTTGACGAAATGACGTTGCAGATGTTTGTAATTATGTTATAAGCTACGGCAAGAGGAATTTGGAGGTGGCTTACTTTTAAACTAGCTGTAGCACTGACCAAACTAACTGATTAGTCGAAGTAATAATCAACAGTGAAAATAATTGCAGCCCAAAAGTGCACTAGTACAAGCTATTGATATGAGAAATTCTTAGATTCTGGTGCTAGCTTCTTAAACCAGTTATTTGAAGCCAGAAGTCTATCTATACTGTGTAGATCACAGTTCCTTCTACAGTCACATACAACATAACATTTATGATGTATGGCATAATTCTTACTTGACACCTCAATAATTTTATCAACTTTTTGTTTTCAAAGATTACAAATCACTAAAAAGATGCTCTCCTCTCAGATTGTACTGTAGACTGTGCTACAACTTTTTCTCTTATCTAATCAGTGTAATCTGTTTTCAAACAGAGTGAAGACTAAGACATCAGCCAAATATGGACTTGAAGCCCAGCCTCGACTCGTGGATATCATTGCTGCTGTTCCACCACAGTACCGCCGTGCTCTAGTGCCCAAACTCAAGGCCAAACCTATTCGCACCGCCAGTGGAGTACGTAACCCTCATTTTATCTTCTGTGATTCTGTCCCGGGGTCAGCTGTTTCATGTTAAACTCTGTCAGACTGTAATCAAACGGTTAAAAGGCAGTATGTGGGGATTTATCTTCAAGGTTTGAAGTGACATCAGACTTAGAAATGCAGTCGTGTGTTGGGAGATGAAGAAATGATCCTGCAATACATGTAATGCAGTTGGCTCATTTATGTGGTGTTGGATTTCACAAAAATTCCTCCAACTTTCTCACAGTTTCCTCCTAGTTTCTCAGAGGAGTCGTGATTTTATAGTCTGGGTTAATAAACATCCAGTATGAAAGGAATGGAATGTTAAAGGTGGAATGCTTTAGCTTTTGTTTTGCATTAATAAGAAGAGAAAAGTGATTGTTTTTGGACAGATTATGTTTAGCAGAGTATAAAAACTGAAAGCAATAATTTTTATGATTAATATTTTCCACTAAAAAAAAAGAAAAGCTAAAATATTTAATGTTTCTTGCAGATTGCAGTTGTGGCTGTAATGTGCAAGCCACATCGATGCCCTCACATCAGCTTTACAGGCAACATCTGTGTGTAAGTATTGCTTTGTGTTATTTTTTTTGAGCCTACTTAATTTTGTTGTTAGACAATGTCTGAATATAAAAATACATTTAAACATAAAATAGAGCATTGTGTAAGGCTCAAGTCCAACAGCAAGAATAAAATACAATGTGACTCAAGTAGACCTAAACATTAAATAGAAATTTAATAGGAAAACCGTCCGATACAAATCACTCTTCAGAAGTGATTTAAAAGAAGATGTAACAAGCTCTAATGTATCTGGCAGGTGGCTCCATAACTGGACAGCCTGAACTGCAAACTTGAGCTTCTGTCTCTGGAAGTCTGGTTGTGCAATGCAGCTCTAATATACATTCTGGAGACAAGCCATGGAGGTCTTTAAATAGATCATGTTAAACCCTTGAACACTGTGCTCACTTTTGTTTGTTTTTGAGTCTCAAGGCCACATTTTGATTTCCTATACATCCCTGCTAAAAAAGACCTACTGTGATGATAGTCTGAGTGTCATTAAAACTCGATCGTGTCTTGGTAATATTCCCCAGATGGTGGTCGCATCATCTTTGTTTGTATGTTTCTTGAAAGTGAGCTTAATGCCAAAGAGCACATTCAAGTTCCTGACCTGAGGCTCAACAGTCATTTGTCAGGCAATCAGAGAGGACCGGATACTAGAACGCAAATTGTCAGATCATTTGTAATATTTGTTATGGTTTGTCTCTGTGTTATTGTATGTTTTGCCATGTAGTTTTATTGCATTTATTATTTACTCTGGCAGCTACTGTCCTGGTGGACCAGACTCTGACTTTGAGTACTCCACACAGTCCTACACAGGCTATGAGGTAAAGTACTTTTATTTCATCCATGTGCCTAAAAAAAAGCAGCGGTTCTGTTTGTTTACAAGCACGTTAACCTTTTCAGAGTCATACATTCTAGTCATTGCCATGGTGGCTGTGGAAAATTTGCCTCCTTTTCCTTCAATCAGTCCAACTTCCCACAGCATTTGCTAACATTACCCACGAGTTCTAATACTGTTTTAGGGGAACTGTTTTAATCTAAATCTCAAGGATATTTCTAATTCCATATAATGCTCCTATAGGGTTGAAAGTTCCATAAAGACATCCAGTTTTAACTGCAGCATTCAGAGGATGTTTAGAAGATGTTGTCAGGGCTGCAGATTATGTTACATGTAAACAAAGGAAGAAGACAGTCAAACTAACATTTAAAGAATGTTTTCAAGAGGTTCGTATTGAGTCCTCAGACGACAGGGTGGTTTTTTTTTTCATAAAATATTTCTGTAATCTGATAAGTAACCAAAGGTCCTGCATTTTGCCTGCAGTATTCTGCGGATGTTGCGGTAACACCTTAATGAATGTTCTTCAGTAAAACATTATGTGTTTATAAAGGAAGAGCGTTGTCATTGCAGCATTCAGTAAATGTTCTAAGAATGTTAGAGCGTAATGGTCAAACAATGCTAGAATGTCTTTCGAGAACATTATCACGCCTTTAAAACCTGAAAATGTTGCTCGAACTTTGCAGCACTGTTTTTAAAACAAAACTTTCTAGCTGTGGTATATTGTTTTTAGCAAATCAAATTTAAGCTGGTAGAGTTTAAGGGAAATTGAGCTTCATTTTTCTGATCTTGTTCCTTTTTTGTCTCTTGATTTTTCTGATAGCCAACGTCCATGAGAGCCATCCGAGCTCGCTATGACCCCTACCTTCAGACCAGGCATCGAGTGGAGCAGGTCAGTGACTTGTTGCAGTGTACTGTATTTCACCGTTTTATGTCTTCGCAATGGCTCTTCAATGTTATTTAGGCGTTGCATGGAATTGCATAACAACCAATAGCTTCTACAGCCACCTCTGTTTAAGCAGCTGCGCAGCCATTTCCACAAATCAGCTTCTGTGCAGTGACAGCTTTTACTTTCATACTTCACGAGCATTGATAATATATTTAGTATGCTGTAATGAGTGTCATGGATTTCAGCCGCCTGCAAGACCTGACCCTAATTATGCCATATTTAAATGTATGCCCTCATTAATCTAATTCGGCAGAGCAAAGTCATTCATTAAAGCAGTTTATGTAGATGCTCTGTTAATCTTAAATGGCACAGTTTTCATCATTTTAATAGACTTTTGCCTGTTAAAAGCAAGTTTTAAATTCATAGGCAGCTTACAGTGTAATTCCACTTCATTTTAGAGCATAATATGGTTAATCATAGTAACTATTTTTTAAGAGGACAACAATATGTTGTGGCATTGCTGCTGTGCTCCCATCCAATGAAATGACTCAGTATTACCGAATTGTAATAAGCAGTTGTATAAAGTCTTGCGTGTGATCTGCAGCTGAAGCAGTTGGGTCACAGTGTGGACAAGGTGGAGTTCATCGTGATGGGCGGGACCTTCATGGCTCTGGCGGAGGAGTACCGAGATTACTTCATCAGAAACCTCCACGACGCCCTGTCGGGACACACCTCCAACAACGTGGCCGAGGCCGTCAGGTACGCGATGAGTCCAATCATTCAGCATGTGTCCTCGTGTGTGTCAGACTGCAGCAGCAACAACGTCTCTGTTGATTAGATTCAACACAACAGACAAAGACGAACACACACCCCAGAATAAAGATACAACACTTTGACACACCATCTTCTACTAACAGCCAGTGTGGGTAGTGATAGTCGTGAGATGATTCAGTGTTGCTGTGATGATGTGACTGTTGTTACGGGGCATCGTTATCCCTTTGTTGTGCTCTTGTCACATTTTTACTCACTGTGGTCTCATTTTTCACTGTATTATAAAGTCCTGCACCTCTATGGAAACAGCACAACCATGGCTAGAAGTAGAGAGCATTCAAAAAAGTCTTGTGTGTAGTATGGCACAGTTAAAATGCCACAAATCATAAAACAGCAAAAACTCAGCATTTACAACCTTGTTGTAAGTGCTTACAGGTGCTATATAATACTGTTAAAAAACATGGTGGCTCTGCATACTACAGATGTTTTACTACTTTTCTTTGTTTCCATCTTTTCATCCTGTCTGCTCTGTGCGAACACAGCCTGCAGTTCAACTGAAAAGTCTCTGAATTCCTGCAACCAGCTGAGTCGATAAGCTGTGCTTTGGATGCAAGAGGAGTGCAGAATTTTTTTTTATTTTAGAGAATCTGATTTATGTAGGGGCTGCATGGTGGTGTGGTCGTTAGCATCGTTGCCTCGCAGCAAGACTGGTTCGTGTCCCAGTGAGGACACCGGGATCTTTCTGCGTGGAGTTTACATGTTCTCCCCATGGAGCGTGGGTTCTCTCCAGGTTCTCCGGCTTCCTCCCACAGTCCAAAAACATGTTATGATTCTAAATTGTCCATCGGTGTGAATGTGAGTGTGCTTGGTTGTCTGTCTCTAAGTGTGGCCCTGTGATAGACTGGTGACCTGTCCAGGGTGTCCTCTGCCTCTGCCTAAGTCTGAGATAGACTCCAGCCCCCCGTGACCCTCGTGAAGATTAAGCGATGTATAGATAATGCATGGATGGATGATTTATGTAGTATATTTTTGGAGCATTTTAAAATAAGATGCATAAAATGAAGTGACTTGGTTTAAATATCACAGTTTTCCCAACTGAACCATATGCCACACAAGATTAATTCACAAAGTTGAAAATCTGACTTTTCCTTCTTTTTACAGTTTTTGCCTCTGACAAATGGTGTATTTTAAGCGATTTTTCAAAAAAAAAAAAAAAAAAAAAAAAGTTAACACGCCTTTACAAACTGCCAGCAGATTTTGGGTGTCAGAGGGTTTAACTTAGAACTGGTGTTCTTATTGCTCTGTTGAAAGAATTTAGGAAACAATAACCCTCCTGTACACAGCACCAACACCACCCTGTGTAGCCTCCAGACCCTCCACTAGGACAGTGTGTTCACTGTACGTTTCATAGCTTGGTTTTGAAGCATTGCATTACTTTTTAAAAAACAATTCCATTTATCTCAGCAACACCTGTCCCCTTGGATCCCTATGCCTGTGAAGGCTTAATTTAGTCTTTTTGTTCACATTTTCTCTTTTGTGGCACCTCTCAAGACTACAGCGCAGTTATGGAGCAACAGTACTATCATTTTTGACATTATCTTGATGTTTTTGTTGTAATCTTTTGTGCAGCTTTTCCTTCTGCTGTCTGCTCAGTGGGATGTCTTTCTCCACCAGAGGGGGCCATTCTACCATTTGCAGTATTTCCCCCACATATATTCACAGAGTTCTTCCTTACTCCTGAATATCTTGCTCGATATCACTGCAAGGACTTTGGAACAAAAATAAAAAATACACCCACCTTAAAGATTTACATACAGATAAAATATCAAATAAGGTTTGAGGAGATTTATTAGACTCCACTGTTCACGGCAGTGTTTCTTAAATTTAAGGCTGCAAATTACAGTTGTTTTTCAGTTTTATCCTCATAATTACAAAAAAAGACCCATAAATGCTTATTAGAGTCACTCAATATTGTTTTGTTTACCCTACAGTTTGTTAAAAATTGAAATATATGACATTTGCAGTGACATAAAACACAAAAACACACAAAATCTTAACGTTGAGGAAGCTGTAAGCAGAGTGTTTGGGGTTTTCCTTAACAAATGCTTATGTAATTACCTGATTATAAAAAAAAACATTTTTTAAACATAGTTATTTCATGTTTTAAAGAGAGCAAACAAAACAAACTAAAACAAGAAACAGAACATTGAGTATAATGAAGAATTACCAAATCCATTTTATCCCTGTATTAATCCTCCCAAACATCCTCAATACTCACAAAAACACGCTTTTCTGTGTCTGTTATGCAACATGGAAAGTATTGTACTGTGTTTATGTGAGCATTTAGATTTACTTGACCGCTCCCGCTGTTTCCATTAAACCCACCGCAGCTCGAATCCAAACATCCTTAAACCGACTCCACAGATTCAGCTGTTGAATAAACCCATTCAGAATTCAGGAGGAAAATAAGCGAGGCCACTCTCAATAAGTCCCCTTCAGTTACCTCCATCGATTTCTCTCTTACTGAGTTAGGCCAGCTTTGAATGAAATTGGGCACATGTCTGCTCAGTATGGATGAGTGGCAACTTTTTAGATGACTCGGAGAAGATTCAAAGTCAAAGTAGAAAGACGCTTTTTTTTTTGAGGACGTCATACAGATGATTGGACAAAATAATGGCTTTTTCACTGGGCTGAAATAGCCCCCACTGATTTGTTTGTCAGCAGGAGCTGTTTACTTTCCTTAAGTCCGATAAGACCCAAGAGGCCAGTTTGTGTGATTGCTTGTCTCTTCTGTTATACAGTGCCTATAAAAAGTACTCACCCCCCTTGGATGTTTTCCCCTTTTATTGCCTTTCAGCACTGAATCATGGTCAATTTAATTTGGCTTTTTTGTGAGAAATGTACAGAAAAACATTCTTTCATGTCAAAACGAAAGCAAAGTTCTACCAAGTAGTGCCAGTTTGATAAGAATATAAAACATTCAGTAAATGATTGCATAAGTATTCACCCCTTTCAAGTCAGTATTTAGTCGATGCACCTTTGGCTGCAAGTGAGTCTGTGTGTATAAGTCTGAATCAGCATTGCACATCTGGACACTGCAGTTTTACCTCATTCTTCTTTGCAAAACTGTTTAAGCTCTGTCAGGTTGCTCAGAAACTGTGAGTAAACAGCCCTTGTCAAGTCCAGCCACAAATTCTCAGTTGGATTGAGCTCTGGGCTCTGACTTAGCCGCTCCAGAACATTCACATTGTCGTATTTAAATCATTTCTGTGTAGCTGTGGCTGTGCACTTCAAGTCATTGTCTTGTTGGAAAACAAATCTTCTTCCCAGTTGCAGTTCTCTTGCAGACTGCGTCAGATTGTCCCTCACGATTTCCCTGCACTTTGCTGCGTTTCTTTTACCCTCCACCTTTACAAGCCTTCCAGGTCCTGCTGCTGAGAAGCGTCCCCACATCATGATGCTGCCACCACCATGCTTCACAGTGCGGATGGTGTTTGTGATGAAGTGTTTGGTGTCGAACATAGTGTCTAGTCTCATGATAGCCAAAAAAGCTTAAAGTTAGTCTCATCAGACCAAAGAACTTTCTTCCAGTTGGCTTTAGAGTCTCCCACATGCCTTCTGATGAACTCTAGTTGAGACTTAATATGAGCTTTTTTCAACAGTGGTTTTTTCATTGTCACGCTGCCGTAAAGCTTTGACTGGTGAAGAACAGTCAACACTTGTTGTATGCATAGTCTCTTATCTCAGCCACTGAAGCTTGTAATAGGTGTCTTGGTGGCCTCCCTCACTGGTCTCTTTCTGGTGCTATCACTCAGTTTTTGAGGACACCCTGCTGGAGGCAGATTTACTGGTGTTCTTTATTCTTTCCATTTTGTAATGATGGATTTAACGGTACTTAAAGGGGTTTTCAGTGACTCTGACATTTTCATGCATCCATTCATTGGCTGGAGTGGTCTTTGTCCGTCATGGTGCCGTTATAGCCTGGAGTACTGATTCACCAGTGACTGGACCTTTCACTTACAGGTGTTTTTGAGACACATTTACTGCACACTACAGTTTACCAATGGAGCACTTTGTAGCACCTTAACTTAAAAGAGGTTGAATACTTATGCAAGCACGTATTTTACATTTTATATTTTTATTTAATTGACATTGCTTTGTAGAAAAATGTTTTCACTTCGACATGAAAAAGTCTATTTTTGTAAATTCTTTCCCAAAAAGCTAAATTCAGTTGACTAAAATTCAATGTTGAAAAGCCAAAAAAAAAAAGAGGAAAACTTCCAAGAGGGGCAAAAAACGTTTATCAGCACTGTATGTGTCTGTCTGGGAATGTTTGAGTGTAACTCCACTCATAGTCATAAGTGTGCCTGATTTTGCCCTGCTTTGCTATCACCATGCTTTGTTAAGATGCCATGATGACGGTAATTGTGGTGGCTGCTGCTCAGTGTGGGAAGTTGGTTTGGCTGGAGACGGCCCTTATCTGAGCCTCGGTTTGTGCGTGTGATTTTTGTGACGAGTGTTTGTGTATTAAAAGAAAAAGAGTGTCAGTTTCTCACCATACGCACTCTGCTCCTGATCTGATCACAGCAGCAAAATACCTCAAGATAATCGCCTGAGATAATAGACTTTTTATTGATTCATCTCATACAATCTGATCATCCTCTCTGGAGCATAAACTCTTGTAATTGGTGTAAATCAGCCAGCAGACTGTAAAAGATGAGCATTTATTGCCAGCAGATACAGAATCAGAAGGAATATGAGCTGGCATGAGGGGAGCTAATGGTCATTGGAGCAGCTGGAGTGGAGAAAACGACAGCTGGCAAGTGTGCCGAGATGAGATGTGCCTGTTCGGTCACTTGTATTGTTTTTGTGATTTCGATTAGAGACTCAAATAAGTTTGGAAGTAGCACTGGAGTGAGATTCAGACGAGATGTAAGGTGCATCTGTCTTGAGATTACATTTACAGAGGACAAAGGAGCGCGCTGCATCACGTAGAGTCAAGTCCTACACCTGAATGCTCCTTGAAGTACTCTATTGCTTTTTTAATCAGCGTTGGCTTCATGAGCCTGAGTCACATGGCGAAACCTCATTTACTACCCATTTGCAAAGTTTTAAGGTTGGCCTATACTGTTGGAAGATAAGTTGACTGGGGTTAATAGTCGCACTGTATGAGGCAAATATTTAATAATTTACTCAAAACTAAGTAGGGAATTGGGTGTATATATAGATACGCCAATCAGCCACACCATTAAAACTACTGACAGGTGAAGTGAATAACATCGATTATCTCATTACAATGACACCTGTCAATGGGTGAGATATAGTAGGCAGCAAGTTAACAGTCAGGGTTTGAAGCAGGAAAATGGGCAATGTAAGAATCTGAGTGACTTTAAGAAAGACCAAATTGTGATGGCAAGACGACTGGGTCAGGACATCTCTAAAGCAGCGGGTCTTGTCGGGTGTTCCTGAAAAGTGGTCCAAGGAAGGACAAGTGATGAAGAGCACCTGAACCTCACTGATGCATGACTGCACCACAAACTGGTAAAAAGCTTAATGCCGCTATTATAGAAGGATGTCTGTGTATCTGCAGACCAGTCAGAGTGTCCATGCTGACTCCTGTCCACCACTGAAAGCACCTACAACGGCCACGTAAGCATCACAAGTGGATCACGGATCGCCTCGTATATGTATCTTTTAGGCATGAGAAGAGTTAATGCTCTAAGCAATGTTCTGCTTAGAAATCTTGGGTCCTGACATTCATGTGGATGTTACTTTGAAAACTAAACATCATTTGAGACCACATATGTCCCTTCATGGCAGTGGTATTCCCTGATGGCCTCTTTCAGCAGGATAATGCAACCTGCCACACTGCAAGCTTTGTTCAAGAATGATGTGAGGAACATGACAGAGCGTTCAAGGTTGAGTTCATGGCTTTTAAACTCCCCAGATCTCAGTTTAATTGAATATCTGTTGGATGTGCTGGAAAGACTAGCCTGATCCGTTACAATCACACCTCGAAACTTCCGGACTTCCGTTGCAAACGTCTCGGTGTATGATAAAACAGAACACCTTCAGAGGTCTGTGGAGTTTAGAGCTTGATTTGTCAGAGCTGTTTTGCCCACACAAGGACGACTTACGTAATATTCGACTGGTGGTTTTAATGCTGTGGCTGATCGGTGTATATCAGCATATCCTCTGACAAATGCTTTCCCCTACAGACGGTAAAGAAAAATAAAATGTGCTGACAAAATGAAGAATATTGTGAAGAAATGAAGAATATTGTATTGTAATATTGTAAATGTGCTGACGTCATTTTCTCACAAAAATAAAATCTGGAGTTGTTTCTTGCCACTTGGAGGATCTAAATTCAATATTCACTTTTCTTGTAGCTCTGCTTTAGCCCATAACTGTGCCTGTTGTTTGATGTTGGTGTATATTAGAGTTTTTTTTTTTAGAGCTTTCTGTGGAAAAAAACAAAAGTTTCAAAACACTAAATATCAGCTAAAAGGTTAAAATTACGTGTGCTGCATCCTTACAAGCATACCCCATACATTAAATACAGTCATTCGATCCATGTTCTTATGAATATAGGGATCTTTACCTGTCAACCTGTGCAGGAAACAAATGCTGATATCAACCTGTAAACACAATGCAAAAAATAGACCTCAGATATTACGAGGTGACACAAAGACTACACTCGTTAATGTCTCATTTAACATTTTATGCATTGCAAGCACTTTTTATTTTTTTTTGCAATCATCTTTTTTTCTTTATTGCATTAGCGTGTCCTTATTTGCGAGGTTAGTGTTAAGTGTCTGGATAATGAGCCGTGCAAACACGCAGCTTGTAAATTGATGTTGCTAAATGATCCCAGTAATACGTTACATTCACACAGAACCTTGAAACATTTAGTCTCAGTGAAAGTAAATAAAAAAAAAATTAAAAAGGCGGCATCATTTCAAAGCAAAAAATAACTTTATGATGCGATTAAAAATATGTCACGAGCAGAAATAAACATAGGTGACTAAGACTGTCTCCTTCTGCAGGTATTCGGAGCGCAGTAACACCAAGTGCGTGGGCATCACTATAGAGACGCGGCCCGACTATTGCCTGAAGCGACACCTCAGCGACATGCTGGGCTACGGCTGCACCCGGCTGGAAATAGGAGTCCAGAGTGTTTATGAAGACGTGGCCCGCGACACCAACAGGTTAGTAGGTCGAGGGGTCACGAATGCACAGATGAGTGACGAATTAAGGGGAAAAACCTCAACCATCGACCCCTAAAGTGAGGCGATCTGGTGGCTCTGGTGTTGCTGTGGAGGTCAGCGCTCTCCATCAACACATGAAATGATGAAATATCTTTTAGAGGAATGGTGTTCATTTCCTCAGTAGAGTTCCAGAGAATCAATGCTAAGGTGCACTGAAGCTGTTCTGGAGGATCTTACTAAGACGCTTTATGTTTATTCTGTCATGTGTCTGTAGATTTAAAAAAAAAAAAAAAAGCAGGTATAAAGTGATTGCATAAGTCCGATGTGTACATAAAGAATGAATGGATGAGTTATAATCGGTGTTTTGTTTTGGTATTTTTGTGCATGTTTTCACCAGAGGCCACACGGTGCGAGCTGTCTGCGAGTCTTTCCACCTGGCGAAGGACGCCGGCTTCAAGGTGGTCGCCCACATGATGCCAGACCTGCCGAACGTGGGCATGGAGAGGGATGTGGAGCAGTTTATCGTAAGCATCAATT